GGAAGAAAGAAAGGAGAAAAGGAAGATCAGAAAATAAATGAGGAGGAGGGGAGGAGGAGATGGGGGGAGAAATAGCCAGAGGCAGTGGAGCGGGACGACCAAGCCTGCAGGGGTAAATTCCGTGAGTAACGAACGATACACTGATACCGTACGGGAGGGAGAGGTCCGGGCAATCCACCTCGAAGACTCCGATGGGCGAATGTACGGATTGTCGAGTGGACTCTGGGTATTTCTGGTAAGTAGGTAACTATATTATCCCGTATGGCTGCTCTTAGTGTGCCAAATTTGAAGAACGCTACTGTTAGATGACTGTAAAGTACCTAGCAAGTAAGAAGGGCTATCAATGTCGGCGAGAAGGTAAATTTGCTACTGGGGAAACTGGGATATGTCAAGAAGGACTCCCACCGTGGCGAAATGCAGTTTGTCATCATTTACTATCTAGTATCTTGTTTTTATGGGTAGGATGCAAGGCACTGTGTCCAGTGTTTTAGCGTACTCCCTTACTCTGTACAGTAGGATGACAGGCGACATGGACAAAGCAGAGAATAGTACGATGCGTGCATATTTCTTGTGACAAAAGAACCCGAGTACTGCATTTATTTTCTGTGAAGATTGATGTCCACTGTAGTTCTCGCCGGAAAAAGGTACATTTGCTATTCCTTCGCGCCCGTTCAATCCCGCTTCGGGTGAGATGGTGGTTCTTCTAACCCACGGAGTACTCCGTATACAACTCAAGAGCAGAAGAGGAGCATTCTCGGCATTTGCCAAATTGATCAGAAGATGTTTTACAAATAACGAATCGTGAGGAAGATCATTGATTCTATAATCCATACTAAATAGAAGGTCCGGACATACGGAGTGCATCAGGTCCTACATTCGAAGATGGAGGGGAATTCCAGGATAAGCAGTACCTTAGTAGGTTTTCCCAGCAGGAGAGAGATAAGACATCGCCCACCAATCAGAAGGGAGGCTTTTCAACCTTGGACCTAAAAAGATTAGGTTTTCACTACGTCAAGATCCAAACCCGGTGGGGCACATGGGCCTTAGCTTCTGACTGTAGATTATTCTTAAAGAATAAAAGCAAAAGAAGACGACGCTAGCGCATGAGTTTGGTTCAATTGATTTACCACCCGAGCCGAGATACAATACGGCGTTTCGTTTGGAACGGTATCCATCCATGACTATGGCCCATTCAGGATGGACATATTCATAAACACCTGGAGTCCGTTCTTCAACATCAATTGGATAATTGGATTTTGCCTCGGAACGCTCCTCTGGATATGACTGGCCCCGGTTTCGAGTAATATTCTCCCCTCAAAGCCATCCATCAGCACTGAAAGCCATGTGAATACTTGTGTACAAATCTCATGCCAGTCATTGGCACGTTCTATAGTCTGCCTGGTGGCAGTCTAATTGTCATCGCTTCTGATTGACTCCTCAGACTGACAAGAAGACGGCATCTGTTGCACTCCTATGTGAAAAGGCAAGGTGAAAAGACCTGAAACGATTCCATTGCACGATTTGCCATATCAATCGCTTTAATATTGGAGAGCCTATATACGGAGAGCACTGCTGTAGACCCAGTTTGGGAATGGTTGATTCGTCCACGTATAGTCAATTGTATGCACTATGCAAAGGGGCAATGACTGTTCGAGTCTTCGACAGGCTTCTACCCTTTCCCAAGAAGATCCCAGCTCTGAGATGCTTGCAGACTCGCAGTCTTAATAATATCATTAGACTTAGCAGCATGAAGGGCCGCATGGCCGGTAACCAACTGCGTGGGTGTAGCTATGTGGGGCAGTACAAGGATTTAGCTGCTTAGGTTGTCCTCCAGTTGAGGAATTCAGTCATCTAAGGTACCTTGGGTGTCTATACATGGCCTTACCGCTAGGCAGGCAAAAGGGATGTCCACAAGTATTGATCGAGCGCTCATTGGCAAATTGAAAATGTAGGCATCGGAAGAAAGAAGGGACAGACCGAAAGAAAGAAAGAAAAAAGAATAAAAATAATTTAGTAGGATGCACGACACTGCAAGCCAGCTCAAAGGCGCACCCGAAGGATTCTGGTGGAAGCCACCGGCCGACAACGGCGTGCACTGAGCGATAGATGGCCTTGAAATCCAGCCTTACCTCAGGCCCGGGTGTCGACTCCAAGTGCTGGCGCTATTAATGCTGAATGCTGACCAGTGGCAGGCTCTGGTCCACATGTGCTGTAAACCATCACACTCACTCACACTAGGTTGCATTACAGCCACCATGAAGTACCCCACGCTGAGCATTAGCGAAAATTGCCTTATTGTACTGAGTAGATTTTTCTCAGTAAATAGTGAGAGGTATGCGATCTGGTTTTCAAAAGGCAGAGTGCGTGAGTGGTATGGAGTAAACATTTGATACTGCCTCCATAACTTGAGCGTACAAGCTCGTACCGACTATGTATTATTACGATAAGTTTCATCATCCAAATTGCTGAGCAAAGCCGGGTAAATTACTGGCACGGAGCAGTTACCGTTGGTCCGTTGCCCTCCATTAGAGCCTTGGAGTCGAATGTCCGCCCAGAATAAGCCTGTAACCACAACTTCCGACAACGGCCAAGCTAGCGCCTTACCTCTTCCGTCCTGGATTCTTGCCCTTGCTTCCTCTCCCCTCCCCTTCCTCCGTCCTCCCAAATTAATTCCTGCTGTCCTTAAGCCACAACCCCCGATGTCGGGACTTCCGAGCGGTAATCAAACTGCGTGCAGATTGGCTTGTTGAAATTATGCCATCTCATTCTTTGAGGTCATCAAATGATCAAGCAGCTTATCGCGCTTCAATGTAAATGATAATCTACCCCGTATGTTATTGATTCGGCTCCGAACCCCGTATTCTTCTGTTACGATGTACCAAAGATCACTCTCCAGTACCACTACTCTCGACGGTTTTGTTCATTTCAAATCAGGTCTGGGTCAATCCCTATTCCATAATAATCCATTATTCCATGAATATTCAGTAGTGGCTCATGGCTATGTGGGATTGTGGACTATGAACTCCAGGATCCTGAGATACTCACCTGGGGAAAACCCACTCTCACCCCTCCCTCGGTCCCTCCCAATCCTCCTCCTCCCCTTGATGGTGTATGGCCCCGACCAATAGGCGTGGCGGAATTAACCAGCACCCCGGAATACGAGCGGTACGCACCAGGACGCACTTATGCATGCATCGCAATCCCTGCTAATTTCCATATGATTGAGTTTCGGACTTGCCAGCGCGGGCTTGTCAATCCCGACTCAGACACGCGCGATAAGAGTTTAATTCAAGAAATGTAATGATAATTATAATACATAAATCAATCGATTTCCAATCTCCCTGAGTGTCGGCAGCGTCCACCACACCACGAAACGACTGCCTTCAGGTATCGACTTTGTACCAAGGCTACCTGGCGCGGCCACGCAACGCATTCAACATATGGGTTTTCCCACCCATCAGTTCCTTTTCGACTCGTCGATCATGGCGAACAAATGCAATAGCGAAGGTGAAGAGCTACGATTCATTCGATTACGAGTTGTAATTAACTATGATCCGTCGATCATCTCACCATGCTGTCGCCTTTATTCTGCAACAGACAAATAAATGGCAGGACCCTTCGGCCGATTGATGGACTTCTTACAGGACACTTTCCCTTTTCAGATTGAAACCACTTGAATCATGCTACCACCAGACGAAGGATATACCACACCGGAAGGGTGAACGAATCATATCGTCTATGAGGATGACTTCCGAAAGCAGACGAAGACTACTCAGACTCAATAATGTGACTCACAACTGTCGACTGATTAAGGGACTCACTAAACAATGCAGCCTGCGAAATAATTAATGGGCCTGGCAGGAGCAGATAGGCCAATTAGTGGCAGCCTCATTCATGCTGTAGTACCCTTCAGCATGTGAGCTGTCCTCTATTTTCATCTGGTCTCTCCCATCGTTTTCTCGGGTAAGATACGATACAGCAAATTACCCCTGGCATCATGTGACCCAGCGGAGTGCCAATGTTGCTTTCTTCCGGAAAATCCCGAGGTTTCCTGACCAGTCTTGTCCGCTTTGGGTTCACCGGAAGTGATGTGGTTGATGGAGCGGAAGACTGCAACTGTTCGGGAAAATGCGGAAAGCCCGTTGTAACCCCCGAAATCGGTCTCTCACCAGACTCCAATGCACTGTACGGAACAGAACGACTCCCAAGTCCAAAGACCACTAGCGAGGGAGAGGGCGGTATAGACACATTGTGAGCTGCATGGATGGTCAGATCTCATTACCAGCAGTTTCGAATTGAAATGGAGCCAACGTATCTCGCCGCTAGTACAGTTATTTCTAATTCACAGCTCGCGGGTTTACATCTGTGATCCTTTTCAGCGCGCCTCCCAAGCGAGACCCATTGCTCATCTTTTTGAGAGATTTGCGCGACGGAGGAATTGGGCTTTGTGGCATGATCTCTTGCTCGAAAACAGCACAATTGAGCTAGGAATGCCTGCCACCATGATCTGATGGTTCTTGACTGCTGAAGCACTGCAAAATTGCAGACAAGATTGCAGTGACAGGATGCAATCTCAGTACCATGCATGCCATGTCGTCACGTTTCCTCAATCATGGGCTGAATTAGCTTGCGCGAGCTCTAGAGATCGGCGATAGTTCATTTAAGAACTACTGCTGACCTGATCCCACAGACAGAGTCTTGAGTGGCTTCTTTGATACGACACGACCCTACCCTTGTGTCCCAAAGGCTAGGATATACTGCATTCACGAGTGGATGGTCGACGAGACTTTGCATAGTACCTATATCTAAGGTTTATAGTAGCCAAATCAAGGATGTCAATGATATTGATGCCTAACTTCCGTCATAAGACCCTTGACTTCGTATATGATATCATCGTATGTGCCATGGAGCTTCCAAAGTTTTGCTGCGTTTAATATATGCCGGGCGTCGTAGCGGGGATTAGGATCGATGAACAAGGCCAATTGTATTCAAAAGATTCAGCTCGTCCATTCTCTCTTCTCATATTTGCCTCTCAATGGCTGTTGTAATCAAGGACTTAGGGTTGTTTGTATTGTTTTGGCTTTGGAGATACGAAGAACGGTTCCCCGCGCGATAGTGGAGCTTCATTGTTTTCTGTTTTTCGTTTTCTTCTCCGCACTTGCTCTTCATCATTGAACACGTCATAATGCACTCTATATACAAATCCGATTGACCGCGGCTGGCGTGTAATGACTGCTGATCAGAAAGAAACATTCGCCTAGGATCATTAATATTCTTGCAAAAAAGCCGGAGGTCCTGTGTGCTGGACCTGACCGTCCCCTGAGCACCGAGGTCTTCCACGACAGAAGCTACACTCAAGGAGGAAAAAAGACTATCACGAATAATGCTGTCTCTTCCCTTGATTACGCCGCGCGACGTATGCTAATCCCTAAATGCGCTGGAAGCGTCATCATACAAGGAACTAACATCCATTCCAACAGTCGCATGAACTCTGGTTCGGCTCCTCTCAATTCCAGCGCACCTCATATCAACACCCCCAGTCGCCCGGGGATGCGCCACCGCACGGCCACCCACGGCGCAATGGCCAGAACATGCCGAATGGACGAGCAGCAGCTACCCCCGGCAACAGCCTATCGTCATTACAGCTCGAGGAGCGCGCTCTCCGCGCCCGCAAAAACAACATCGCTTCGTTCGGATACTCGTGGATCAAGCCGGCGGGATGCTCCAAGACCATGCTGGGTATGAAAGAAGAGGAGGCCGAGCGGGAGGAGGCACTCACGGCCGCGGCGGCTGAGATGGCTGCGGCGGCTGCGGCTGCGGCTGATCCTGGCTTGGATGAGTTTGGGAATCCGATGCATGACCAGGCGGATGACACGGGCATGGAGCGGGATTTGGATGACGATATTCCCGATGCGGATGCGGACGGGCTCGTGGAGGAAGGGGAGGAAGGACTGGAAGAGGACGAAGACGTGGATGAGGAGGGATACATGGAGCGGGATCTAGACGATGATATTCCTGAAGCGTTCGCCGATGACGATGGCGACGATGATGATGAAGAAGTCGAGGAGGATGTGGAGGATACTGTTGACTTTGACAACCAAGCCGATCTGGACGACGAGATCCCCAGCGCAGCAGATGATTACGAGGGCGAAGACATGAGCGACGTAGTCGAAGAAGACGGCGAAGATGCATTCGGGATGGAGCGTGATCTGGACGACGAGGTTCCCGAGGCAGCGGAAAACGGATCGGAACAGGAAGAAGAATGGCAGCACACCGACACCGATGCCGAGTTTGACGACGAAGATGACCAGAGCTTCTCGCATGACCAATTCGCTGCACAGGGTCTTCGAGCCAGCATATCGAGCAACCGTGGCCTGCCACCGCCGTCCGCCCATCGCAGCCGGGAAACGCCAGCCCAGACACGATTTCTACAACGCTGGAGCGGCGGCGGCGATGTGTTCGACTCTAGTGGCATGATGTTCGATGACGGTGATCTCCGTGCGTCGTTGGCGAGCCAGGCAAGCCGCCATAGTGGCTTTGGACGATTTCCAAGGCGGCGTAGTGGAAGGGATAGTCTTGAATGAGTCTGATCTTCCGGATAACGGACAGCTACGGTTGCCAGGTACTAAGTATGCATATTCACTGTTTCATATTATCGGGGATTCCGGCGTTTGGCTTAGAGGTCTGAATCCATCAATCGGACGGAGTCGGTTGCTACAGGGTATTTATTGGACGCGCAACTTAATTCAGTATGATGTAGAAGCGAACGGAAGACATAACATCCATAAGATAAAACTTCCCGTCTAGTTCTGCTCCTACCCAATGAGATTATATATACATACATGTCGTGCGAACAGGATATTACAGTATTCGCGTGAATAGCATGAGCCACCCTTATGCACTTCAAGACCATATCAACTCATGCGCCAGGGTGGTGACATGACATTGCCGGGGGAAAGAATAACAGACTGGTGGAAAACAATAGTGTTCAGTATGGCTTTGGCACAGTGCAACATACAACGCCGGAGAACGCCACAGAATGGACTATGCAGCAGTGAAGTAGAGGACATTATAGGGAGTAAGTTATGTATGCCCACGGGTATGACTTATTATGTAGACGTAGGCCAAAGGGTACATGGGGGAGTGCACTGTGCTTGTGGAGGCGAGCGAAAACGTCGCAGGGTTGAGGTATCAAGAATTACCGATTGTAGGCAGTTCGTCCGATGTAGGGCCTAAGTCAGCCACACGTATGCGAAGATCAGGAACACAGCCAGGAAGAAACCCAGCCATGCACGCCAGCCAACACCCGTACGCTCGGCCATTCGGAGCATGCGAGTCATGTTACCACGGAGGCGCACGCGAGTGTTGTCGAATGCATCATTTAACTCTGAGATGGTAGATGTATCGCGAATTTCATCGCCAATGGCGAGTGTAAGCTGGCAGGAGTGTCAGTATCACGTTCGTGATGTCGCTCTAAATAAACAGCAAGAATGACGGACTCACATCCTTCAACATCTTGACTTTCGCACTGATACCCTCGACCTGAGCGTCATTCTGCGATTCGAGATGGTCGAGGACTGCGTCGGAATATTGGCCCCTTCACCCATGAGCATCAAACCGGCATTGGGAGGTGTGTTTTCGGGCAAAGACTCACTTCGCATTGGGGTGGCCTTTCGGAAACCACCTGTGGGAGCCCCGTTCATGTACCCATCGGCATTCGAGGCAGAGTAGCTCCCATAACTATATCCGCCCACGCTGGCCGGTGAGCGGCTGGCGGGTCGAGAACCACCGCCGTAGGAATCGAAGAGAGAAGAGGAGGCGCGGGGATCGCGCTGATGAAGCGAAGAACGTGGGAATCTGTAAGAACCCAAGTTAGTTCCGAGATATCCAGGAACGCCATAGTTAGTGTTGATCGGTCATACCGTGAAGACATAACAGATGGTCGTAAACTGGGAGATGATGCACTTCAGGAGACACGGAGAACACCGATTGACGAAGGATTCTCACCGCCGCTAATCTGTGCGCATGATGATCAGTGTTCAAGTATGCAGAGCTTGCAGGACTAGCTTGTATATCTCAGCCAGATCCCGAAGTGCATCGTCTGAACGAAGCTTTGCGATCTGCTTGCGGCGAGACGATCGAAACAACAACAAGGAGTTGCCACTTGGGTGTCTGTGACTCGCTCAACCGCCGCACGTGAGTGACGATGCACGAAATATTGAATGTTTTCTAGGGGCCTCCAAATGATTTGACAGACAATAAGAGATCTGATTTCAGAGGTTGACAATTGTACAGCTGCTGCAAGTATTCATGCGAGGACAGGGATGGGAAGAGGGGAGTAGAAATTAGCACCCTGATCACATACTAGGTTGGGGTTCTCTTCTTGTCAGGGTGAGAACGTTTACAAGCTTAGTATCAATAGATTTGCTTCATCACAGTATGTGCGCATACTCGAAAGAAGAAATGATTTAACTGGAATAGAAACAGAAAGCCCCCAATGAACCTGCGCCCGCCGTCCCATTCACAAATCCCATTCCCAGGTTATTTTGATGGCTTCATAAGATGTCTTTTAATCAATAGCGCATGTCCTCATCGTTAGGTTGGAATTCCTCATCGTCCTCGTCCTCGTCGTCCATCTCATCCTCGGCCTTCAGCTTCTCGGCCGCCTCCTGGAAGTCGATGGTCTTGCCTCGTGTCCGACGACCTCCAGAAATGATGTTTTCTTCAGAGATGGGTTCGAGATTGTCGTGGTCATCATCGTCATCATCTGTAGAATGGTTAGGTTAGCATGACTAGCCCTCTGAAATAGTTCCCCCGAAGTATTCCAGAAATGGAAAGAAGAGAGAAAAAGGAAATATGGGTTCAGAATCCCACATACCGTCCGCCATCTATGAGTAGATGAGTTAGCTTGAGCGTCGGAGTAGGACATCACACGGGGCGATGCGAACTCACCATTTCCTCAGCTTCGCTTTCATCACTGTCCTCTTCCTCGTCCATGCTCATTTCCAGGGAAGGCTCATCAGCGGCCTTGCCCTTGCCCTTGCCCTTATCCGCAGCGGCCGCATCGGGAGCATTGGCAGCAGGATCGTTGCTGAGAGTAGCCTGGTGGTTATCGCCCATTGTGGTTTGTTTCGAAGTGTCTCTGAGTACAGATATTAGGTAAGAAGTAGGTGAAGGAATTGAGTGAGTTCTAACCAGGGAGAAGCAATTGCACGGAGACTCTCAAAAGGGAACTTGAGAGGGAAGTACAGAAGGACCTTAAGTACTGTACGGAGCGCAAGGATGGAAATTATTGTCGTAGAGATTCGAATGATAACAACAAGAGCTGCGGACAGGAAACCAAAAACACATCAGCCGCAAGGGAGATGCACCTAAGACCCGTCCCTCGAGTCCCCGGGCGCTGATTGGCTGATCACAGGATTGATCAGCATAGCTCTCTCTTGTGATGCGCTATACCTTTTCAGGATTGATTATTTACGGCCTGAGGCTCATGGAATTCATACCCCTGCTCAACAAGGGCAGAATAAACGCGGATGGAGTACTCCGTACTTGAGACTACTATCCTAAGTAGTTCTGGGTTAACTAGCTAATGATCTGTGAATCGAAAGGTCTCCTTAATGATATCTGATCTCGAGACCGAAAAGACAGCAAATATGAGCAGGGTATCTTAATGCTTCTGAATACTTCAGTGCAAGACGAGCCCATCGTCCCTCTAGCGCTGGTCAGACTGTACAAACTTCAGCTGTGGAAGGCTCTATGAGGAAACTGGTAGAACAATGATCATAACCAGAGACGCTCATAAGAGAAGCTGGACTTCGAGGTCTCCTTGGCTGGACAACCCCGGACTAGGCTTCCAGTTTAAATAGTGACGATCTTTGGGAAGGTTTCAATACCTGTGTTTCTAATCAGGGCTTGTAGCTATGGAGGGGAGTGTCTGCAAGAAGAGCAGACTGTGAGATCGCCTTCAGTTACCATGGCAACCAAAGATCGATCTCGAAGGTAATGAGTATCACCTCAATATACTCCGTGCTCCATATCAGAATATCCGACAGGCAGGGGTCAAGCGCTTGAGAGGAAAATCTCCAGTATGGCGATGAGAAAGTTGAGGGCTATGTAGGTCACGCAGGAAAGCCAACCTGCCAATGGCAATCATAGATCTCTAGAAACTGAAACCTTGAAGCTATCATGAACTACGGAGATAGTGGGAAGGTGATATGCTTCTATCTCCAGGTACTGCTTCTAGAGGTAGCTAGTCCAAGTGGCGTCTCTTCCTCTGGTGGCACAATAAGGTATGATGCAGTCACCGCACTGGTAAACGTCAGACTGGTAGATGAAAGAAATGGGGAGAAGTATCCATACCCCACCAAAGACACTCGCAGAAACCGAGTCTCTCTGCCACGGAACTGCTGCACTATTAGGCTTTCCGCTTACAGTCATCATGACGAGGAGATCTATCTCTGAGTGAATTGATTTGATTATAGTGATTAGAATGCTGAATATTATCAAAACCTTTGTAGATAGACATATGGTAGTGAACGTAGTTACCCAGACAAGAAGAAAGAAAAAATCGGAAGATTGTTACGTCATCCGGCGACCCCGCCATCTGCAGCCTAAAAAAGGGAAAAAAGAATACTCATGGAATCATCCTCCACCAGATGCTTGAGACCAGATTTGCAAGACATAGAAGCCCAATCCGTCCAGAAAACCGCTGGTAAACTAACGGAAAGGCCCAGAACATGACTTGATGGTTCTTGAATTGACACCAATCATCGCGACGCCTGTAGAATTGGCCCGATCCATCTAATTTCCCTGATAGAAGCGCATCGAACACGATGGATGCTCATCGAAGCTCTCTACTGCTAGAAGCTTCGCTGGAGCTCAACCTCACCGCCCTCCACTATATCTCTCGCACAATTCCCTGACTCTCTCAGACTCAATTTTCTCTCACACAATTTTCTCAATAGAATTACTCTCTATCCTCCTGTTGTCTCTCTCCTTCCTCCCTTAGAGACTGTACAGTAATCACCTTTTTTCCTAACTCTACCTTCACGATCCACCTATATCCTCTTTCTATCTTAACGAACCCCTCCTGACTTCCTCACAATGGCTCCCGCTGTCGGTATTGACCTGGGTACCACCTACTCCTGTGTGGGTGTCTTCAGAGATGATCGCATCGAAATCATTGCCAACGACCAGGGTAACCGCACTACTCCCTCGTTCGTGGCTTTCACCGACACCGAGCGTCTCATCGGTGATGCCGCCAAGAACCAGGTCGCCATGAACCCTCACAACACCGTCTTCGATGCTAAGCGTCTGATCGGTCGTCGGTTCCAAGATGCTGAGGTTCAGTCTGATATGAAGCACTGGCCCTTCAAGGTCATCGATAAGGCCAGCAAGCCCGTCATTGAGGTTGAGTTCAAGGGCGAGACCAAGCAGTTCACTCCTGAAGAGATCTCCTCCATGGTCCTGACCAAGATGCGTGAGACCGCTGAGGCCTACCTCGGTGGCACCGTCAACAACGCTGTCATCACTGTCCCCGCCTACTTCAACGACTCCCAGCGTCAGGCCACCAAGGATGCTGGTCTCATCGCCGGCCTGAACGTCCTCCGTATCATCAACGAGCCTACTGCTGCTGCCATTGCCTATGGTCTTGACAAGAAGGCCGAGGGCGAGCGTAACGTCCTGATCTTCGATCTTGGTGGTGGTACTTTCGATGTTTCCCTCCTGACCATTGAGGAGGGTATCTTCGAGGTCAAGGCTACCGCTGGTGACACTCACCTGGGTGGTGAGGACTTCGACAACCGTCTTGTTAACCACTTCGTAAATGAGTTCAAACGCAAACATAAAAAGGACCTCACTACCAACGCGCGTGCTCTTCGTCGGCTTCGCACCGCATGCGAGCGTGCCAAGCGCACCCTCTCTTCTGCTGCTCAGACCTCCATTGAGATCGACTCTCTCTTCGAGGGTATCGACTTCTACACTTCCATCACCCGTGCCCGTTTCGAGGAGCTCTGCCAGGACCTCTTCCGCTCCACCATGGAGCCTGTTGAGCGCGTCCTGCGTGACGCCAAGATCGACAAGTCCTCCGTCCACGAGATCGTCCTTGTCGGTGGTTCCACCCGTATCCCCAAGATCCAGCGTCTCGTCGCCGACTTCTTCAACAAGGAGGCCAACAAGTCCATCAACCCCGACGAGGCCGTCGCCTACGGTGCCGCCGTCCAGGCTGCTATCCTGTCTGGTGACACCTCTTCCAAGTCCACCAACGAGATCCTGCTGCTCGACGTTGCTCCCCTCTCTCTCGGTATCGAGACCGCTGGTGGTGTCATGACTCCTCTGATCAAGCGCAACACTACCATCCCCACCAAGAAGTCTGAGACCTTCTCCACCTACTCCGACAACCAGCCCGGTGTGCTCATCCAGGTCTACGAGGGTGAGCGTGCTCGTACCAAGGACAACAACCTCCTTGGTAAGTTCGAGCTTACCGGCATTCCCCCTGCCCCTCGTGGTGTTCCCCAGATTGAGGTCACCTTCGATGTCGATGCCAACGGTATTATGAACGTCTCTGCCGTCGAGAAGGGTACCGGCAAGACCAACAAGATCACCATCACCAACGACAAGGGCCGTCTCTCCAAGGAGGAAATCGAGCGCATGCTGGCTGATGCCGAGAAGTACAAGGAGGAGGATGAGGCCGAGGCTTCCCGTATCCAGGCCAAGAATGGTCTCGAGTCCTACGCCTACTCCCTCAAGAACACCATCAGCGAGGGCAAGCTCAACATCAGCGATGCCGATAAGGAGAAGGTCTCCAGCAAGGTCGAGGAGATCATCAGCTGGCTCGACAACAACCAGACCGCCACCAAGGACGAGTACGAGTCCCAGCAGAAGGAGCTTGAAAGGTATGTTTCATCTATTTCTCTCCAATTCTCATCTGAACTGTATGCTAACGTTTTCTCCAGTGTTGCCAACCCCATCATCTCCGCTGCTTACGGTGGTGCCGCTGGTGCCGCCCCTGGCGGTGCCGCCCCGGTGGTGCTACCCGCACTGCTGACGAGGTCGAGGAGCGCCCCGAGGAGCTTGACTAAACGTCTAGCTGAGCGATGTTTCTTTCCTTTCTTCTCTTTTGCCTAGTGATATCGGGACAGGCAATAATGGGTTTTGCGTTTCCTTTCATGTCTTGTTTTACGAATTTACGGGATCCTTTTCTTTTGCGATGACTGCATAGATTCTAGTTTGTTTCCATGCATGATGGTCTACTATGCTTCGGTGGGAAAAGTCCTAATATATGAGCAATGGAATCTTATCAAAACTACTTCTCTTAATATATCTCGTAGGTGCACCAGTCTTTGACACTCGTGCTACGTAAGTAAACTGCACAACTCTTGCGAAAATATCGGTTGTCACCGGACATGGAGCCAGGGAGCTCAAAGTCCCATCATTCGGGTATCGTAGTGTAGTGTACAAGTATCATGCTCAAACCTATATCAAATCATCCGTTCTCACACCGCAAGGCAGAGAAGAAAAGCACCGACTTTATAAACCCTCAAAATCACCCGCCCACCATCTCCGGACTCGATCTGACCCCGTCTTCGCGATAGTCCCAAACCCGATCTCCCCCGCCCGCTCTGGATGTTTCTCTCGTTCCTCGCGACGGATCCGAATCAGCGCCGCGGAGGTACCAATCGTAAAGGCGAAGATGGGGTCTGCAAATCTGTGATCACGGCTGTTAGTATCGATGTCAATGTCAATGTTGGCGTCCGAGCCCGTGTCTTTTTCTTCAAGAGCTCCGCGGCGTTCCAGGACGTTCGTTATATTTGGCCAGAATGCACGTACTTGGAGATCAGGTAGATCGGCATGGTGATGGACTCGCTTTGTTGTTGGTATAGTACTCGGTGTTGGTCGAGCTGGTCTCTGAAGGTCAAGATGTGGGCCTTGAATCACTGTATCCCATCCAGTGAAGCTGTAGCTGTCTGTGGTTGGAACTTGATTTATCGGTTCTTTGCGGAGGTAGAGAAATATAGTCACGTGGCACGAGACCTACATCCGTTTTCTTCTATAAGCATACAAATTGCTTCACTCTCTTAGCAAATCCTTGAATAATGCAGTCACTTACTACGGCTGCTCGGAGTCTCTCCTTGGGACACCCTACAAGAATTAGATAATATGGATTCGTGCTTCTAGGTGGTATATATGATCACAACGCTGGACATAAAAACACTTTAAAGAGGAGGTCCAGCTTGGAAAGCTAATGCTTGTATTACCTGAATTACCTTACTAGCTATGAGAAAAAGAGACTATTATCTCAAATGAGTTGCTTATGTGAATCAGACATACTGATTACCCAATGTATAAGTATCCATCACAAAATCAAAGTACGACTACCCTCTCAGATGTCTGTAACGCTCAAGACTTGAAAATTAAGTGGAGTTTTTCCTTTTGATTACCCAATAACCCCTAGCAAATCTATCAAAACAGAATGAATGCTTATCATCACACCGGAATAGCCCTTAAAGAAGACGAACAAAAATATTACAGGCTCAGCATAATCCAATCATCTGTACATTTAGACGACCTGTCCGAATGCAGGGATCAAGGTCTGGGCCAGCCAGAAGCTGAAAACGAGCTTTGGCCCGGTCATCAGTAGCTTAGGAGTCAGGCCCTTGAAAAAGCTGGTGAATCCCTCGTTCTTCATCATGTTGGACACAATTCGGAAGCCAGACTCGGGATTCTCAAAGTTGCGGTTCTGGATACGTGTCTTGATGACGTCCAAAGGAGCAGACACGACTAGAGACGCACTAGCACCACAGATGGACGCCACAAAGTTCTGACCCCATGTGGCCTTGTTGTAGTCCTTCAGGCTATAAATGTACTCCTTTGCGAAAGCGGAACCACCGAAGAGCTGTATGCTGCGGTCAGTCTTCTATCCATACAGAATTGATCTAGCCCAGTTGTGAGGAACATACCGCGAAAGATCCAGGGGCATTACGAGCTGCAGTCCAGCCAGCGCCACGGTAGAGTCCCATACCCTCGTCGGAGATGATCTTGAAGAGGCCACGTCCACGGAAGGCCTCGGGATTCGTCTGACGTTTAATCTTCAGAACATCAAGGGGCAGAAGGACGATCTCTCCGATCCCGATCAAACTATTGAAGGTCAGCGAAAGCTGCACATGTAGTCCCCAAGTTCCGATAGAAAGACAGACCTTCCAGCAGTAGCGTGCATGATGGCCTTGCCAGTCCCCTTTCCGAAAGCACGATCGAAGTCGGAGCCATGGTGCTTGGCGAGATAGTCCCGAACAAAAGGCTGACCACCATACTTGTAAATTCTTTGCAGAACCTTCGAGTACTGTCAGCTCATTGACTCTCGGACCCCGCAAGTTCGTGTTTGTACTCACCTTGTATCCAGCAGCGTAGCCCAGCCCGGGGAAGAGGGAGGTGAACTTGCGTCCGATAGGAGCAGTCGCGTACTCCTTGAAGACGACCTGGCTGAAGACTTCGGTGGATGCGATCTGGTAATGGTATCCGTCAGCCACTCCGCACAAACCCGACCGCAGTCGTAACAAGCCGGTCACTCACGCGTGTCTGATTGCTCATCAATCGCTTCGCTATGGTATCAACCTGAGGTTCGAATTAGTTCAGATGTGCAATGATCGACTGACGTCTTGCTGGAGGGAGATCGTACGGGATGGAAAACCATCAATTCGGCAATACCGGCGGTTCCTGTGATTGGGATGTTAGTCATTTATCATGGGCTTCCAGTTCGAGCGCGGACATACCTGAGCCCAGCAGACGAGCAGTCGCCGATTCTTTCTTGACGTCCTTAGAGGCAGAGCCAGCACCGGCTTGAACGATGGCAGGAGACATTTTGTTTTTAGTTGCTGGAAAAGTCCCGAAAGATTCGAGAAAAAAAAGCGGAAACAAAACAGAATGTCCGCGAAAGGAATGAAAACAAGATTAAACTGATTACTGGCAATCAGGCAGCAGAACCAATTATAAAAGAAGTATAAGAACGAAACACAGAACTCCGGACGAGGAGAAAAGATAGAGAGATGAAGCAAATAAGTCCCATCACTTGCGCTCTTCTTCTTCTCCGAGCGGAAACAGGTCTTTGGCGCTAATCCCAAATGGGACGGGGCATCCGGGGCGAGATCGGACTAGCAGATTGGACTAGTCTACGGGATACATTGGTATCTGCTAATTAGCACTGGCTTCTTAGTCGATGAGACATATCTGCAGCTGGATTGGATCGTGGATAGCCAGGGATTACCTTCAGGTCTCGCGTCATAAAGTCACAGGGACACCCCCGGCCCTGGCACAGTAGCAGTCCCCCCTTCCAGAGAATCAAGGCAGACATCATGGAACAGCTTCGGTCATAACGACCTAAAATAACTACGACATGAGATCAACAGAAGCTGGTTGAACTGATGCTGACAGACTAATATGGATCAAGGCCGAGGAACTTCTCGGGTGAAGGAGTAACTACTCGGAACTTCTTCATGAATAGAACGAGTGCATTCAAACCAAGATCATGAGATAATTTATTCACCAGAAGCAATTAAACCCATAACTAGTTCGCCAATCAAGTCCGTTGGAAGAAACTAAAAGAAATCGTTGCACACCCGATATAACGCCTGCGTAAATGAGAGATACCACCGCAAGGCCCGAGCAGTCCATCTATCTCATCATGGATCAATCGACTTCATAACGAGCTCGAAACATAGGTCCATGAATCGGACACCTTGACGGTGCGGAGAGTTACATTTGCTAAGGACTCATTGATACTCAGCAGTCGCCGAAAGTGTTCTCGCCAGAGTATCTGAAGAGACAAAGTTAATACATGTCCTAAGGAACGAAAAGAGGGGGAATAACGCACGTGATGTATAGGAAGCCATCCTCATCCTTATGTTCTTCATAGATACTGCTCATGAGCGCGGCGGTTGGTGGCAGGACCTCATCGACGAAGATGAAGATGGCCTTCTCAGGAGAGAGCTTGATGCGCTTGCGAATTACATAGACGAACTGGCCAACTGTAAGGTCCGCCGGCACTAGGTACTTTTTCTTGTCGATAGTAGCAATGTCCGACTTCTCGACTTTCTCGCAGATAACCTATAGAAGAGATGGTTTAGTTAGTACCGAACAAGCGGTGAGAGTGAATCTTGCTCCTGGAAGATGCAATATTTTCATAGCTTTCTCCCAGAAACTTAGGGGCGATGAGCATACCGGAATACGATCAGCGTACTTCTGGCGAATACGCTCAGCCTCTGCCTTGCGCTTCTCGAAAGGGTGCTCGTCCTTGAACTTCGACCGCATCTTGATAGATAAGGGCGGATAACGGATAAGGCGAGGCCGGAAGGTTGTTGAGAACGAAAGACCGTGATGAAATCAGAGGTTGGGTGAGATTATCTCACTGTTGAAGATGAATAGCAGACAGAGTCAGGAATACGATGATGGAAGAGGTGAAGATGGAGGATGACGAAGGTGAGGGAGACTGATAGACCAGGTAGGATAGGTCAGCAGTAAGTAATAGCCAGCTAGAGGCGAGCTGGTAGGCAGACACAGTCACAAGTCACAAGATGACAAAACGAAACATAGGATGAACTGACAAACGCAAGCAGCCCCGCGTAATATATGGTATTATCAGTGTATGTTACACCTGATAAGGTGTCGACATGCAGATCACGGGGTGGTAGGCGGTCAAAGGAACCCCGCTCAGTGAGTCAGGTGCTTCTGAATCTCTGCCATTTTATTTCTGGAATATCCTGTGATACTCAAGCTATTTAAGATAGAACAATGACTGCTAGTGAGCCTTATGACTCGTTTCTGCGGCTGTGACCATCTTGACAAGCTCTAAGACGCAGTGTGACGATATGATCATTATCGGGACCTCATCCGGAGACTAGCTTGAGCTTCGGCCGCTTTGATCCGCGGCAAGTTGGCAGCTTAAAAGCAGTTGTTCCTGAGCTCCTTTTCAAATACTTTGCAGCAAACAATATGATCATTTTCTTTGATTACACATTTTTACTAATTACTGGCCAAGCAGATGAAGTAGCAGTTAAACTCCGTGGCTTTACACGATCAAGCTGAGGCAACAAGGCAGCTTTATTGCTGGGGTGCAAACGATTCATAATTACCTCTCTTAGCACACCGCCTTACTAATGGGAAGCAAACACGGCAATCAATGCAAATGGCACAAACCGTTTTGAGTTGGAGGCACGGAATCAAGCGTTCTCCGAGTATCATGACAACGGGTGGTCCCATATCAACTGTTTCTGGAAGTAGATAGACTACTTTTCTACTACACGGTGGGCTGAGCCCCTCGGAATATTTTCGTCTCCCACAGAGCTCCGGTAGCTCCTGAAGCATCACCTGATCCTAGGAGATCAGCCAATTGACTACCCACCTGCATCTCTCTTAAACCATGGCTTTGCCGCGATCATTTGTGCCTCTTCGGAGGTCACTCTGCCAATTCTCATCTCGAACCTGCCGCAACCCCACTCGTACATTGCGAGGAGCGCATCGTTGTTATTCGTCCGAGCAAAAGCCTCGAGAGCCGCAACAGTTCACTGTGTGGAGGCCTTATCTTCGGCTGGCGATCGGTGTACCCTTCATAGGAGCCATAATATATTCAATGGTACGCGCAACACTCTGGTGAAACACCCCATTCAATAACATGGTCTAAATATGACTTGGCAGATGACCGGCGAAGTGACGGATCTCGACTCTCCGTCCATCGTGGAGCTCGATGAAACCCTAAAGAAACAGTCGACAATTGGCGAGAACTCGCCTATGCGTCTGCGAATGGAGAAATTGATCAAAGAACATCAGCAGAAGATTGTGAACGAACTCAGCAGAATAGACGGGAAGATGTTCAAGACCGATACGTGGACACGTCCTAATGGCGGAGGCGGTATTTCATGTGTCTTGCAGGACGGAAATGTCTTTGAGAAGGCCGGAGTCAATGTTTCCATCGTCTATGGTGAATTACCTCGCCCCGCCATTGAGAAAATGCGAGCGGATCACAAGTCGTTTGTCGGCGCGGACGTTGACTCTCTGAGTTTCTTTGCTGCTGGCCTCTCACTGGTCCTGCACCCCCACAACCCCATGGCTCCGACAGTGCACCTGAACTACAGATATTTCGAGACCTCAGACCCAAAGGACCCTATCCACGGAGAGAAAAACTGGTGGTTTGGCGGCGGCACGGATTTGACTCCGTCATACCTCTTCCCTGAAGATGTTAAGCACTTCCATCAGACCATCAAGGACGCCTGCGATAGACATGATGCGACATACTACCCCAAATTCAAAGCATGGTGTGACAAGTACTTCCACTTGCCTCATCGCGGCGAGGCTCGTGGTGTTGGCGGTATCTTCTTTGATGACCTTGACGCCAGTTTCCTAGAATCCTCTTCTACTTCTTCCCAGAACCCTCAAGAGACTATCTTCTCATTCGTTTCCGATGCTCTCGCATCATTCCTACCCTCCTACGTCCCCATTATCGAAAAGCGCAAGGACATGCCTTTCACACCTGCCCAGAAGGAATGGCAACAGCTTCGGCGTGGCCGCTATGTCGAATTCAATCTTGTCTATGACCGCGGAACAAGCTTCGGTTTACGCACACCCAACGCTCGTGTCGAAAGTATCTTGATGAGCTTGCCTCGCACTGCATCATGGGCATATATGGACCCGGTATCCGGAACGCGTACCGAAGGTCCCATGTCGGAAGAGGAAGAACTTCTGACTCAAGATAAGGCAGCGGAAAAAGAGATGATGGAGGTTCTGAGACATCCCAGGCAATGGGTTTGATACACTGAGTTGCAGTCTACTGACTCGCCCGGCATGATTCTGTACAAGATAAAAGATGTATACTTTTTGCTCTCTGTCTGTAATATACACCACGGCTCAGGCGCTCGAATTATAGGGGTCACATGGCCGTGATCTCATTTGTTGAGATACGGCTCTGAGATATTAATATTTAACTGGGGACTGGGGTATCAAGCAATAGCATGTGCGCGTGTCTAACACTGTGTCTCTATATAGTCTTGGCTTAACAAAGGAAATAAGGAAAGTGATGGAATAAAAGAGCAAGCGAAAGACAATGAAGAAAACAAACCCCCTTAACTTACAAAGCGATCCTAGCGACCTGCTACCAGACTTCTTTGTCTCCCGAGCCAGCCCTTCTGCAATTCGCTCATATTGGCTCCGTTGCGGAATCTCGACACTGTGACATTGTTGCTTTGTAAGCGGCCGTGGAGATCATACCAGGCAGAGCTGATAAGAGCCAATTCGCGTGCCTGGTTGTCGATGACCTTCTGAAGTTCGAGCTGGACGACAGATGAGCCTGTCAGTAAAGGAGGATGACAAGGAGAGAAAGACCAGTGGGCCTATCTTAATGTGTCGAGCCGCGGCAAAAACAACGGAAAGAAAGGACGATGGCTTACCTCGCGCTCCCTGCTAATACCATCAGCAGCATTGTCTTCTTCGAAATGCTTGATGCGCTCTTGCAGGAATTTAATGTGCTCATTTTGATGATGAATGTACTAAATCACAAATCGCATTAGTCAGCTTTGGGCGCAGAATTGCCAGAGAAATGCAGTGGCCAGGCTATTTAGGAGCGCTTGAATCTCGACATCAAGCTTTTCAAGCGCCATGATAGTACATCTCGCTTGAGCGGCTTCGGAGGATTCTCCCTATTGGTGTACTTTGCCTCGCAGTCAGGTACACACCGTGGCTGCGCGCGCAACCCAGCATTTACAGCAGCGGTAAATGAACTCTCCGAGAAGCCTTTCCCAGAATGTGTAGATCCGGCGCCACTGGAAGGGACTGGAGGGAATCTACTGACCTCTGCGCGCTTCGCAAGCTTTTCAAGGTACTTCTCAATCAGCTCAGCGACTTCTTTGGCGAGCTCCGGACCAGATTTCTGAGAAGCATCCGCAGAATCACCGTTCTCCTGGGCCATCAATTCGGCCAGCAGCCTCTTCATCTCGTTGGACATTTCCTGATCCTCCGCGTGGATTTCAACTTGCTTTTTGTCGAACAAGCTGCGCAGCTCATCTCGTTCAGCACACACTTCGCGGACCAACTCTTGACTAGCGTCAAGCTCAGCCTCGAGTAAATGTATCCTATGCTGACACTCATCCCATTCAGCACGGAGTTTAGCCACTTCGGCTGAGTTGCTCTCCTTGACTTCGTGAATCATGTCTACTTTCTCCTTGCCGGCAAGTCCAACTGCAGTTTCATAAGCAGACTGTCGAGACGTTTTGTACGTAGAGTAGATGAACAACTCACCCTCAGCCATGGCGTCTGTCAGGGCCCTCTTGGTAATTTCGAGACAATCTTGAGCGTCGGCGAGTTTTCCAAGAGCTTGCGTGTAGTGCTCGTATAGTTTCCAATACTCGTCACTGAACGTTCCGTGAGTACGTGGTGAGAAAAGAGGTTCAATTACATACCCTTGTGACGAATTGGCCTGAGCGAGCCGATGGATCTGTGAGAAATTCTCCGAGAATCCCTCAAATTGGGAACCGATCTGGGATTCGTCGTCAGCATCGTCCGCAGCGAACTTTCCTAATTCTTCCTCAAGCCAACTTACAGAGGGCTGTTCCTTTAGTGACTCAACCTCCTTGCGCAACTCGTCATTTTCTGCTTTACTACTGTTGGTCAGCTCAGCCTCTTCAAAGATTGTCGGAAGGACTGACAGTTGCGATTCCTGAATACCTATGCCCTCAAAGTCTTCTTGCAATGTGCCTCGCTTTGGTGTTTCGGCGCCTGGAGTGAGCGATGGACTTCCGGGCGAGCCCTCAAGCTCGCGGATCCGTTCTCTCAGTTCACTAATCAGCGCATCATCTCTCTCGCGCTGTTCTTCGGCACTACTGAGGCGTTCCGTAAGAGCATGATTGTTGAATTCAAGCTGCTTTTTCAGGTTCTGAATCTCGCTGCATTCCTGCTCGATGCGCGGAAGGACTCTGCGATATTCCTCAAGTTCCACTTCACGCTCCGCTGACCATCTCTGCTGCGAGTCCGCGTCTTTTAGCTGCTGCTGGAGGTCCTTAATCTGGTTCTTCAGACTCTGGTTCTCTTTCTCAAAATCCTGACTGGCCTGCAGCTTTTGGCGGTATTTTTCCGCTGCATTGGCTTTTCGTGCAAGCTGGTCCCTGTCAGTCTTGAGCTCATCATAGTCATCTTGCAATTTCTGGAAGCGCTGATTCTTGACATGTAGTGACTCCACCGTCATGCGCAAGCTGTCAATCTCATCCTGCGCTGCGGCGATTCGCTCCTCCTGCGATGCGATCAAATCCTCCTGCTGACGCGTCTTCGACTCCAATGCCTTCGCACTGACCCCGATGTCGCCTTTTCCGGACTTCAGCGTCACCAAGCGATCCTCCGTTGAAGCAAGGCGGCTCTGCAAAGTGTCATTGTTTTCCTGGAGGCGCGCTAGGCGGTTGTGTAGATCTTCCAGCGCTTTCTCCAACTCCTTCTTTTCATGCGTCAAGCGATCGTTCTCCGCAATCACCTTTCCCACTCGTTCTTCGAATTGTAGCTCGAGATCGACCGGAAGGTCCTGTTTCTTGGTGTCTTCGGTGGTTTCGTCCTCAACATCACTTGAGATCAATTCCCCGTTTGACTCCTCGATTGCGATCTTGAGCCCTTCCTGCGCCTGTAAGCTTAAATCCTGGATTTGGCTGACGAATCTCTCTGGGTTTGGCGAGCGGATGACGGCGATCAGGAGCAGTTTCAGGAGCTTGTTGGTTTCCTTCACCGAGTTCTTTTCCGCAATAGCTTGAAGATCAGGAGACGGATCCAAGCCGGAAGGCAGATTGCCAGTTTGCATTCGTAGATAACCGGTCAGATGCTTGTGGACATGTTTCAAGTTGGCCAGTTTCGCAACCCAGTGATCGGACGTATTCCGCTCAGGCAATTCGTTGAGAAAGTACTGAGGGTCAATATCCTGCAGAATTTCCCAAAGTATCGTGCCATCGCTTAATTCCTCGGTAGATCGTAGCGTTTTACCGAGAGAGAAACTGTTGATCCATTCTAAAAGCGCTTGAGTAATCGTGTGTTCGGACGCCATGTTGGGAGGGAGGGGATGCGTCGCGCCCTGGGAATCTTAGGAATGTGTACGAGCTGAATGATGCTAGGGGTGGTGATAACTGTCGGTCGGGTTGCAGCGATAATTTCATCTCTTTAAAGGCAACGCAGGACTGGAGAATTGCTTAAATAGTTGTTAGATTCGGTTGTTGTCTCTCCTGAGCCTCGCGAGTTCGGGGAAGTTTCACAGCGGCTCCACGCGCACCTCCTGCTCGGCCGGAGTCGAAAGATCATCTTTATCTACTGTTGCCATGTCGCAGAATCGGTACAGAATTATTTTGATGAACAAAGGCTATTGCAAATAATGTCTTTGTTTTCTGTCTCTCAAAGTGTTTTCCTTTCTTTCATGAGTACGATACAAAACGATACAGATGGGAAATAAATCATCATGAATCGCCAATGTTAGAATACTGCTTGTCTCAAGGAAGAATGAGAGCAGATAGGATCAATTCATTATCCATATGTTCCAAGGGCAGAATCGGTGAGAAGCGTTCCAGAAATCATTAATCATAAGCAGCTTGGGGTTCCCAATCATTCAGAAGGCGATGGCTGCCTCAGGGCAGCTGATATTTAACTGCTTTTGCAATCTTTATCACCATAGGTCGAGACCACCTGATCTCCTTCAATAGTTGGTTTATACTTGGTGGACTGTGTAGAAAGACTCTGAATGGCAGCGTCTGGAGCTTCCGCAGAGAATCCTCTGATATGGTGTTAAGACGCGATTCCCGTAAGATAAAGGTTAGGGAATGGGAGAAGTTACTTGATGAATTCTGCAGAAGAGATATATCGGTACTCAGAACAAGTCAAGTATGTTTCAATAGCGGAATGGCAGCACTTACGGTACTCATGAGTGATTCTACCACCCTGGAGTGAAAAGTAGATCAGTATCATAAGCATAAGGAGCCCATAGCTTCAACAGGACAACATACGCCTTGCACGATCGAATTTTGCGCGTCCTTGATGACCGAGTCCGGGGTGTCCTGAGGGTAAGTGACCAGAATCGACTTGGCTAGAGCCAGAGGAAGAAATCCGATAATGAAGGCAGATGACAGTTTCATTTTTATGTGAGTATGGTCCAGAGTGATACAACCACTTTCAAAAAGTACTATGTCTTTATACACACAAAGATGATCAGTATTCACGGTGATTTATCTCGAAGATGATAGTCCGTAGGGATATCCTCTGAGAGTAGATAAGTATCATAGATAGTATGACACAGTGGCACTGCGTCATGAGGAAGGTGACTAAGCCAGACAGACCAGCCAAAGTCTTGGCGTCCGTCGGTCATTCCTCAACCTTCACTTCACTTCCTCCTCTATAATACCTCATAATAATCACAATCAACCTCCCTTCTTTCCCCATTTCCCTTTTGATTCCTTTTTGAAGATTCCTCCCCGGCTTTTCTCTTTCGATACTATCTCCCGAATTCACCTCTGCCGTCGTGTTGGTCCTCCAGGTGTTGCGTTCTCCGAAATTTACTCCAAGCGTGGGAAACACCCTCAGATTCCCTCACTATCATCTCCGTACCGTTTGCGTGCCTTTTCTGGTTAACAACCCTGGAAGGGTCAATCGGCGAGATATTTACGAGGTAGTTTCTTATAGTGGGTATAGAAGGATAGTCGTGGGCTTCTGTGTGGTTTAGGTTGAGGACTGGCGCCTGCTTCGTCTCGTTGTTATCTCCAAAGTCTCGCCAAGATAGCTAGCAAGCATTTTACAAGTTTCGACTTTTCTTCCATCTCTTGCTCTTTCAGGAGATCACAGTTCTGGAAAAACACCGGAGGAGAGAATAAGAAACCTATTTTCATAAGAAACCAACTTGAGAAACACAAGAGAAAAGAGACGGGAACAAAGAGGAAAAAGAACATACTGTGCAAAAAGGACCTCAAGCAAAAAGAGAACATCACTACCTAAGAAGAAAAGAAAGAAAAGAAACAGTTAGAAGGAGGGAAAGAAAACATCCCAATATCCCTGATTGCTGCTACATTCGCTTGTCCATTTCCTTTGTTCCCTTTCTCCCTCGCCTTCATTCTCACCTTGCCCACGAACACAGTTGCTTCACAGCATACTTGCCTGTCATGTCGTCTGGGCTCGCCTCTGATGAGGTCGCTGAGGACTACAAGAACTCCCTGGAGGATCTAACCACGAACGACAGGTTCCAGATCAGCAACTTGACCGTCATAGCCAAAGAGAATACTGAACATGCTATGGCCATCTCCAGAGTATTGGAGAACCACATTCGAACAGTAGGTGTCATCCTGTTTCTCATTCTCATGCATTTCTCCTTGGCTTTTGTATCTCGCTCGGCGCTCAGTTGATTGTAAGTTTGATCGGTTGAACCACTTCTAATCGTGTGCTGTAGACACCGCCAGCTCAGAAGCTTCCTGCCTTGTATGTAGTCGACTCCATTGTGAAGAATGTGGGAACTCCCTACACGCTTTTCCTGGGTCGCAATATGTATCAGACTTTCATGAATGCCTACACGTTGGTGGACTCGCAAACCCGCAGAAAGCTGGACGAAATGCTCAAGACATGGAAGGAACCTGTTCCGGGGTCACTAGATACAAGACCAGTCTTTCCTCCAGAAATTACACGCAGCATTGAAAGCGCTCTGATCAAGGCGAGAACCGCGGCTCTACAGCAGCAGCAGGCCAGGAGCCAGCAGGATATACTTAACCGCGGCCGTGTGGGCACTCCTCCTCATGGATGGACGAACAACACTACGCTCAACCAGAGTGCGGCTCGGCTCGCGCCTTCCACAAGTCAGAATGGGCATGCTCATCAGGTCCGAAATGGGCCCACGCAAAATTATCACGCTGCGGTAAGGCCCATGCTAGTCACAAAATGATTGTCGCGAAAGCCTTCCTCGTATCTAACGCATACACAGTTGGACCCTCGATCTACTCCAACCCCTCAACCTTCGCAGCGCTCGGAAGTGGATCTCGCGGCATTGAATCTCGACATCGAGGCATTGATTGCAGCTGCCCGAAGTGATTTCGCCAATAACCCTCTTGACCCTTCTGTGCAACAGCGTCTCAAAGCTCTATTAGATTTGCAAGGCATCCTCCAGCGTCAAGAGCTCACTCAGGAGCAGCTGAAGCTGGTCCGTGACCAGGTCTCTGCACTCACTCCAAAGTCTGCTCTTTCGGTTCCCCAAAGCGTTCCACCGACTATTCCAGCTATGCCAACATCCAGCATGGCCACTCCCCCAATTCAGACCCTTTCACAGCCTCTTCAGCAGCTCCTCAACCCGGGAACATTAGCTGAGCTTATCAAAGCAACTGCTGCACGCCAGCAACCCACCCCACCACCCCAAGTCCACAGCATTCTACCGCAGAGGCCAGTAGCTAGCAGCACACCACAACCGGCGGCCATGCCGGCGACCGAGAACCCGTTAATTTCAGCTCTACGAGCGCGTGGCCTCTTGCCTCCCGCTTCCGCACCTCCTGCCCCTACCGCTGCTCCACCGTCCAATCTTGCCTCTGCCTTTCCCTTTGTTGTACCTGGTCAGGTGCGATTTTCAACTCCAGGGCCTACTATGCCTCAGGCTCCTAATCCCTCGAGTATTACTATCAACGTGCAAATGAATACGGCATCCATTAAAATGTAAGTTTGCACGATATTGCACTTGTAAAATGTTCGCTGCTGTTTCATATGCTAATAGGATGCAGACCGCGAGAGGGACTAATAGCCAGTCTCTACGAAGCGAGATCTAACCGTTGTGGGACATGTGGCCGTCGATTCTTTGCAACAGAAGAAGGAAAAGAAAAGAAAGCTCGCCATCTGGACTGGCACTTTCGGACCAACCAACGGATGGCGGACGCTGCCAAGCGAGCGCAGAACCGCAGCTGGTACGTTGACGAACGGGTGAGTGGATTTCTCTTTGTCCAAAAATCATATCCTAGAGATTGTTCCTAACAACCGGTCAGGATTGGATAAAATCCCGCGAAGCCGGAGACGATGAGGATCCTGCAGAGGCAGAAGCTACAAGTGCCGCTGCTGCAGGTGCCGAGAGTGATTCGGCCAAGAAAGGCCCGCCCAAGCTATGGATCCGGGCTCCCAATGATGCTACTTTGCGCAACACGCCCTGTCCCATTTGTCAGGAGACGTTTGAGTCTACATGGTCGGAGGAAGTCCAGGACTGGATATGGCAGGATGCCGTCAAGGTTGGGAACCGGATATACCACGCAAGCTGCTATGCGGAAGTTACAAAGGACGGAACGACTACGGCTGCAGGTCGGGGTACGCCTTCGGCACGGACTGGAACACCGGATTCCGTGTTGGGCAAGAGGAAGGCAGAGGTATGTTCGATTCACCATGGCAGAAATTTCGCACCTTTCAAACTAAATCGACATACAGGGGACCGACTCTCCCGGGTCAAATGTCCGAGTCAAGATGGAGCCTGCGTGACGAAAGTGGTACTTCCTCTCTTTTATTCAACTTCGGTACCCCGGTCCTTGCTTTCTGCTTTGGGGATCGGGGGCGACATGCATGCGTTGGAGTTGGCATTATCGTATCTGTTTGGTGGTTGCATTTAGCCGGCGGCTGTACTGCATTCCGAGACCCCGCACTATTTTGAGAAGCTTGGGGATTTTTGACTATCTACGAGCATTGCCGTACATGTATTCCATACAATTCCCATAGAACATTCTATAAACCAGTAGCTAATCCGAGAAAGGCACTGATTCTTGTACCACACAGTTTATTTTCCCCTTTGTAATCCTGGCTGAGACAGCTGGATAATGAATGCGGTTGGACCTGCCCCGCTCTATGGGGAGGACCCTCTATTATTGATAATCATAGTTGGAGTAGTCTAGAGCCCAAGATGAACTGTGTGTTCTTATAAATACAAGTCCTGCTCCCAAGTCTCTGTCTCAGTTTGACGCCTCTTTCAGTGCTGTATAGTTCCACTGCCTATTGTCCATCCTCCGACGTCACCATGGCTCCGTACAATATCCGGTGGGGTATTATGGGTATGTTTTCCATCTTGTACACGCCCCAGAGGCATTCTAAGCTGACAAGACCTCAAATGAAAAATAGCCACCGGCTGGATTGCAGATAGTAGGTCTCCACGGTTTCCCTCAGAACAAGCCTCAAATTGATGGATAATCAATCGAGAGTAACATAACAGCTAATGCAATTACTTGACGCTTAGTCTTTGTAAGAGATCTTCTGCGCGACCCCAACCTCCGAGACGCATCTGACGTCTCTCACACCGTCGTTGCCGTTGCCTCCTCTTCAGCCAAGGACCGGGCGGAGAAGTTCATTGCTGATACGGGCATCCCGGCGCCGTGTGCCGCGTACGGCTCATACGAAGAGCTCGTGGCCGATGCTAACGTGGACGTGGTGTACGTCGCGACGCCGCACTCGCACCATTTCCAGAATGTGATGCTTGCGCTGGAAGCAGGCAAGAATGTTCTCTGTGAGAAGGCTTTCACCGTCAATGCGGCACAGGCGAAGATCCTGTGCGAGACGGCCAAGAAGAAGAATCTTTTCCTGATGGAGGCCGTGTGGACCCGGTACTTCCCTCTCAGTGTGCAGGTCCGGGACCTCATCAAGCACGGAGCAATTGGCGAAGTTCTCCGGGTGGTTGCCGACAACAGCTTCGGGGATAACGTCGAGGAGCGATGGGGCACTCAGCATCGGATGGTGAATAAGGATCTCGCTGGTGGCTGCTTGCTGGATCGTAAGTTTTTCTCTTCCATCTTTGGGCCCCTGGGCCATTTGACACGGTTTCTAATGATCGTTTCGCTGCAGTGGGCATCTACTCCTTGACCTGGGTCTTCCAGACCATGTACCACACTCTTCCCCGGGAGCAGCGCAAAGCTCCTTCGGCCATCTCCGCGCACATGTCTCTCTACCACCTGACTGGCGCCGACGAGGCCACCACAATCCTTCTCACGTTCCCGACGACCACCCCAAGTAACAATGCCCAGCCCGGTCAATCGCAGGCAGTCGCCATGACCCATCTGCGGATCGCGACCGATCCCGATGAGAAGGGCGCCGCTGGTCCCTCGATCCGCATCCAAGGGACCAAGGGCGAGATTCAGGTCTTTGGCCCCGCCTTCCGGCCCGAGCGGTACCGTCTAATTCCCAAGAAGGGACTTGGCGAGATCAAGGAGGTGCAGTGCCCGTTCCCGGCGGATGGGAAGGGCATGTACTGGGAGGCCGACGAGGTGGCGCGGTGCTTGCGCGATGGAAAGCTCGAGAGCGATGGGCTGCCTTGGGAAGAGAGCATTGTCATCATGGAGGTCATGGACGAGATTAGACACCAGGGTGGGTTGACCTATCCGGAGAAGATCGAGTCCACTGTTTACCCTACCCAGCTGTAAGGGTTGCGGAAATCTATATATACTTGGCTCTGCGGCCGTAGATCGAGTTATTTTACATTTTACATGGCTGGCTTCCTACGGGGTTATCCGGCTGAACATAGTGAATTTTGGTCGCCAAACAAAAGATACTATACATATCGCTGTAATTCCACTGAAGGTATCTTTATGTACGGACGCCAAAAGGACTCTCCAAATACCCTCCTTTGTAGCCCACCAAGAGGCAGATGCGCAAACATCTTGCAGATTACATGGAATCATTTCAGAATTTATCCATCGCACATACCACTCCTCCCCTTGCCGGCAGGGGATGTTACGGGGCTGTATGACGCACGCTCGTGAACCCATTTGGTACCTTCCAGAAGACTTTTGCATTTACTTCTGGAACACACCAAGCAAGCTCTTCCACACCTGGCCAGGCTCCTGGCTGGCGTCAATGCCTCGCCAGATACCGGTCTTCTTGTAGTATTCGACGACAGGGGCGGTCTGGGCGTGGTAAGTCGAAAGACGCTTCTTCAGCGTCTCGGCGTTGTCATCGGAACGTTGAATCAGGGGCTCGCCAGTGACATCATCCTTCATATCGTTCTTGGGAGGGTTGAAGATCTTATGGTACGACCGTCCAGAGGCAGGGTGGACAAGACGTCCAGTAATTCTGGCGACCAGGAGGGCATCGTCGATCTGCAGCTCAATAGCATGCTGGAGCTTCTGCTTACGAGCTTCGAGCATGTCATCCAGACGCTCGGCCTGAGCAACGGTACGAGGGAAGCCATCCAGAATGAATCTAGAAACATTGGACAGTCAGTCACTTTCCATCTCCGACTGAATGAACTTCAACAAGGCACGTGTGTACGAACCCGTTCTTGCACTCAGTGTTGGTGTCGAGCTCGTTCTTGATCATGTTGACCATGATCTCATCGCTAACAAGACCACCCTGGTCCATGATCTTCTTGGCCTCCTTTCCGAGCTCAGTCTTCTTGGCGACCTGGGACCGCAGCATATCACCGGTAGCCTTTGAGGTTGGAAACGAAATGTCAGACGCGCACTTTGCTCAATTACTTGCAATTCAATAACGTACCAGGTGGCACACGCAGTACTTCTCCTTAAGCCGAGGCGCCTGAGTACCCTTGCCTACAACCCGATTAGAACCATGGAGCCATTATCGCAATCGGCAACCCTTGTAAAAGACCATACCAGCACCGGGGGTCCCATAAGGACGATGCGCATCTGCTCAGCGATAGACTTAGGCTTGGATTCGCCGCCGAGACGGCCCTCCAACTCCTGCACACGGTTCTCAAGCTTCTCGATCATGTCCTTCAGACCGTGGACGACCTCTTCTGTGATGGGAGCCATTGCGATTATTGACGACTAGAATCGAAGTATGACGCTATCGAAAGCTCTCCGGGGGAGAACAGAAATAGGAAAAGGAAAAAGGGAGAGGAGAGGGAGGGGAAAGGAATCAAGGTGCCTGGCAGAGAATGGTGCTCAGTGACGGGGAAACGGAAAGGAAGGGAGGATCGGAGAACTAATTCTTGGAGGAAAAGAGATCTAAACCGGAGCATTCTCCCGCGCGTCCGAGGTTCGGGGTCTACTGGCCAAGTACGACGTCCCAGCACCTACGAGTTGCACTGAATCAGGGTCACATATGGGCACATGTAATCTAGCCATCATGACTTTCAATTCCTCCAAATGAGGCTTTCTAAGTCTATAGCATATGCCGAATAATAGTTGAAGGTACACAAGTGCCGACTAGCTGGCCTCAGGCAACAAGGCCCTAAAGTGGCTGGTGCATTACTAGTAGCCAAGCACAAGCCACAAAGACGACCAAAGCTCGCGTGGCTCAGCAGCGGAGGAGCTCCAGGGCAGAACAACAGCAGCTCCATCTTTCGCTCCGTCATCATCATAATCCTCCTCATTCTCATTCTCATCCCATCTCCAAACCGACTTCTCTCTCTCCGTCGCTTCCACAATTATTCACAGTCTTCCGTGCAATCGGAGTCAGCATCTGTGATCTGTCCACGGCCTTCAGTACCCTCCCTCCCTCTACCATCGTTCTCATCTGATCCGATCCGCCATGCCTGCCACCACGGCGGACACACTCTCCCTCGTCACGCGCACCGTCACGGTAGCTCCCTTAGTCCTTCTTTCAGTCGCAGATCATTATGGACGGTCAGCCAAGGGAACTCGGAAGCGTGTTGTTGGTGTGCTGCTTGGAGAGAATTCGGGCCAGACCGTTCGAGTATCCAACAGCTTTGCAGGTGCGTCGGCTCCCAAATGGGCTTAGATATGTCCCTTGGTAGATGGACGGCGGTACTGATGTCTCTATCTTTTAGTTCCGTTTGAGGAAGATGAGAAGGATCCCTCCGTTTGGTTCCTAGATCACAACTTCGTTGAGTCCATGAGAGACATGTTCAAGAAGATCAATGCCCGCGAGAAGCTTGTCGGATGGTATCACTCGGGTCCTAAATTACGAGCCTCTGATCTTGAGATCAATGAACTCTTCAAACGATACACACCGAACCCCTTACTGGTCATTGTCGACGTCCAACCAAAGGAAGTTGGCGTTCCCACAGATGCCTATTTTGCTGTTGACGAGATTAAGGACGTAGGTTGACCCCGTGCGATGCCCTTGGTAGCTCTTCAATCATATCCGACTAACCGGTTTGCTCGCTCTACATAGGATGGCACAACAACGTCCAGGACATTTGTCCATACTCCTTCCGTGATCGAGGCCGAGGAGGCTGAGGAAATCGGTGTTGAACACCTGCTTCGAGACATCAGGGACGTTGCCGTCGGAACCCTTTCGACACGCATAACATCGCAGCTTCAGTCGCTGCAAGGTTTGCACTTGCGCCTGCGTGATATCGGCCAATATCTCCAGAAGGTCCTTGATCACGAGCTGCCGGTCAATCACGCTATTCTTGGCAATCTTCAGGATGTGTTCAATCTCCTTCCCAACCTATCTACCCCAGCAACGACGTCCCGTCTGAGTGGGTCGGAGCCACAGATGGAGAACAGTGAACTAGCACGGGCAATGAGCATAAAGACCAACGATCAATTGATGGCCATCTACATCAGCAGCTTGATTCGCGCTATCACCGCCTTCCACGATTTGATTGAGAACAAGATCCAGAACCGGCAACAACAAGAAGAGAACGAATCGAAGAAGGAGCAAGAAGCAAATGCTGCCAAAGATGACAAGGAGGGTGCGAAGAAGGTGAATGGCGTGAACGGCGAGCAAAAGGAGGATCAGGAGAAGTCCAAGAAGAAGAGCTAGAAGTGTCATTCAACAATGGCACAACTGACATGAAATCAACCCATTTTCAGTTTATGCATGGAAGTGTATATTACGATAATCTGAGAATCGATCTTGTCCTGAGCACGCACCAAGCGAGCTCGAGCAGTTGGAAATATCCATTCCGTCGCGATATAACGCGCCATCGGCTGCTGGACCGTAGACTAGCCGGCAATTTTGTAAGTGGATACTTCCCCTTAGATTCTTTCTGGAAGTATCTATGATATTGCGCATTGAAAGCGCGGTGTCCGTAGTCACCTCGCCTTCTAATATTTCAAAGTTTGAGGCTCTCCCTGACGTGTCTGGCATTCGAAGGAAAATGAATGCCCATTCCCTGGCAACGGACAGACAGGCACAACTGAAAGGCTTTGCTGAAATAATGGTCTGAATGCCTCTTAGAGATGAAGTAAATTCCGTATCATAGGACCGTAGCGCCTCCCAATACGGAGGCGTAGACATCTGTGGACTAATTTCTGCGTGGTCGCGAGAATCATCCACCCCAACCCGCACACCGCGCCGCCAATTCCTCGCAAGTCAGAAAGACAGGACCGGCTTGACCACGGCTGCTGCTACTGAAGATTCCAGGACAGCGCACCATCAGCAAGCACGCGAGGAGATGTTTACAGACAGGAGGTGCCAGTCGGCTGGGTCCACGGGTCAACGAGCCGCCAAAAACATAGCGGCAAGTCGACTCGTGGCCGGCGGCACACTGTTCAGCCAGGGTCTCCTCTTCGACTTCTCCATCAAACTGAGATGAGTAGGCCGGTCCTGGATCGCGGAAGGCATTGAGCGTAAAGGTGGGACATGTGCAGTTCCAGGCGTGCAGGCGGACCTCGTAACCCTTTTGCTCTACGCGTGTCCGCGGAGCCCGGGATGGAGAGGTCGGCGCGGCCGCAGACGTGGATATGACATAGAACATGTCTTCTTGTGGGTTTTCTGTGTTGCTGGGGTCGGTTTCTTCAGGCTGTGAGCATACAGATGCTTGCCCGACGTGGTCATCCCGCATGAATTGTCTGACCAGTCCCCGGTCCAGGATATCTAGGGCCAGGAGGAGTTCATTTGGGAAGAAACAGTGCAAGGTCAACATAACTGACTTGACCTGGGATAATTGAGCCTCGGGGAGGGAAGAGAAAGGTGACTGGCTTGTGGAAGTGTGTCGTTGAGGACGTATAGTGGGATGGTCCATCAGATCGCCGGGATCCCGCACCTCGGGTCTACATGATGCGAGTTGGGAAATCAGTCGGTCAATGAACTGGGTGGTTGAAGGTAGGCTTCTGCGGTCAGCTTCCAGCGCTGACTCCATGGAAGTAGGTGTGCTTGATGGATGCTCTCAGCTTGTCCAGATAGACGATGAAAATCTCGGGCGTTATCGATTAAGTCCCCACTTACTATAAGAACAATTTATGACTACCTCGCTTTTTACAGGCACTGAACTGATTGTAAAAGAAGTCAACAAGTTATAAATAAGCATTGTCTATCATACATAAAACACATGCGGAATATCAGTTACACAAGGAACAAAATGGACCGCAATCATTGCAGGGGCGCAAATGTCATCATCAGCTCCAACCATGTGTGCTTACTCTGCGTATTAGACCCAGTCGATGTGGCTTTGCACTGTTTACTTTTTGGCTTTACTGCGGAGTCTCGCCGATTGACGGGTTCCTTTTGGCGGACTCGAGGGTTTCTTTATGACACCTTTCGGCTTGGCTGCTTTGCCGGACACTGTGTCTGTTGCTTTCTTGGTACCAGCACTGGAATCTTTGGTGTCTGCATCCTTTGAAGGTCCTCCCTTTGGCTTCTGCACTCCCCGTGGTCTGAGCGACATGGTCACTTGTCCCTCGAGGATCTCGCCGGTGTCTTCTGAAATGAACGTCAGCTGCAGAGTAGCACGCTGCGTTCTTGCTCGGGGCCCCAGAGCCACAAGTGCACCTTTACCTGGGTCCAGGAGCAGCTGCTGGTTGATCGTCCATTGGATGGGTCTCCCTTCCAGCTCAATGGTCCCTTTCATTTGTACACCACCCTTGACCGACCCTTTTCCTGAGCCTGATGCATTCGATGAGCCGGCATTGAAATGCCCTGGAGTGGCCGAGCTCTGGCCAGTGCTTGATGCTTTGGGGCTGGAGGACGTGACAACGGCTGATGAACCTGTATTGGAGTCAGCTGAATTGCTCTGGGATTCCAGTCGCCGATACGCAAGTACGTAAGCATTCTCCTTTCCACCGTCTGGCGAGCTCATGCTCTTTTCCAGTGTCTGGGTAATTGTCACCCGATTGTCGTTGGTCATCACCCATTGACCAGAGGGACCCTTGACGGCCGCAGTATAGTGTCCGCTTTTACTGTCGTCGCCGGTATGGAAGACGACAGCATAGAGCTCGTAACCGATCTTGCCTTGTCCCTTAACACTGTCATTTAGAAGAGAATCTGGAATGACTAACTCTCCCTGAACTTCGATTTCGTCTTTCAGTTTCCCTGACTCTTTGTATCGATTGACCTGAACGATAAGAATTTCCGAAGGAAACACTATCTGAGTCTGGATCTCATGAGGGATCTGTGTAGTGGCGCATGTCTTGCAATCCGCAAGAGTCTCCGACTTCATGCCACTAATGATGGCCTCCTCTATAGGGATAGCTTTTTTGGGGCCTGGGAGGTTTGCACTGAGGTACCGTACCCTATCCCCAGCTGTTGAGTCTTTCTGCTTGCATGTCTTGCAAAGGCGGCACCCGCTCAGTGCGACGGTCATCAAATCCATGAGCTCGTCATTGCTGTATTTGTCAGCTTCATGATAATTACACCCTATGGGACGCGGAAAGTGCGCGACTTACTAGGGTTGGCTTGTGTGCCTTTGGAGGAGCGAGATGATGTTTTCCAGCATCTCAAGTGTGTCATGCTGCTGGCCCAGGGTTGTTTGCCAGCACAATTGGCCGTACTTTGGACTCTGAAGTTCTGTCCACAAGGTCTCCATGGCCTGCTCATGTCGATTGGGACATTGCCAGTAGGCAATGAACATGTCGTACAATTTGCGAACCACGTCTGGGATACTCGTGCTTTGCCCCCAGTAGGTCTCGCACCAGCTTAGAAACTGTGGAGTGTGGAGAAACAGCGTGAGGGCTGCATTCCGGTAGCAGAGGTTCAGTCCTTTATTGTTGTCAAAGCCTCTTGTGGGCAAGCTTAGCTTCAGGGAGACATGCTTCCAGGCCGCGGATGCAGCGCTTTGCTGCTGGGAGTCTTGTTAAACCAGTTCTTGTAAGATCATGTACGTTAGAAACGGACTTACTGAAAGAGAGCCTGAAGGGGGCGTGGGCTGGTTCGCCATTTGTGCACACCAGTTCAACGGGCAATATATGCTTGCTGCCGCAGATGCGGAATAGGTCGTCCTGGATAGGAGACAACGTAATGATGAACCTGTTGAGATAAGTATGTTTCACTTGTTGCAGTGATATGAACTGTATCAATCCAGTGCAGAGACTCAGGTCGCGAATGCCATTCTCAACAGGAAATAATCCTGAAGATTTATGCCCGTCATGACAGCCATTGCTACTTGACTGCTTGCTTTGCTCCGTAGTCTGTCCTTTGTCATTATTGTGTATCAAAGCCATGTTGAATGGACGCTTGAAAATAGGGCCTGGGATGGTGTTTCGTTGTAGCCCTTGCGAAGGCACAATGAAAGACAGTATCCGAACTGAGTTCAGAGTTGTCAGATGTTTTGCTTGCTTTCACATATGTCTTTGTCAAATTTGTGCTAGGAGGTATATCAGAGATGTCTCCCAAGGTCCAGCATTGTCAGGCATAAGCCTGGTTTCTTTGAGACGATGTCTTAGGACTGTGGTAGAGAATGCGCTTCAAATCTATGCAAGTAATGAATGAATAACTGATCATAGCCTTTGTCTAAATAAAAGTAACATCCACGACATTTCTTTGAGACTAAGTCTGAAACAAGATATTCAGTCAAACAATGGACCGTTCTCTTTCATACTGCTTATTCGCTTCTGTCAAATAACAACACTGCCCTTCTCTTTCATGCATCTGTTTTTACTCGGCATTATGGGAGTCTCAAAGCAGCAGAGGAAATTATGATAAAAGATTTCAGATCTGTCAGTTAACAGAGACAATTGGACCATTCGGAGGACCTGGATAAAAGATCACAAAATTAGATATCTGTGACATGATTACCCTTCGAGGCAAGCATCATCCCTGTCTTTGATCAGACATGCCTGTTTGCATCTCTCCCCAGAGGGGAGTCTACTGAGTGCGGCATGAGTGGCAGAGTATTCGGCTGGGTATCTCGTTGGGCGCTATACTTTGCTATCGAAACACATTATGCCTACTAAGTTTGAGAGAGAAGGCGCTCTGGCCATTGAGGTACATCGACCAAACAAGGGCCTACAGCAAGTTCGGGCCAGAGTACCCAGTGATATCCTGGCCATCTAAAGTCTAGGTCCGTGACAATTCCGGCTCCGAGGCATTGTCAAACCTGCAGCAATGATATTACAGACACGGGAAGTCGTATGCAAATGAAACAGTAGAATTATATAATATGGGCCAGTTGCAAGTAAAAGACGCATCAGCGTTCCCACATTATCATGATATGTTTGATATACTTGGCTGCTTATGATGAATCCTTCTATTTGCATGGTTAGCATCATGCTTAAGGTACAAATACAGGGGAGTATTGTGGCCCATTCTGTCCAAACTGGGCCTATGAATCGCTGTAGATCCATTGGGCCGGCTGCCAACTGCAACCATCATTCCATACTGTGTCATAGCCCTCTCAAGCTTCAAGTCAGTCTGACGAACATCTTCTACTAAAAGCAGTGACACAGAGGGTGAAGGCACATGGGTGGGTCAAGTGCCTATTCCTATCTGCCACTCCTCCGAGATGATTGACAATCCAGACCCGATAATTTCTTGAACCAGACAGGACATTATCTTTTGCGGAGTCCAGAGCTCATGAACCGGTTCCTATTATCGCCCAAAGACTTTGTCCCGCTTGTTCGCCACGTCCATAGCATGGTCAGGTCAGTACTATTACTTGGTTCGCACTGGAGCGGCAATGCCGTGTTGACCCTCGGCCATGAGCCTGGGTCGTAAACTCATGATCGAGTAATTTCGTGTCTTTCCCCACATCTCTGAGATTCACGTTTCAGCTTGTCAGATATGGAGCCAACTACGACCCAGATACCCAGCCTAGACCCCTCGACAGTAAACGTCAAACAGTCAGGCCTCATGCCCAACCGTCCAACTTCACTGTGGCTCGCCGCTGTCCTCTGATCGCCTTGACTGGGATGGTTTGGTCCGGCTGGTATTGGACCTCTGGAACGCTGAATTGGCAGTACAACCACACGCCTGTTCAAGTCCTCGAATGGAGAATGTCTTGTAGATGAATTGCTGGGCAGAAGCGCATGTTCAATATCTATCTACAGCTGCAACAGCACAGGTCTTGCATTGACGCAACTTAGCTTAAAGTATGACTGAGCTCTGATGTCAAGGTAATAACGTCTAACATTTATGATAAAGGGTTGTCAGAGGTCAATTGACCCGTTATTGGGAGAACTGAAATCAGATATCGATCTACAGCACAATAACAGAACTAGGTAAGTAGCTCTTATTCATAATAAACATGGGCTCCTGCCAATTTCATGCCTGATAGTCAGCAAAACATACAGCAGCTGATTGCGTGGCTATCATGAACATACAAAGCACTAGATAGAGAGGCTGAGCTCCACGAAAAGACTCCCAGTTGATGACTTCGACCATGTATTTCTCTCTCCAATTTTATCTATCTTTGGAAGGTGACAGCTGGGTTCTTTTCCCGGTACAAAGCATCGCCCAGCCACGGCCACCACAAATCCACTGTAATCAGCACTACCGACTCCACCACAGCAAACCAGAAGTCAATCCCAGATCCACCCTGGGCGTTTGACCACCAAACAGTTGATAACTTGTTTGTCGTTGTCAAATATTATCGCGTACGGTACGAGAATATCGACTTTTCCGCGGTTTCTACCACAGCCACCAAGGGCCACACTTTGACTTTACCACTGGATCACTTGTTTTGCTGCCTACCTTAGATCGGATACCTACCTTACTCTGTAGGACAGTATTACTATGTGATAGTTACATAACCACTACTGGAGATTCATGGTAGATCTTGATTGTGGGATACAGAATATAATGAGTAATTCCTGGCTATTTGCGTTTTAAAGCGCTTTCCTCGCTTATTTTTAGCCTCAATGCTCCACTGGACCGCAGCAAACAGCATACTTCTGTAGAGATCTGTAGTCTGTAGATAGATAGTCAGTACTCCATAGAATACCGGGATCTGATTGTCGCTGACTCGCTCAGGTAGCTTAGATCGTCCTTCAGATTCTTCATAATATATTGGTGGTGCATAAATTTGAATCGGCAAACGAGACAGAGACAAATTCCTAAGCTCTTTTTACCTGATCCCTCGGTAGCGAAATGAAGGGAAATGAATAGGTGCACTCTGCTTGATGTCACGGACAAATTCAATTTTAAATTACCTTGCCTCAAACCGTGGCGCAGGGTGGGGGAAAACGCTTGAGCCTGTCGGACATTTTCTTTGCGACGATCATTGCGTACTGCGTGCTTACCAGGAATAGATAGGTAGCCTGTAGCATACCTTAGTCTGGACTGGGCGTTGAAAGTACCCCCACCCGTTCAGCGAATGGTGTTGGCTGCCTACGGCTGCCCTTCTCGACCGTTTGAAACTCGATACCTTAGGAAGGTACGGGTATCCATAGGTACAGCTTGACGTCTCAGGACCAAAACAGTCTCAGTTGTTCATTAACATTCGAGCATCAATATCCATTTCCACGATCAATCCAGTTACTGAAAGTTTCGTCGCCTCGCTGTAGAACGCGCCCAGTCCAATGCTACTGGCTAATAGAAAATCCGTACTCTATGGCTCTCATGTCAAAAGGGTCATCTATCCTGGATTATTAACGCCAATATCCTGCCGCACACGTCACTGTCACTAATTCTATGATCGAATAATGGCACGCTTTTGATCTCACATCCTATCTACACAATACACATTTTTCTGCGACTATATAACATGAGGGTTTTAGTGCAGCCCCGGACTTACTTGGCATTTGGATGAAAAGTTGAGTTGGTTGATCAGGACCAACGCTTTCATATTCATCGAATTTCATTGAGGTTCGTGTCGCACTCGGGATTTGCAGGTGCAGAGACCAGCGAGGTACGGTTTGACATTGGTTCAGTATTATTTTTCACTCTTCCACAGGCATGGTTAGGTCTCTTCGCAGAAAGAGTACAAAAGTTCTTGTTGAAGTAGGGGAACACCTGTTCTCGACCAACTGAAAAGGTAGATTGGTAATTTGCAGCCCACCGCCACTTGATGTCCTGACCCAAATCAAGCTGTATCGTGTAATCTCTGATACATATCGTATGGCTGAGCAAGAGTGATCAGTAGAACCAGCTCTGAATACCTGATCTCTTTTGTTCAACTTGGGAGAGTACTTGACTGTCATTAACCGTACGTGTCTGAGGTACGTAGCAGTACTTGTCAACTCAGCCGGACGGACAACGACCGAGTGCAATAGATCATCTCAGTCAGGACCGTTGTCGACTGGAGTCCGTGATAGATAATTCTCGACCTCTGGCCTATTCCTGCGGCTTGGCAACTTGGCTCCCATTCAAGCTCACACTTTCCGAGAGTAGACCAGCGCGGCACCTCTCCTGCTACTGAATAACAATGCAATTAATACCTGTTTATTTGAGGACATGAAGGGACCAACCCCGACGGGAGCATTGGAAAGGGTTTATTGGCTGGCTTGATATTGTGGTGGCATCCAGCGCCTTAGTCGGAACAGTAAATTGAGGCAAGCCACCGTTGGCCCCACTGGTCCCTAGGTAATCTTGCAGATGACGGGTAACCCCTTGACCCTCGGCCCTGTGGTTCGAAGAGAGGAGTGATAACTCTCAAACGAAAGTTTAGCAATCAGTACGACCATGGTTTTGAAGACTCTTTCCTGTGCTTTGCACAAGTTCAATAAGCTGTGGAAATTTCCATACTCTGTAATATAAAGTTGAATATTCGCTTAATAGTCTTGCACCCAATATCATAATTAGTACTTCAGGGTACAAATAGTGTTGAAGTGTCGCTATCCGCCTCAGGGTTCATCATAGAGAGCAGTGCGGTTCTGGCTATGGCGGTAATAATAGTGATCATAATGTCGGTCCACCTGGCGAGTTCAGATAGAATCTAGATTCGTGTATTGCTTCATGGTTGTGGTTCTGGTCCGACAGATCAACCAGTCCTAATTTCGCAATAGATCATCAGAACATCTGATTGCGAACGAGTCTTATGTAGATAGGTACTACTAGTAGGGCTCATCCACCAAGGAGGGGCACATCTGTTGGAGAATTAATTGGATCTGATTGTAGATGACTGAAACGAACCAAGAACGCTCTTCAGAGGGATGATTGGGGGGCTATTGTAATGAAGTACCGAGTACCTCCAACCTTAACATGCTAAATACTACTTTCAAGGTTAAGAGAGAGTCTAGAACCTATCCCTGAACATTTAAGTATCCAGTCCAAGGATGTCAGGGAACTCAGGTCATGTACAACCAGCTGGTTCGGGAGATAATTGGAAGCCATGTGTACACACAACAAGTGATAAGTGATACGTCAATGGATACATGTAGAGGTGTCTGCTGGCCCCGTACGGAGCTAAATTCACGGCAAGTACGTAGGTGACTCGTAATAAGAAGAACAGTGGAGCGGTGACTAGGTAGAATTACCTTTACGAATCGCACAAGCAATGACGATGTACAATCTATTCTCAGTTCTAGGCAGTAGGCACAAATATTATTATTGCGTGGCCACTGGCCAGAACAATCTTATGTTTTCAGCTGCTGGGTCGATACTTGCCCGTAAAGGAAAGGGTGTTCGTCTCCGCCGTTAGACTAATTGCTTGGAAAATGGAGATCCATCGCAGGGGCTCGGGTCCGGCTTACCAGAAGTTAGAAACCTAGAAATAATGAGAAAAGCCGTTGAGACGTGAACTTGATCGGCTACTTCGAACCGGTATAAACCTGACCTGGCAAAAGTATATATATCTTCTCAATATTGCTGCCTGTCAGCAGAAGTAGTTAATGCTCTCAAGATCTCTCCGTGTTATCATATCCTAATGTCCACATTGATTAGTTGTATCCATTGCCCTTTCTGACTTTATTTGTATTTGCCTATCCGAATCTACAAAACTCATGTTGAGTATAAACAGCGCGTTCGTCGCTGATGTACGAGAGTCAGAATTACCACCATAGTTATTAAGCCAATTCTTCAAGACCCGAAGTAGTAATGTTTTTGGGGCAACAAGCAGAACAATGAGGTTTGTAGGAAATAAAGCAAGATAGAAATATACAAAGGGAAAATACTGGATAAGATAAAAGAGGGAAAGAGAACAGATAATTTAATAGGAATTTCATTCAAAAATTAAAGGACAATCAGTGGTTCGCATACTGGGGTTCCCGGTATGTAGTTCAAGTCTAAGTACAGAAAGGGCTTAGACTCGCTTTCTTTTACTTAGGTCCCCTCTGGTCCTCTAGTGCCCCTCTTATTTCCCCTCGTTTTGTCTTTTCATGAATAATCTCATCGTCAGATCTCCAATCTAGTCTTCACATGTGCTCCATTGCCCTCCACTCGAGGGTGGGATTATCAAGAAATAAGATCAACGGCCTTTAAGATGCTGGAACCCAGAGAGCACAGAGTTACTTGGCCCTGCAAAGCCTCGTCGATACTCCCGTCTCTCGCAGGTTGGAAGATAACTTGATCGCTTTATTTCTCAAGCTGACTGTTGGCTACTGTAATCTCTTCCCGTCTTCACGAACATGCTAGGCATTCATCGAATGATCAAACCCAGTCTCCCAAACCAGAAACACGGGCTCGAACGTTCTGAGAGGTTTGACCGCCAGAGAAGGCTTTGATTAAAGTATCTAGTACCCTGGGTGTGGAACCCGTTATAGCTACTCGAAGAGTCGGGAGTACTGTTAGTGTTAGAGACCGGTACCGAGTAATAATAAAAAATATTGGAATAGTTCAGAGAAATACCTTAGGCAATGGACCCTTCTACCTACCTAACCCATGCCCACGAGTTGCCTCAAAATCAAAGGCACTCCTGGAGGATAGGGAATAGAAACACTCTACAGAGCTAGCAGATGGGAACGTACAGGACCTATAACCTACCTAGGTAGGTACTTGAACAGACCCCATGTTGCGCCATAATTAGGTATACATAAATCTTACCACCGTTGGTAAACAGGTAATAAACAAACAAAAATAATAGCAACCTTACACTAATGGTAAATAATAAATAATAAATAATTATTATTAAAATCATCACCAAACTTGGGTAGACGAACAACAACGGGGCCTGCTCGAACCCACCTCACCACTGAAACCTGTTAATCGCCTCCGTCCTAAGGTAGTCTCGTAATCTGTTACTTGTAGGGTCATAGGCTCATAGGTCGATCTTCCTTGTACTCTTGTGTCGTAGGAAGGTAGTAAGCGGTATCTAGTAGCTACCTTAGTTAAATTACTACTATAGCTGCAAAAGCCTCTAATTTGCTGTCTGCCAACTGCTGGATCAGCTGTCAACGATGATGATCTCTTCCTATGCATCTCAAGCTGTTTCATCTTCCTTTTGAATCTCCCTCCTTTTCTTTTGACCTTTTTGTCTTTTCTTCCTCTTCTTCTGCTCTTTCCCTCGTGATCCCGGATTTCTCTTCTTATCTTCTCGTTGGCATTATCTTATGCGATAACTTCGAGTCTCTTCTATTCTTTATACTATCCTGACCAGACCCTCTTCACTCGGTGAAGACTCTCATTTGATACTATACTCGAATCGTCACATAGAGACTCGTTCTACCATTGACACATTCTACTTTCAATCTTTCATCTGTTAGGAGGCCTCACTTGGTTACTACACGATATTCCATTTCTCAAATCTTCGCCTTTACTTCCAGTGTTTTGATATTGTCGTTATCTGCGTCTTGTCGACTTTGCGCTATTTGGTGGTTTGCCTTTCAAACGTCACACGGCTAGACTGTGCCATCTACCCATCTTTGCTAGAACTTTGGAGCTAGCAGGATAAGCAAGTTTGCGAGACCGATTGTCTGTCTCAAATTGTCTTTGTTTCGGGAGGAATTCTGCTTCGTCACTCGACTTTTATATCATCCTAGATTATCTTCCTTGTTTGCTCTTCTCTGGTTGTACCGATCGACGAACACATCGAAGGTAACCTTATCTGGCCAGTAAGCCAGGTCATCAGGGAATATTTTCCTCGATTACATATGCATTCTTTTGGCTCATAGCCCACAACCATTGCAGGCTGAGTCTCTCTATTGCGAGTCGCGCATATGATTGCGTTACAAAACCAAGCTTTCTACCCTCCTGCCAAAGTGGATATCTCACTGCTTCTGAAGCCCCAAGATGAGGAGGAAGCCGCCTCGGTGACTACTTCGTCCGCCTTCCCTTCGAGGACCCTCCCTCCAGCTTCCATGGGCCCAGCGATACCTGTCGCAGCCTCCACGCCTTTGTCATCCGCACCGCCTCTTACCGCAAAAATCCCAGCGTCCGTCCCTGCCAAGCGTCTGCAGCCAGCCCATACAGCCGAGTCTCCGGCCAAGAAGCAATCGAAGTGGTCCCCCGAGGAAGATGCACTCATCATAGAGTTGCGGGGTAGTGGCATGAAGTGGGAGGACATCAGTAAACGGCTCCCGGGGCGAAGCGCTATCAGCTGCCGTCTCCACTATCAGAATTACTTGGAGCGCCGAAGCGAGTGGGACGAGGACAAGAAGAACAAACTTGCAAGGCTATACGAGAGGTGCGTTTCTGAAAAGACTGGCTCTGTCTACTCAGGCGGAGAGAATTTAATTTCGGAGATAATTACGAAAGCTGCGAAGATGACTTGCTGACTAGGAGACTAAAGGTTCAAAGCAGAGATGTGGTCAAAAGTAGCAGAAGAGATGGCCATCCCATGGAGAGCCGCGGAGGCTATGCATTGGCAGCTAGGGGAGCAAGAAATGGCACGCCGGGCTGGCGTAGTCCCATTTTCGTTATCGAGTTCAGCCATAGATCCGCCAGCGACCAGAGTTCGCAGGGCCAGTACATCGTTATCTCGCCCAAGAAAAGGATCTGCATCACGTACTATTCCTCCGCCCCAACTTCCGTCAGTTGAAGAACTTACCGCTGGTGTTCCTGCGTATGCGCCAGCCCCGCCGTTTCCCCTACCGCGCGATGCCTATCAGTTTCCCCGTCCTCTGGACTTAAGCGGCAGCCATAGCGGGCATTTAGGACCTCCCTATGGTTTGCCGCCTCGAACGCTGCCATAGCGGAATCGAAATGATCCCAAAGTTCTCGTTTTCCTCCTTTTCCTTTTTGTTTCTGATGTTTCTTTTCTTTTGTTTTAAATTCCGTGTTGTTATGATATGCATAGCGCAGGTTGAAGGTGTTCCTCACTATTTGTGAGGGGAGTTCTCATAGAAACGATCTCCGTGATCCCCTGGCTTTTCTGTTACTGAGCGTTTCCAGGAGGCTTTCAACTCGACGAATTCTCTTTGTCATCACCCATCATATATGGTGGACGTTATATGCAATTTACATGAACAGAAAACGGGGAGGTATGCAAGGTAGAGGCTTCGAGGCTGGTTCTCGAAGTCCAACGTTATATCGATCAAGCACAACTGTCCTCTACTCATCGGATCGTGTCGCAATCGCCCACCAGTTGTCTTTTTCATAGCCCGAATCTAGAACCCGGCCGCCCGCTCTTTCAATGTCGCGTTCCAGTTCTGTTGCCTCATAGAGGTGATAGTATCGGTGGAAAGTCCTCGGCTCGTCGTCAGAGCTACCATTGGCAGGCTTGGGCTTCAAGACCCAAGGAACCATTACGTCCTGCTTGTCGCCTTTGTCCCAACCCCTGCGGCTAGTCTTTTGTTCCAAGGCCCAAACATACAGCAGAACTCTGCCTCCGGACGATTTATCAGAGGCAGGTTTCAAAGTGCGGAGAATTTCGCGGATAGCCTGAATTCTTCGTTCAGGTGTGGACAAATGGTGCACAACAGCAATTGAGATAGCGAAGTCAAATAACGAATCTGGATGTGGCAGATTCAGGATGTCCGCCACGATAGTTGAATGCGGCTGGTGTTTGACGGCGATCCGGGCGAGATTATCGGAGCTGGCTGGCGTTAGCAATCGATCGTGGAATGTGGCGGAGGACGAGACATTGCGAAAGGAAGTGACAATGAATGAACAAATAGATATACAAGGTTGGGAACGAATATCGCCCTGCGTTCTACAAACACGTTCATGAAGTAGCAAATAGCAGAATATCTGATAAAGACCTACCGATCCGAGGCGACTATAAAAACGTCCTTATTTACAGACAAGTACTTGCCATTGCCGCACCCCACATCAAGACCAATAGACCCCGGTGCCAATCCTTTGAGGAAGCCTTGGACAATCGGCCATGGCTATAGACAGATCAGCATCAGTTTACCAATGTATTGATAAGTAGGGCGTGCTACGCACCTTGTAACGGGTCGAGGAGAAGTGTTCTGCTATCTGTTGATACACTTCATGTACGTTTTTCTCTTCATAGGCCTCTTCATCGGGCAGATTCGCCGTAGAATCGGGAAAAGACGACGATGCCATTTCGGTTGGGCTTTCTCTTGTTGCGACAGGCTCGGCTTAAGAATCCCTCACATGCAAAATCGGAGGGTCCGGGATTTTCTTATGCTGTCTCGTTGCAGTCAGGGGTACGCAGTTATAGTAAGAGAATACAGAGTATCATCAACTGAGGTGCATCTGCAGATTGTGCCGCCAAGATATGCAGCTCTGGTAATTCAGATTTCAAACCAAGCGGTAATTTTCTGGCATTCCATCAAATAAGGTAAGATTAAGGTTGTGTTTGGCCTTGCTGCTGATGCGCCTTTCGGAGAATTTCTGAATCAGCAGCTGCTGTCAGGCTGATGGCAGCTAAGGTACGTACCTTATCTTTTGCGTAGCAGGCTAGTAGTAGTATTCCGTAGTGTTGCGTGCAAAAGTCCTAAAATGGGTCCTTCCCAGTTATTGATCGCAGTGCCTAAGGCAGCATCAATTCATGCAACTGCATCCTATATATATATATATATATATATACAACTTTTTGAATTACCAGAGGCCAGAGATTTCATCTGCCTGTCTCGGACAAGCCAAACTATAGCTAGCACAACGTAGATCAGGTAGATATGGACTTGCTCCGTACTTGGTGTACAGATTGAAAAGCTTGGCTGGTAAAGCCATTCATTGAGCAAGGGCGTATGGAAGTACGGTCATCGGCCCCAACCTCAAGTGGTCAATACGTATATAATTGAACGTTGAATTTACCTAAGAATCTGCCATTAAAATATACGAGAGCTCGGGATAACTCAGTCTGGTCTTCCAGTTCTTCTGATAGTTCTGGATCAATTCCGACCATCACCATTCACATTGTAGCCTGAGGCACACACTCCCGCCTAAGGGGCCAAGAAGTGGAGTTGGGCTCCACGTGCCTTTCGTGCACCCATCTGATGTCGAGATACCAGACCCAGTTCGATATGGTCGAAGTGCGAATTCTGTAGTCCTGGTGAAACATATATACCGTTTGTGAGTGACTTGAAGTCCCATTGTCGTTATTTGTCCTCACCTTGTCCCTCAACGAAGATCTGGTACGTTATACGGGATCAAGGCCTTGGTCGCTCTGAAGCCTATTGTCCGGTTCCTGTGTAGCGATACCACTTATTATCTTCACATATCTCTGGCACTCTACGAGGAAACCTCCCTCTTTTTCTCTTGCTTGAGCATCAGGAAGATTCCGCATACAAGACTTTATGATTCCCATGGCGTTATATGTTCGCGTTGCCTGCAATTCGCCTGCCACCATGTGACCGATAGGCGTATACCATGACTTCAATTGGGATACCTTCATTGTAGAAAGCATATAGAACTCAGACCTTGGCTGACCTCCATATAGTTGATCTGCTTCAATCACATCAGTGATGGCATTCCAGCCCTCGCCGACAGATGTCTCTGTCATCATCACCACGCCCGGTACAGCAACTGGTTCCGAACCGCGCTTCCTGACAGAGCGTCGTGTCACTCCGACATGGAGTGTCCTGCAGCTGAAATCTAAGTTGGAGACGATGACTGGCATCCCCACGAACTGTCAGCGTCTACTACTGAAGGCACCCGGGCGTGCTGATCAGTGGGTAGATGGAGATGACAGTATCATCGGCAACTGGGGTCTGATGAAGGGCTGCGAGATTGAGGTATGCGCCGTCTTTCCGTCTACCTCTTCCCCAATCCAACAATTTCGTCACATGTACGCTCGGATTCGGACGGTCCTGGTTATTCATCGTTCATCTTGGATGGCTGGTCTGTCAGGCATCTGACAACTACAGCTCAATGCTTCTTGACTTGTTTGTCTTTCCTCCAGAATTTGGGATTCCAGCCAGCTTCAGATGAATGCAACACCGTGAAATCAGTCTCAAATGGCAATGAGCTGTCTAGGTGCCCGACAGCGGTGACTCGCTATTTCCTCAGAGCAAGCAACCGACCAATGCATTCTATTGATATTCGCTGAACAATAGCATCATTTCATAGGTTCACGATACTCGCCCTCAAGCCGCACGGCCTAATTTCAACGATTTGTCTTCTGTGGAGAAATATGTCCTCCCCTCAGCCACGTATGAGTCACTTCCACACTCGGTTCTAGCCTGGAAAAAGAACCAGAAACTCGGCAGATTCGATCCCAAGGCTCTGTCACCGAAGGAGTCGATGCAAAAGCAGGCAGAGAAAGATACCGAGGATGTTCGCGTTCGGGGTAAGTCATGAAAAAATGGCGACACGGGGTTGAGCGACGGCTTGGCATTACCCGGTCATAAAGAAGATTATTCATTTCATTTACTGATCGAGGGATGACAGGCATCGCCGTCTCCAGACGTGCTATTATTCTTCCGTCATCGCCTCCACACGTTAGGCGAGGCACCATACGCTACGTTGGGCCAGTGCCTACGATACCTTTCCCTGGAGTGGACGTCACAACTCAAGAAACTTCCGACTCCGGTCCCCAACCTATCTGGGTAGGAGTTGAACTCGACGAGCCTACCGGAAAGAACGACGGTAGTGTAGGTGGCAGACGCTATTTTACTTGTCCCAACAATACGGGCGTCTTTGTGAAGCCCGAAAAGGTGGAAGTCGGAGACTTTCCCCCATTAGATTTGTTTGATGACCTGGACGATGAAATGGAGGAAATATGAAAATACTTTCCTTATCTCAGCTGAGCAAGTAGTCCAGCAGGAAGAGAATCACAGAAACAGAGAGAAAAGGGGAATGGAAAGGCTAGCATCGGTCTGGCACAATATTTCTATTCAAGACAATAAATCCAGTTATACCAAGCTCCCGCTCGCAATCGTTGTGCTCATTCGCCGGCAAATAAGAGATGGACTGAGAAGGAAAGGGGGAAAAATGTCAGAGAAACCCCGAACACCGTCGTTCCAGTACCCCATGCTGGTAAATCGCTACACTGAAAAGGGCCAAAGCCACGAAATGAATACAAATACCCAATATGGAAGAAAGCTTCTACAGCATCTCAACAGCGAAAAAGGAGGAAGTAGGAAACTGCACTGCGCACACGCTCGCAGTCGATCCCATCCCACAGGAGTGACCGAAGCCGAGGGGAAGAAAAGGATCATGAAGCTTTAGACCCACTTCCTGCCTTCTGCTTGCCTTTCGGCCTGCCTTTACCGGTACCGTTTGGGCGACCCCTTTGAGTTGTTGACTCGTCTTCAGTTGAGACAGCTGGCTTGGAAGCTGATCCTGGGCTGGACTGGTCATTCTCCACCGGAACACAGCCTTGCGTAAAGAAGAGCCGAGCATCCTTCCCATGCGTGTTCGCAAAGCTGTAATAATTGCCTGCAACCGAGAAAAACGCTAATCAGCATGCGCAATGGAAATGCAAGGGATCTAGACACAAGGCAAGCACGTCCTGAAGAGACTCCCTTACCTCTTGGCACTTGAAATACACAGCCCTTTCCGGCGCTGAATTGCACGCCAGATATATCTACCTGGACCCGTCCGTGACACACGTAGAAGACCATGTGCATTTTCTTTGAGTTCTTGGGTTTTTTGACACCCCCTGGGGGCAGTTCAACGATTCCAGAGCCGATGAACGGGGAGCTCAGCAGCTTAGCAAAGCGGAAGGTAGAGTCTTTGACATCTCTCGTCTCGATACCGGACGGAGCATAGGCGATATCTACAATTACCCTGGGTCAGCGTACTTTGGTGTGATTCAATAGCCAGGCGATCAGAGAAAAAAGCAAGCATTCAAAAGTACTTACCGAGGATCTCCTCTTCGATGGAACCGGCTTGGGTGTCTGGATCCCATTTCCTAACATAACCATGCAAGACGCCGCCTTCTTTCTCCCACGGATCGACGTAATCGTCGTCTTCATTATCCGACTCATCGTCTCGACTCTTCCGCGACTTGGATTTCTTGGATGACCGCCGTTTACTGACTTTCCTCTTCTCCGGTTCCAGTTCCTCTGTTCGGATGATCTCTTTGATAGTCGAAAGCGGATAGCGCTGGCCTTCGGCGGCCTCGCCGTCTCCATAAACGCACCTCTCATTTTTCCAGTAAGCAAGCGGTCTAACAGAAACTCGCCCCGATCGAGTGTGGGTTGCGCTGCCATCAGTGGGTATTTCCCGCTTCAGTATGTATAAGCTCCGATCCTTTAGAGGCCCCGTACGATTGACATAATTTTCCACAACTTTGTCTAACTCTGGATTTCCGGAGCCCTTCAACCCCCGCCCAGTCTGACTGGCAGTCTTTGATTTCTTGGAAGGTCGTTGTCCCACGGCATCATCCTCATCATTGTTCATCCTTTGCAGTTTTGGGGGTCTCCCAGGGCGCTTTCGTTTCTGTACATTTCCTTGCTCGCTCGTCTCATTTTGCTGCGTGACTTCTTGGGCCCGAGTTTTCTCAGATTGTGCAAGTTTCTTAGGCTTGGGGACGGCTCTTGATCGCTCTGTTTTGCGCGAACCGGCAGCTGTGTACGACGGAATATCCATGTCGACACGATCAACGCGCTCAGACTCATCCTGTTGATCTTCCGCGAAAGTGTCGTCGCCAGCGTTGAAACTGTCGTCGTAATTGTTTCGCATCTGCTCAAATGCATTCGCGTTTTCGTCTCCGTTCATTTGACTATTAGCGTCACTGTCTGAGAAGTCAACTGTGACCGTGGTTCCTGCCGTCTTGTTGATTCCTTTATTATTCCGCAGGCCATTGACATGGTTTAGAGAGGGCGCATTGATGGAACGGTTGGTAAGAGGGGATACATCACGCCGTGTTTCCCCCTTAGCACTCCCAAGCCCCTTACCATCTGATGGACTGGAAGAGAGAATGTCACGTTGCGGGCTTGCAGAAGATCGCAAGCCAGGAGTTCGCCGCGGTGATCCACTCAAGCCGGATTTCATGGGAGACCGCGCAACCGGCGGCGGGAGGAAGGATGCGCGCCCCCCATGAGTTCCACTCAAGAAGTCAGCGGGCCCAAGCCCATTGCCTGTGACCAGGCACAAGATCAGTATGATCGCGGACAAATCGGAAGAAGTGAATCACACACCTTCATCCATGGACATTCCATCGGACCCAATCGTAGTGTTGTTGCCATATGCTTCGGGTGACTTTTCGGGAGATGAGAAAATCCCATCAATCTCCTCCATTCCATGCTCGTCGCGCTTGCCTTCTTTTAAGGTAACTCCCGTTCGTCTACATCCCGTGCCATTGTCAGGGTTCCCTTGCCGAAATGACGGAGGATTCCTAAGGAGACATGCCCCTGCATTACTTACCTCCCAGCTTTACCGACGTTAGAATAGTCATAGTCGCGAGTTTTCGCAGGCCCGCGAGGAGCCATTGTTGCGGAGGTATAGGAGTAGTGGTGCGGGAAACAGTTTCACCGAATTATTGGAGTCGCACGGGGCCAGCAGCGTCCGATGCCAGAATCTCTGTGCCGTGAACCTCTGCGAGTAGGACGATGTATCTCATGCAGGGGAACACCCTGTGCCTCGTGCACTAATAGGATGTTGAGAAAGGGGAATTCAAGCGTCGGGCAAGAGTAAAGATGATGGTTACTTGGGAGGGGAATTGCATTGGAATTCATGATGGGCGGCGAACAACGCGCGGAAGTGCCGCTAGTCCGGAACGGTTCTTGACGCGTCCAAAACTCCCAAAGTGCAGTCGCCAGGCCATACCAGCATGTGAGTGTCGTCCAACATTTGCTGATAAATTAATCTAAATCTGCCTCTTCTTGAGCTTATTTCTTCTCCTAGTCTTCGGCCCTGCTGCGAATATGGAAGAATCCGGCCTGAGTGTCACCGATGCTCCAGATGCATCTACCTCCGCTGGCTCTTTCATCCCTCCCAGTATAGATCGCGCTCGACTGCTATCTGGAGAGTCCTACGCTTACTATTCTTCATTTCCTCTCGCAAGTACAGAGGGGTCTTCGCAGGTCACTGGCGACAATCACACAATCACAGCGGATTCTTCCACGCCATCTGCATCCCCGTCACCAAGCTATTTTGTACTGGGTGTCGACGAAGCGGGACGTGGTCCAGTCTTGGGTCCCATGGTATACAGTGCCTTTTATATTCCGCATACTCTCCATCACTCCCTCCTGGCTCGCGACTATAGCTTCAACGATAGTAAAGTTCTCACTCCCGGTGTGCGCGCGAACTTGATGCGGCTGCTCTGCACCGCTGGAAATCCTCTCCATGCATCGTGTGGGTGGGCGACCAAAGTCTTATCTGCGCGAGATATCTCTGCAGGAATGATGCGGCCTGCATCTGGTGCGTATAACTTGAACGCACAGGCGATGGATGCCACTGTTGAAATAATACGCGGCATTGTGGAGGAGCGCAGAGTAGACATTAGAGAGGTCTACATTGACACAATCGGGAATCCAGCGACCTATCAACAGAGACTGGAGCGTATTTTCCCTACATTGAAGATCACAGTCGCGAAGAAAGCCGACGCTCTATACCCTTGCGTAAGCGCTGCAAGTGTGGTCGCCAAAGTCACGAGAGACGTGGCACTGGAGTTCTGTCACGAAGCCGTATACGGACTTCAACGATCTGAAGCGCCATCGCTGGGGGTGGCCACAGACAGCTGGGGAAGCGGGTATCCTTCGGATTCCAAGTGCGTCAGCTGGCTCAGAAACCATATGGACCCCATTTTCGGATGGGGCAACGAGTGCCGATTTAGCTGGGGGACTGCAAAAGAAATGCTTGAGCTCAAGGGAGGAACTAGAGTCGATTGGCCGGTCGAAGAGGAGGGCACTGCACCGATCAAAGACTTTCTGCTTACCACCGCAAGAAATGGAAAGAGAACTGAGCAGGATGAGTTGCGGGAATGGTTTGGTCGCCGATCAACGGAGGTGCTTTGAAAAGGAACCGCCCTTCCATTTGGCTTCAATAGGAAAGAATGGTGAATGTTATGATACCCCAATTTAATCAGATTCTGAACATGTCGAGGTAATTCACAAAGAACAAAAATTCCAGTAGTGACCACTCATGTCCCATGGGTATCTCCTTGAAACTCCTTGTGAAGCACACATCACACATCAAATGAGACTTTCCAAAACGCCGAATAATCATCGCGATTCAGATGAACAGTAAGATTACACAAGCAGCCATTCATCCCATAGATCATGGACCTGCATGGCCTTTTAAGACACAACTGGAAACCGATATAAGAACGGCAAGCACGAGGTAAAAGGCGGGTTACGCAATGAAAGAGTGAGTCTTCACAGCGTTGCAGTAGAGAAATAGAAGTTCTCCCATAAGTATTCATAGTCTTCGATGACGCTTCCCACCAAATCAAGCAGTGGTTTACCTTTCATCTTGCTGGTCAACCCCTTTAGCCACGACCTAATCAGCGTCAGCTCGTCGTTCCCTTCACCTCAAATGGAAGGCCAGGGATTGCATACTTGGTAATGTTCTCATAGAATGCACCGCGCATAAGCCACCAGCCCATGGCCCAGCCTCGCTTTCTCAGTTCCTCGCGTTCAAGCCCTGTGAGGCCACGAAGGCCTCCTGCCACCCGCTCCCGGAAATCGGATTTGGCAAGTTGACGACAACCATACTCCATAGCAAAGCCAATCAACCAGGGCCTCCAGCTTCTCTTGTCGCGCCGCCATCTTTGTAGCGCTAGTGCATAGATGACCGGCCGCAGGATGTATAGCACTTCTGCTAATTGGCCCTGACCACTGACACGGTGCAACAGCGCCTTCGGCGGCTTGATATCATCGGCTGTTAAGACTTTGGATATGAGGAAGTTGGAAATGTCGTTGGCATCGGGTAGAGAAGGAAGCGATAATCCAGTGCGCGGCATAGTCCAGCTCAAGTCCGCGGACCGCTCACTGACGGGTGTCTGCATCCCATTCCAATCACTCTCTTCTTCCTCCGTAGACCTAGGATCTACCTCGCGCTCAGGTAACGGTGGACTGACCAGCGGCCTAGAATTTGTGAGGCGCAGTAGAAGCATGCGACATGCCGCTTTGATGATTTCGATGAGAACAACGACGCGCCAGCGTACTTTTTCACCTCGACGTCGCGCGATCATCTCCCAGAGCAATTCGGTGTATCGTACCATCTGAAGCGTAAGAGCCACCTGATGATAAAGAGCCGAATGAGATATCCAATATTTTGTATACCGAGAATGAGGTGTTGGTGCCGGCCGCGGAACTGTTGAAGGAAGTCTCGCAACCACCCGGGAGACGAGGCTATCATGATAGAGCGAAAGGAGCTGAACGCCAGAATGGACTGCTCAAAGAGGAAGACTTGTGAGTACATGGATAACTGCTAAGATGCTTAGATTGTATACAGACCACATTCTGATGATATCTCGGAGTCTCGATACCGCCCTAGAGCTAGATTAGCCTCCATCCGCAATCGACGAGAAGGCGCTCGGGGGCGCTTCTATGCGGTCCTCACCAGGAATAATATATGTGAGAGATCTCAATGCAGACTCGACTTGACCCACGGAGCTAGCATTCTTCGTCACAAAGTCTTCATACAGAGTAAGCCATTTAGACGGCTGCAACAATGTTGCAGATACCGGACTATGACTCTTCCAGTCTGAATTCATCTCCGATGAAAAGAGCTCCGGAAGTGCCGAGCAAGCTACAAGAATATCACTTTTTGCAAAAACAATTGAAGGTTTCGAGGCTGCGAAAAGAGAGTCATTAGGCTGAGATCGAGATCGCCTCGCTGGATGGTTCCAGGAGTCGAGTCTGGGTACAGGAGTACTGCGGCACGTGTCCGGCTCTTACCCAAGGACAAGACGATGCCGAGGTAAGCTTCCATAAGGGGTTTTACTCCGCAGTCCGCACTGGTACTATTATTATTACCATTACATTTACATTACCTTGTGATCGACACATACCTTACTCATTCAAAGGTATAGGGAACTGAGCAGGAGTACCAGTATTGCTTATGAATTTGCCAGTCACAGCAACACCGTCAATGAGTTGGATAGTCATGACTTGTGCTGAGTCAATCAGCTACCATTATTGCGGGATTGCGATATGCAGCACCATGGATATGACTGGAGAAGAGCATCAGAGCCGAATGCGAGGAACAAACATGTTGGGTCACTCGAAAGAATATCATTGTTGAAGCGGTTTGCTTACTTGCGATACTAAACATTGGGCTATGCCGTTATATTTCCAATATCTGTTGTTATGCACATTTCAAGGTCATTCATCAGCGAATTTCCACATTCCGCCACGCATTGCTTCTCGATACCGCTCCTTCACTTTTTCCCTCTCGAGATTGTTCGCTACTTCGCGATCATGTTCCAGTTCTTGTGTGTCAGGCATGTCCGTTCGCCAGAATCCTGGAGGCGTGCTGGGACGCTGATGGTCATGCCTATGTTTACTGAAGAGGTTGGCCATGCGCCTCGCTCTGGCCTCATGGAGGAGGCTCTGACGTTCTTCGGCGCTCAGCTGGTCGAGTAGATGTTTCTCTTCACCGAGGTAGTCCTCCAACATTTTCTGCTCTTCTTCTCCATCGTCTGAGCCGTCCGTAGTGGTTGGCGGGCCACCAAGACGCGCCATAGCATGGAACTTCTCTCGGCAGCAACCCGGGCGCGTGCAGCCACTGACACACTTGCGTTCATCCTTTCTGCGGACAACTGTGTCATACGCGAAGTCTAGCCCTTGGTTAGCATTCGGGTTAATCTTAAAATGTCTAAGACCGAGTCGGTGGAGCGGTCGGGCTCGAAAAGGTTCGTCTTCCGAGTGTACAGCGACCGTATCAGGGACTTTGAACGAATGCGACCGCGAACCTTCCTGCGGAGAGGCTTCTGACTTTTCCCGGTCCCCGACGGATATCGAAGGCCTACCGATGGCGGATTCGGTTGGCTCACTGGATTCTGAGGGTTCCTTGACACGCCCCGAGGCTTGTGTACATGGGTCACGGGAAATGTCCCGTTGGTCGGGCCCGATCTCAGCAATGTTTCTATTCTTCTTCTGTATGTGCAATGGATGTCGGGGTCGCAAAGGCCGTTCCAGGAGATCGTCCAGCCGCTGGTGTATCAGTACGTCGTCCATGCTCGTGCTTGTCTGTGTCAACTGGACACGGGATGCCTGCTTTACTTGGCCTCTCCTTGGGACGAGCCTCAAACTTTCATCACCATCTTCTGCTACCGAGTCTAAGGCGTACCTGCTACGTCTCTCTGACTTATTCGATTGCTTTTGCTCCGACCATATCCTAGGGCCATTTGCGCTTGGCAAATTAGTGTCCACAGGTTGAAGTACTGTAGGCCGCTTGGGAGCCAGCTGGGTCGGCTCCGTCTTATGGCGATTCAACCGTAGAGCCGTTGGATTGCGGGGCAAAGGAGACTTGGTAGTGTCTGATGGAAGCTCATGGGACTGGCCGTCCAGATGATAGGATTTTCTTTTCCTCGGCGTCTCGACTGCGCTGCCAACCTCGTCCAAGTCTTGAGTCCCAGCTACATTATGTCCAAGGTGAATTCGTATGGGGCTAGAGGACATGCTCTCGCCCTTTATCAGAACGGGCTGCGCCAACTGGTCGTTCGCCCGAGTGCCGTGGAGGCCGCGCTTACTCGAAGCATGGTCTGTAACTGTATCACGCTTTCTTTTCAATGCCCCAGCTTTCGATTCTGTAGAAGATTCGGGGGTCGAGGAGTTGAAGCGGTTTCATCGCTATCGGTTGAACTTTCTGACTGTGTTGACAATGGCTCCATGGAAGCAGCAGGCGGCAATCCGCCGTTGCCTTGTGCGTTGTGTCTGGATGCAGTCAAGTCGGACGTTGGAGTTAAATGTATCTGTGCAGAAGCATCTCCAACCTTCACCGGCAAATCAGTGGGGCACAGGGGCGAATATTTTGAGGGGGTACGTGTCATATCATCTCTAGTATTTTCTGGGACTCGTTTGAACTTGACTGCACGGCCACCAAGTACAAGCGTGAATTCTTCTTTGTCAAGATGAGCACCCCAGTACTGTAACTTTCTTTTATGTCGTTTAATCTTTGCCTTGAGATCTTTGGACGCATCAATCAGTGTCTGGAAATCCTTATAAAGCGCCAGATATTGATCCCAGACGGCCTTCATTTTGTCCGCTGTGAAGCGTCCATCTTCCTGATCGCCAGTCTCGAATACCCACAGGAGGTGTTCTGGTGAATAGACGTCCTTTAATCGGACCAATTTTTCCAGTCCCTCAATGTCCTCCAGGCCCACATCGTTGCGACGAATTTCCTCTCTTAAGAGGGAAATCTCGCGGTTGAGCTTCAGAACCTCTGCAGAAACAGTGTTTCTGTCTGTACCTGCTAGCTTCTTGTCTAGCTCCTTGACGTACTCGTCGCGACGCGTGAGTTCCGTATGTAAGGATTTATAGGCTTCATCGAAAAGTTTATCAAAATTTTGAGAGACAGAGATATGTAGCTGTTTTAAAACCTCCATGAGGGTCGGTCGCAGGTTGCAGGTAAGTCGCCCATCACGTCCCTGAGACTACCTAGGTATTATACTTAATTATCGCTTGAATCGCGAATGACGCGTTGCGATACTCCGTACTATTCCCGTAATGGGCAGCCTCGGTATCTACCTTGAGGTACGCAGCCTATTAAGTTGACTGACGGGCAATGTAAGGTAAGCAAACATGTAAGGTATCGTTACATATTCGTATTATTTCATACCTTATCGTTGCTGAAATCCTTAGATAAGCGGGCAATTGTTCCTTTGACGTATCAAAGCTCATCATGGTCTCACAAGCTGCCTCACCACGCCTCAATTTCATCAAAATGATGATGAGCGTCTTTGGACTTGGTTGCTTCCATCCGGTATCACTTGTACCTCTTGAGGATTAGCACACATAATGTCCAAGAGATATCTCGACAGTTCCAATACGGATCACCAGCAGCCCAAGCGACCCCGCATAACTCAGGTAGATAGTCAAGATCGCCTCTCCCTATTGAGCGACGAACTGCTGCTCCAGATCTTGTCCTTTCTACCCATACCATCGTTATTAATATGCCAAAGGTTTGCTCTTGTCTCTGTACTCTCTTGATTGGCCCTTTTCCAGTATTCCGGAGCTTGGCTGACGCTCCTTTTTAGGGTATCTCGTCGTTTCCATGCACTTGCTGGGGATTCAGAGCTTTGGAAAAGGCAATATTACTCGCGATGGGTTCGACCTCGAGCACGCCGAGTGGCGAATATTCGACAGGCTACCCTTTCTGCGTCATGGGCAACGTACTCGCCACATGTTTCAACATGGTTGGGCCATGCTCATTTAGCTGAGGAGGGAAAGGTGACGAGTTGGAAGAGACAGTATCGCCTTAGGCATAATTGGTCCAAGGGAATCTGTCAAGTAACTGAAGTCGAACTTCCACAACCCGCGCACTCCCCAATGCTGATCAAGTTCTGCGCGGGCTTTGTCTTCACAGCAGACTCCGAGCATGGGCTGAGGTGTTGGCGTGCTAGCAATCAAATATCATGCTCTGCTAGACTTCCCCTTGTGCAGTCCGAATCAGAAACCTCAGCATTCCCTACAGCGTTAGCGGTGAGCCGCTGCCTACCGCAGAATCTTATCAAAGTAACAGTGGGATTTGCAGACGGCCGTTTCGGCGTCTATGATATGGATACTCAGTCGTTATGCCTGAGATTACGCTCTTTCCATGCCGCTTTTGCCGATGGAGCAATCACCGCAATGGCCACATCGAATTCTTACCTACTAATGGTCTCAGAGCACAATGATTTATCACTGTATGAGATGTTTCTAGCGGAACCCGAGCATTCTACTAGATCCAACGAAGCGAATGCGAGCAAACAATCCTCAGGGGAAGATGTGAAACTACTCGCATCTCTCAAGGCAGACAGTATTTTATCCCCGATGTCCTTGTCAATCCGATTGGCGCATTCGGAAATCATTGCATCTATTGTTTACAGCTTTTTCCATATTGGCTGTGGCTGGTCATTGGGGATTCAAGAACTGCATTTTGGCAAGAATGGCGAGCAGATTGGTTCTCGACTTGCAAGCACCGTTAACGCTCAGTATGGAGCAATGCCACTGCATCCTCTTACTCGTTCGAGGAGGGGATATTCTTCGTCTTTTCAATCGGAGCCATCAAGCGGGGAGTCTCAGGTGGAACTGACAGAGCCGTCCATATTGCACCAGGAACCGCCAACCTCCATTTCCTATTCCCACCCGTATCTCTTGACGTCGCATGCAGACAACACATTGACAGTGTATCTTGTCGTTTCCACTGGTGCAAAACTTTTCGTCAAGGGAGGTCAGAGGCTCTGGGGTCATACTTCGTCAGTATCTGCAGTGCAAGTGAGCGACCGCGGAAAGGCGATTTCCGTGAGCTCTCGTGGCGACGAAATTAGAGTGTGGGAACTTGAGAGTCTGATTCCGTCACTTGGGTCTTCGAAGGCAGCAAGGGGGGAGAACAGCATCCAGGTCAATCCTGACAATAAGCCATGTAAAATTCATGAGGGCGGGCCCTTCCTAGCAGGGTTTCTTGCTTGCCAGCTTTGCGGGCCACAATTGGCGTCTGGGCAGAAGTCTCGTGAATACGCTCGGACGGGAGATTGTGTTGGGTTTGATGATGAGCGTCTGCTTCTTTCCAGTCGAAAGGAAACTGGGACACACTTGATAGAAATGTATGATTTCACATGAAATATTTGAGCAATGTTAAATGATCAGCCAAGTCAGGCATCCTTGGTAAACAAAAGGACTCCCTGATGAACAGCACAGGGATCTTATTTGAAAATGGCCTTTCAGAAAAGGGTTCTTGTCCATACAAGTTTCTTCAAACTTTTTATGACATTGTACGAGAGTAGCGCAGAGCTGGTCTGCTGTTATGGCGGAACATTCAATAGGATGAGGACCTTGTAGGCATCATTAAAGGCATATGTTATATTCCACAGGGGGTCCTTATTGTAAAAGAAGAAAAATCACACAACTACTGTGCTCAATCTCTCTCATCTCATTTTCCCATTCTCACTCTGTATATACAGATGACACTATGAACACATCAATTGCTCGCCTCATCCCCTCGCTCCTTGTAGGGTCAGCTTTGAAGACTGCACGTACCGATCTTCGACTCTGCGAATGGCATGTTGTGGGTTCTTGCAAAAATGAAGACTGCTAGCGCGATTTTGCATCAAGATGAGTATTGAGTCCAAGCAGAACGATCAGTCATGCTGCTACTCATTCAGAACCGGGAATTGCTCCAGAATGGTGCTCTCATGCCATCGCCGGCCCGCAATGCCTCGACCTTGTCTCAGGCAGTCCAGTATCAGGGCTTCCCACTCAATATATTTGCTTCACCATCGTGCCCCTCGCCTGGAAACTTCCTTGACAATATCCTCCAAAACTTCGACCTCGTCAAGGAAGCGTTGTCCGCGCCTTACCTTGCCAAAAGAAAATACCCACGGCTCGGCTGCCGCAGCTTGCCTGCCCTGGGTTCATTTTATCACTTGGTTGCTCGAGAATTTATTGATATACCTCCTTCTGATTCTTCATGAAGCCCCTGCCATTTAGATTTGAGAGGAGCCATTGTGCACTGTGGGGTCTTCTAGCGAAGTTGACTCCCAGTTAAAAGTCTAGCCAGGAACCACGCACGGGAAGCACTCTTTTCCACCCCGCAGGCAGCTAGCATATCTCTTTGCTACCACTACTAAATTTTTTTTTTATTCCCCTGCGAAATAGAATCAATCAATCTCTGATCAACCTCTCTCAATCTCAATCTCTTTTCTTCTGAAACAGAAAAAAAGAAAATAATACAACAAACTCACTCTTCCTATCTTCGCCCACATATCATCAAAAATGGAATATCAAGCTGGAGGTCGTGGATGCTTCAACTGTGAGTCCTTGCAAATTTAACAAGAAAATCTCTGCGATTGTCAATTTGTGCGTACTGCGCTCTCACCCAAATCTATCTCATTGTCGATGCTTCATTATTGTGCTGTTTGCATCAATCGCTTTCAATGTACCCAAAGAAGTCGCTGGTCGCGCCAGCCTCCTGCTGACACATTTATTGTCTCCTCGCCCGTGTTCTTTTCTTGCGTCTCGCTACAGTGTGCACTTTTGAAATCTTGGCCATCTGTTCCTCTGGAATATGGACCTTGAGAAATATGATAGACTAACGACTGTACTTCATAGGTGGCGATGCCTCGCATCAGGTAAGAATTCGCCCAATTCACCAACAAAATGGATTTGCCATCTTGGCCCTTTCAGCAACTATAAAGAAGAAAAGAGACTCATCCTGTTAGGCTCGCGATTGTCCTAAGAAGGGAACTCCTACTTGGTACGACCCTCCTCCCCCGTCAGAAATCAGACAAGATCTAATACTTCTTTTGCCAGCTATAACTGTGGTGGTATGTCATTACTCCTGCCTGAACCTTTCAGCCTTTTATGTTTGGGCAAAGACATTTCTAAAGACATCGAGCAACAATAGGCCAGGGCCATGTCAGTAAGTTCATCGTAATATGCCATCTAGATTGATGGATAATTGGTTAATGACATTTCCTTCCTTTAGGCCGCGAGTGTACAGTAGCTCCCAAGGAGAAGTCGTGCTACCGCTGCGGTGTTGCTGGACACATTTCTCGCGAGTGTTCCCAGGCTGGTTCGGGCGATAACTACAATGGTGCTCCCAGCGGCGGCCAAGAATGCTACAAATGCGGCCAAGTCGGCCATATCGCACGCAATTGCTCCCAGGGCGGCAACTATGGAGGCGGTTTCGGTCACGGAGGATACGGTGGTCGCCAGCAAACTTGCTACTCGTGTGGTGGCTTTGGCCACATGGCCCGCGATTGCACTCATGGTCAGAAGTGCTACAACTGTGAGTTTCTCGTCAATCTTCGTCTCGCACTTGTTGAGTAACAATGATCGTAGGTGGAGATGTCGGACATGTATCCCGCGACTGCCCAACTGAAGCCAAGGGTGAAAGAGTTTGCTACAAGTGCAAGCAACCTGGACACGTCCAGGCTGCTTGCCCTAACTAGTTGAGACATCTCGGGTCATCTGTCTTCAGTATCGCGTTAGTACACACAGAATCATTAATCGGAGATATCATCCTGGCCCGTCCGAGAATCTCGGGTGGTGCGAAGTCTCCCTCTATGGTGAGGTTGCGACCTCGCTCACCAATATGGTTGCCGGCTTCTCCGTCTTTTCCGAGCTTCGGCCGGCATTATGTCGAGTTAATGGTCACCTGGGCCGAATCGCTCTATCGGTTTTTATCCCTCAGTTACAAGCAGGGAGACGTCGGCTTAAGAAATGAACAAGGACTGGTTGCACGTGGGCAAAGTGTGATGAACTCGTTGGTGTGATGCAGAAGATCAAGGAAATACCCATAGCTTTGTAGCTTTCAAAAGCAGTCTTACCTTCACGATTTCAAACCTCTCAGTGTCTCTCCTCTATCAGAACCCTCCATCCAAGTGACTAGTAAGATCCACGACTGATCTTTAAAACCATAGAGTCGGAGTAGGTGCTGATTGGGCTGTAGAGAGAGTCATTTAAATAGTGCATGCTTTCATAAGTTGTGAATATCAAAAGGCTGAAGACGGGAGTGCCCCAGTCGTGACAATGACCAGCTATATGGTACATGCAAAACTTCATGATCTGAGCTGTGGTCTTTGAGATGTGTTGTGATTCCTGTCCCAGCAAGTAGCTTCGTGAATACCAAGAGGCAACATGCAGATACCCAAACGATGCAACAGGGTCTTGGGCGTGTCCATGATCAAGCATGTCCGATGGTGTGCAGTAGAGAAGGTCTCAACTACTATCTAATGTGGATGCCGGCAGTGATTGTCAAGAACTCGAATTTTATGGATACCGTCTTATGAGCTGCAGCTACACATCATGGCTCTCTTGTATCTGGGGACATCGCCGCAAAAACGTTCCTCTTCATCTTTGTCCAAGCCCCATGAATCTCTGAAAGGGTCGAGAGCCATTTGCATGACACGGTCAAGGATTTTTCGGTCTCCTCGTTTCTCTACACGTTCAATGACTTCGTCGAGAATCCATCCGCGAGGTATGAACTGGAGCATGTACACGTCAGCGAGGCAACGTGAGTCGATACCATGTGAGAGGGTGTAAGCAAGGTACAGGCAGCATAAGATGAACAGACTTGATGTGAGTGAAAAGAGACGCTTGAGACTCACATTCGGGTTGACTGCATTCATATCTTTCTGTCGTTCTGCATCGTTTTCGATGCCCCAATCTTCAAGGATTCGAAATCTCCAAGCCGCGAGCCACTTGGCTATGCGCTCTTTTGCAGACTGTTCTGTGTAGCCAATACCGCCGAACCCTTCACTGTGAAAGAAGATGGGTGCTGTGTCCATTCGTTGCTGGTCGGTCTCGATATCAGCAAGTGCTACGTTGGAGAGTCGCCTGAAAAAGTGATTGAAATCAAGCTCTAGAGCTTCCAATGTATCCAACATCTCCGAGAACAGTTCCTGGAAATCAGACTCCTTTTGGGTCTTCAATCCTAGCCTGCGACTCATCAAGCGTTTATATTCGTTCAGAAACACGCCCCTGTATTCATCACCGGTCCGGTCAATGATGGCCTCAGCGCGTTTCACGACAGGTGGTGCGGTTTCTTCGGTCAACCCATCTTTCAAGAACCACTCTTCGTCGACCTTGTCCCCGGCACCAATTAATTCCCCCAAAGCCTCTCCGAGACGAACCAGGTTCCACCAGATGACGGTTGGCTGATTCTTGTAGGAGTATCGCAACAGGTGGTCGTCATGGTTTGGAGTATACTGTGGGTCAAAATTGTCCATAAAGGCGAATGGGCCAAAATCGAGAGACAGTCCGAAGATCGACGTGTTATCCGTGTTAAGTACGCCATTCATAAAACCATACGCTTGCCAGGCTGCCACGGTCTTCGCGTTGCGACGCACTATCTCACGGTATAGTCGTGCAAATCGATTTTCTGTTACAGCCTGGTGTCCCTGTGCATGGTCTCGGGGAATGCCTCTGGCAGGATTATCGATGGCGTCTGCGGAATGGTCCTTGCCTAAGGATACAACACCTGGCAGCATTTCCCATCCTCCAAAAACGTCCTCGGCGGTAAACGTCGCTAGCTTTCTGATGAGATCTCGGTCCCCACGCGAATGCGGCAGATCAAAGCTCCCAATTCTGAGCCAAGTCTCGGCGAAGCGAGCAACGATAGCACCAGGCTCAATGCGCTCACGCAGAACCTTTGACTTTGGAAGCAGAGTGATTGCCAAAGCTCGAGTGCTTGGCACACCAAGAGCGGATAACGCTAGGAAAACCATGAGCTACAATTGCGAGTCCACTAATATATGAGCGCTTACCTTCTGACACAACGTACTCGCGGATACTCGACCGAAGAACAGCCTTGCCATCGGCGAAGCGTGAATATGGCGTCTTTCCCGCTCCCTTCAATTGTAGTTCAAATCGGCGCTTTGTTTGAGGATTGGTGCACTCGAACAGGCTAATCGCTCGCTGATATAGGTCAATTTCTCTCGCTGGAGGCTCATTTTACAGAATACAGAGCTTACTCCATCACCAAGTTGCCCGGCCCAGGAGCCACTGTGCCTGGTCAACACTATCCAAAAAAGTCCAATTAGGAATCAGACAACGTACAATTGCCATCCTACAAGTTATTAACAACGCTTCTTATGCTTTCGGGCCGCGAATTCGTCATACCTCCATAGCACTGAGCCCACGGGTAAATTCCTCCATCCTTTGCGTTCCAGCAGATCTCATTGCCAGATACTAATGCTTGAAATTGGAGCGTAAGTTCCTCGCCCATTTTCAGACCAAGGTCCTTCATCGCTTTAGGGCTGACGCTCAAGAGCTCAGTCTCCTCTGCTGGCTCGGGCCGAACAAACGTGTATAGAGCTCCTTTCACCAAACGGGGTCCAAGAGTCTCTCTGGGCGCCTTGTGGGAAGACTCCGGGGTCTCGAAAGCAGGATCTGGGGGAGCTTTGTTGTAAACACATTGGATTTCGGAAGTTCCGCAAGGGAAACTCCTGCTGTGCTAGTCGAGAATTGGTTTGCCATTTGGCCCAGACGATATCGCATAGACCTTAATCGGCTGAGTCTACTCCGCAAAGACATATAACAGCGTCTCTACTGTGTGTACTCTGTGAAGAAAAAGTGAGAACTGTCTCCGATAGGAATTATGATGACAGGCTTTAAAAATGCAGTATGATGCGGTCACCTAAAATCCTTGATGACTGAAAGAACCTACTGCAAAAATGATTTGCGGGAATGACAAGCAGCATGATTACTGCATAACTACGTGAATCACCCCACAGAGAGTTCTGTGTGTGGAGTCACCAACTCCTAAGGTACCTTAGTACTAGTATGATTTATTGTACTCCGTAGTCCGTACGGCTTATTAGCCATTCATGTAAATACATGGATACATCATAGGTAAGGTATGTAGTACCTTAGGTAGTCTGTTGTATCTTTAGTAGGTAATCTCCAGAAAGGTATCTAGTATGTAATGCTTCAGAGTTGTTAAAGAACAGGCGTTCTCTGATAGAATTCATTCATTGCAAATGATAGAAAGTTTAAGTAATAATGCAGATCCCTACCTATCCTAGCCTTGTACCTTTTAAGGTATAGAGAATTTATTTCCATACTGTAAGGCCAGAAAGAATGGTAATCAGTATGGCTAAGGTACCTAGGGTGGCTATTGTTATCATTACTAGCGCCTCTGGTATAATTACTACTGACATCATCAACATGTCCCCCATCGTCATCATTTCTATTGGTATGGATACTTGAGTCCTTGAACACTTGACTATTTACTAGCAAGAAGGCCATGGGTACATCATCGCATCTTATCGTTATCTACTCACAGTCGAGTCCGTACATCTACTAATAATAATAATAATAATAATAAGTGGGCTGATCAGCGACAGTACAGAGTTATGATGACAGTGCCAAGTGCTAATGCATTAAGTTATGAATACTCCGCAAGCCACGGAATTAAGCCGCACCCCACCTACTCTTAAATGGTGATGGAATTAGAAGGGTATCATTATCTGGAATCACACCAATTCAGCAAGAATTGCGAATGATCGAGTACATTTTTAATCAATCATATATTGGTGCGTCCTGCTAAGACTGGGGTTACCCTTTGTTGTGCCTGAGTATTTGTTAATATCTTATCTTTAGTCGACCGCTCTCCCGCCAGCTGTTCGCAGTCGATCGCTATAGAGAGGTACTCGGTCTTCTTGGATCACATACCGTGGATCCCTCTACGTTGTCTCGACTCTCGAAGGGCATGGCTCAATCGTCTGCGGAAATCCCAAGGGTGGAGCTGAATGACGGCGTTAAGATTCCGATTGTAAGTATTCTCCATCGGCTCTTCTCCGCAGCTTCCCGTAGCGGGAAATTCCCCTGGTCGAACTTGTTAATCTAATTCTCCCAGCTTGGGTATGGCACTGGCACTGCCTGGTTTAAAACAGGCGGGGCGACAGGCATTGATCGAGAGTTAGTTGAGTCGATCAAAACTGCGATCAAGCTAGGATATCACCACTTGGATGGCGCGGAAGTCTATGGTACCGAACCAGAGATAGGACTGGCCATCAAAGAGAGTGGCGTCCCACGGGAGCAACTTTTTGTGACAACCAAGGTGATCACGAATATTGCGGACATCCCCAGAGCGATAGATGCAAGCCTGGAGAAACTGCAACTCAGCTATGTGGACCTGTAAGTAGTGCACGTTATCCTCACAGTACACGACTTTGTGTCGACCTACGAGACTGATATGCTCTATTGCACCTTGCAGATATCTGATCCATTCCCCATTCTTCGCCAAATCGGACAATGAGTTGCAAGAAGCCTGGACTGCCATGGAGAAGGTCAAGGCCGCTGGGAAGGCCAGGTCTATTGGTGTCTCCAATTTCCTACAAAGTCACCTAGAGGCAATTCTCAAATCCGCCAAGGTCACTCCCTCGATCAACCAGATTGAGTACCACCCATATCTACAGCATGGCGGCCTTGTTCCGTTCCAGGGAGACAAGGGAATCAAGACAGCGAGCTACGGGCCTCTTACACCCATTACTCGAGCAAAGGATGGGCCCCTCGGGGAGCTACTGCAAAATCTCGCCTACAAATATGGGGTCAGTGAAGGCGAGATCCTGCTCAGGTGGTCCATAGACCGGGGGGATGTTTCAATCACGACAAGCAGCAAGGAGTCTCGTCTCAGCAGCTATTTGCGTGCGTTGCTCTTCCGACTGACGCCCAAAGAATTGGACGAAATTTCCACTATCGGATGTCAGAAACATTACCGGGCATTTTGGAGGGATAAATTCGCAGATGATGATCGTTCCTGATTCAACGTGTAGCGGCAGCCAGAAGCCTCTCTCCTTCCCTGCTCGAGGCAATTATGGCCCGGCTTTGAGGGTATGTACCTGCGATTAGAGGTGTACTATACACTTTTATTGACACGGGAGCATATGGTCCGATGTGCGCTTATGTCCCGCTGTTAGGCGTACTCACCTTGATACACTATATAATTATAATAAAATCGTATAGAAAAAGAACATAAGGACCTGGTAGGTCGAACCCACTTCGGAGCAAAGTAGAGCATATTGTTGTCTCCACGCATTCATAACTTTCATTAGGCCATCTTTGTCCCTTGGCGATGTAATCAGTAACTTCAAAGACATGCAGTTCCCTCTTTCATACTGCCAAGCATCTCCGCACCAGGCCCAACCCAAGGTAGCTCACCAACGCCGAAGATCATCATCCTTTGAGGAACTATTCTAACCTCCAGTGTCAACCCTTTGTGCCCTCAAATTTGAACTCGATTAGCGAGTGCATCGGGAGCGTTACCCATGGCTCTGGGAATCTAAAATTACTTTTGGCGCGGCATACAGCGTTGCTTGCCAATACAAGTCCTTTTAGATAGAGTCCCCACGCATTAATCATGCTGGATTAAGCTCGTTCCACTCGCGCTGAGCCTGGGAACACAAGGAGATTGTCTTTCGGACGCATTCGTCTGGGTCGACGGCGTCGGCGAGTGCTTGTCCTGTGAATCGCGTTTTCCCTTCAAGCTAGAGTCGCAACCCCGTCATTACACAAGGTTAGCAACTGTTGGACCAAGTCGACAAGACTGTGTCTCATTTTAGCTTCGTGACGCATTGCCCGAATTCTAAATAGGAGATTAACCTTAATATGTCCGTCTATCTTTAGGCCGCGAGTTTTCCTACGTGCGATTCCGGAAGACAAAGGCTCGAAGTGCTTAGCGCCCTCTAGAACAGGCTTCAAGAAAGACAAGAAGCAAACCGAAACTCAAAAATTACTGTCTTCGTCCACGCCTCGTGCCATCGTCGCACGCAATACATGATTAACTGAAGGACTGCAATGTCGGTGAATCGTCGACTTACTCTTCCTGTGGACGATGATAAGAGAAATTCCAAGTCTGCGCTACAACAAACATCTGCGCCAGAAATAGTCTCGGTTGATAAACGACTGGAACGCCTTAAGCAAGAGGTCCTTCCTTTCTATCCGTTCTTGCTCACGGTTCCCACCGATGTGCCTTTCCGTCCTGGTGCCCGATTTATCAACAACTGGGCAGTGGGTGATGACGGGCCTTTCACTCGAGACGAACAAGAACTACAGTACATGACATTTTTGACTCACCAAGACGGTGACTCTTTATTAGTGGCCGTGGGGGATTGGTCAGACGGAACAGGGAACATTATGTCAGACAAGCGCTCAGGGCCTCAAAGTGCGGCAAGCACGCCCTCAGCTGGGTCGTTGAAGAAGAAGATCAGCTTGAACGACTACAGGAATAGGAGAAAGAGTGGTGCTTCAGTCTCGCCTATCAATCAAGTGCCTGTTACACAGACTTCAGCTCCTCATACCTCCGAGGACAAGCGATCAGGGGTGAAGGCCACTACGTCCGTGGACCATTCGGGAAAACAGTCACTCAACTCACTATCGACGAAGTCATCAGTCAGATATGTACCCGAGAGTGTAGGGCGTAAAAGGCCGCCAGAGCTCGGTCATGTGCATCTAGGGTCACATGAAGGGGAGCAGGCAGATGTAGTTTCTTCAAAGAAAGCGAGGCTTTCGCCGAGAATGATTGGGAGCAAGAGTTCTGAGTCCTCGAAGACCAATGGGTTGCCTGATCTACTATCACCAACTTTACCACCCACTTCAGACAGCCCCAAATTACCCAGGCTATTGTCACCAACTCTTCCGCCTGATATTGAGAAAGAGCTAGCGAGACTTGATGAAAGCCGCCCAGTGTCAAGCTCGTTCAAACTACTAAAGCATCTCGATTCTGCATCGTCGAAGGAGAATGTCCAGAACCCGAAGCCGCATGACCACGGCAGACTGCAGCCATACGCAACGACTGGGCCCAGCTTGCATGGTAGAAGCCTGAACTCGACGGCCGATAAATGCATAACTACTCCTATAGATTCTAGGGGCTCTGATTTTGGTGACACACCAAATCTTGACTTGCAATCTCAGAGAGGTGAACAAACGCCACCTTCCACAGACACCAAAGAAAGTATGGCATCGAAGCCACGGCTGGTGGTAAAACTGAAATACGGAAGATCGAATAGGAAGCGCATCGAGGCTCTCTTGAAATTTTCTGCCAAGAGGAAAGCAGCTCTCACATCTTCGCCCATTAACCAGCAAGTGGATTCCGAGAAAGCCCGAGTGACCAAAGCTCAGCTTAACGAATCCAATACTTCCGCACTCGAGCGTACCAGCCACAAATCCCACCGGCTGGAGGGCACAGTCAAGGACACAGTTAACGTGGACACAAGTACTTCAATGAAGGAACGATCGAAGGAGCCCAGGGCGCCAACCCCAGAAAAGTCCCGACTTCCTGCGTCCCCCACCCCGGTCTCGATATCAAATCAATCGAAGAACTTTGCGGGGTCTCCGACCAAGGATGCAAAGAACTCTGCTGCTCGTATCGAGACCTTCCATAGCGCGGGGAAGTCGACGTCCCATCATTGCACCAAAGATCAACCGGGAAACCAGGTGAACACTTCGAAGTCAGCATCCGCGGATTCTGATAATCTAGCGTCTCGGTCCCGGAACTCTGAGCGTCGAGCTTGGAAGGACGAATACCAGAGACTTGGAAACTTGGGTAGGGAGTTGAAGCATGCTGCAGAGAGGCATACCAACAAAGATGCGGTGACTGCTGCTGATGAAAAACTTGCAGTTGTGACGGCGATAGAAGCTGTTCTTTGCTTCATTCTCGCATTTGTCGCTGACGATCAGTCTAAAGCTTTGGCCCGTCAAGTTGGCGACTCATCGACCTGGCTATCTATACTCGCCTATTGGCGTGTTGTGAGAAAGAACAGTGCCCCTTACCCGAGACTCCACAGTCTCTGTTTGATTCTTGGTGCTGTGTCTTATGATGCGATCCACGCTCTCGACTTGGAACGCCTCGCAGTTACTCCATTGCCAGGAGATCATACTCCTGTGCCCACACCGGGAAGTGACGGCACTACTGTCACGTCGGATGAGAACAAGAAGAATCGAAGAGATATCATTGAGTTAAAAAATCGATTACATGATTTTTACAAGGAGTCCCAGAGACTGTGGCTCGAGGGCTTGCAAGGCCTTTCAGAAGATATTCTTGCCCGTGAATTTCCTGACACCTGGTCTAGACGCTCAAGAAGATATTCACACCTGGGAAAGCAAAAGCTCAAGATCGGAGACTATACTGGGGAGTTTCTTTTTCCGCCCGGGAAGACATCAGCACCTGTGGAAACTGTTCGGTTCGGGTGTGCGATTCTAAGAGAGTGGTGTATGAAAGAAGGCGTGGATTGGAGCTGCCGACTGGATTTATGACAAGATGACAGATTATTTATGCTATGGCTGTTGTTCTTACCAACGTCACTATTGTTTCCTTCCTGGATTTCTGTTGGCTTTTTCTGATTTGTCAGTCAGTCAATTCAAGCCAGCGGGCGTTAAACGAGTCTATTTTCTGTTTGCTGTTGTGCCGTGATACCACAGTTTCGAGTCCTTCCAGAATTAGACAAGTGAAGGCACAGTTTTATGGGTTCCCAAAATCATGACGTGCAACTATCCTATCTGCGTATAATAAAATATGTAGTCGTAATGGATAGGACTAATCTGCATATTCTGGGCATCTTACTACAAAGTTGTGAAAGTAGACTATTTGGCCCACGCTAAGATGATCATCGCAATGGCTTTTAAGATATATTCCACATCATCATTTGATGAGTAGTCTAGTCTATGCTGATTATCGCAGCCTCTCACTGAAACATGACACTGACGATAACGTCGCGCGAAAAGAAAATCTTGGTATTCAAAAGAGAGGATGCAAACCCAAGTACTTACGATGTGATGGAATCTTCAAATCACGCATGAATAATACAATGGTCTCAGATAAAAGAAAAGGTATAAAATAAGATCGGAACGTCATGACATAGGACCATCTACTCATATCGGCGTTGAAAACGAGGCCCATTAAAGGACTGGATTCGAATGTGGATTGAGCGACCGAGGGTTCAGCTATGGATATGAAGGACTTGTCCAGAATGCTTACGGCTCAGCCTGATGATGCGCATGGGATGCATGACGAATGTCATTCGCCAAATGTTCACCGAAAAGCCAGCCAGCTTCGCGGCAATACCGGGCTTCTCCACCACGAGTACCAACTTCGCTACTCCAGCAGATGAACGAGGCATCGACAATATCTGCGATGACGCCTTCAGCCGCTCCTAGGATACTCCAGCCGATGATTCCCGCGATGAGTCCGACCACATAGGCATACATACTGCCATGAACTCCATTACCCGGGCCGGGGACCTCGAGGTTCCGAGCAGCGCTTACCCATCCTCCAAAACCGAGTGCCAAAGACATCATGAAGCGAGCGGCGTGGAGAAAGAGCTTCGAAAGCCGGTAGGAGAGGAGCGGTGCAGAACCCGCATGGGACCAAGAAGTCGACCTCGGATGGAATGACAACACCGCCGTCGCAAGTGAGACACTAGGCATTTCGAGGAGGCCACGAGCAGATAGTATGAGCGGTTGGGAATGAATAGCGGCGTAAGTGAGAGCAAGAGGGTCTGTGAGCGCCGCGAGGGGAGAAGGAACAAGTGAGTACACGAAAAGATTCAGAAGCCGAGATAGGCGAGTCGGCAGCAACAGAAGCGGCAGCCGAGTAGATAATGCTATCAGCTTAGAGAAACAGACTGTGCCAAACAACGTGGTGACAGAATGGACAACAGCCGCCTGTACTATCTGCCTAGACGTGGGTTTCGGGGTCGCGAGACGGTGAAAGTACCACTGACTCACTGTTGCAGCTGTAACTGAACGTTGGATACCGGCGATGACTCCCAATGACCAGATGTAAACGAAGAAAAAATAGGTTCCCAGCCACCAGCTGCTGATGTTGAGGGCAAAAGCGTGCGATTCTGACATGTGCCCACCTAGAAAAACTCGAGCGAACATCAGCATCCAGACCCACGTCCAGGAGACAATACAAATCAGGATGCCGAGGCCAAGGAGTAATAATTCCAGGTTTGCAGCGAGAATTCGGCAGGCGAACTCAAGGATGTCGATGGCTTTGCCGATTGCGTGGCGGCTCCGGACAACATTATATATCCAAAAGCTTGAGATAATGAACGGCACGAGAGAGACGACCCTCATGGCTTTGTCCTGAATACTAGTCCCATGCCAGATTCCTTTGAAACTCGAGATGAAGGGGTAAAGCGAGAAAGAGTATAGTATAACAGGAACTGCAAAGATCATTGCATAGACCAAAGGGCGCACGTAATACCGCAGTGACGCCAGCCAAAGAAGTGATATAAATATCGAGACCACCGTATAGATGCCAAGGAGATAGAATGATCCATGAACAGTGAGATATATCGTGTCGCCCCATCTCGATTTGTCACCTGAAGGCGCAGATGTGTGCAAATAAATGAGAAATGAGGTAGCAAGTAGGCAGCCCAGAGATATCAAAAAGAGCTTCCCCAGAAAGTATCATGGGCGCCAGATTGCGTCTCCCCTAGTGAATAAGGCTCAAGACCACAGTCCGCTATGCTTGATTGTTCACGGTCATTGAGAAGTTGTTGCTTATCTACCTCGCTCGGTCCGAGGAACGTCTCAATACCAAGAATCCTTGGCTCTGAGCTTCTTTGTTCCCGGAACAGCTGGACGGATGGAGGACTATCATCAAGACCCTCAAGTGACCCAGCCTTGTCAACATTCTCGTCTGATCTCAATGTATCTTCAAGACGAATATCGACCAAATTCCCTCTGAGACTACGACTTTGTCGGACTTCGTCAGGACCTCCATGGTCATCGGCTGTCATCGCAATTGACTCAAATGCACGACCGCTTTCCCTGTCCACAGACTTACTGCTGGCACGCCAAGAGCTTCTGATCCTCCCCCGCGCTTGACATATTTGTCATCCTGGAGAGGCTGCTGCTCAAGGCTGATCGAACTGTCGCCATCCCCTCCAATTTCCGAAGAATCTTTGAGTTGGCTGCTCCCAAAATGCCGCCTTGACCTTTGCAAGGCGTAGAAGTCCGCAATCTCGCGCTCCCGCTCTGCTTCATCATCCTCGTCACGGAAATCATCTGTGGCGCTGAAGAACAGAGGCGCGGGCTGAGCCGCATTTCGTGAACCGAAAGGAAGATTAGAGACCTGGGATGTGGCTTGGTGGTAAGGATCTAGTGTCATTCGGAAAAACGCTCGTGAGGAAGAAAGGCGAGAAACCCCCGGTCGTGCATTGAGACGATCACTGCCATTACGACGTGCATCATCGAGAGAAGGGCCTAGTCGTGACTGTGACTGAGCAAGGAAGCGAGAGGCATCTGTGTTACCGATGTGAGTCACGCAAACATGAGGCCAGCAGGAATGACGCAAAGGATAACAGGGTAGCTCTTTATTAATTTGGAATGCATACACTCTGAGAACATGACCTGTAGAGTATCTGGACTTGCTAGAGGTCCTGATTCATGCTAAATGAAGGTTCGTGTTAAAGTCCAGAGTTGTTAACGTGACTAGAGTCTCTAATGGTGTGTGGCCGGACAATTTGCGGTGAGCTAATATTCAGTATCACAGGTATATTGGATGTAAATGAAGCACAGACAGGACAGGAACGTCATCTAGAGAGTCGGTCTCTCTAGTTTTAAATCACTAAACATGAGTGAATTTGAAAGAGGTCCAGTTAAGATGTTGGTATAAATCCATGCACTTGCTCATGTGAAGCGGATATTCAGAGATAACGGATGATCTGACGGGAGCACACTCGTCATATGGCCAGGCAGGGTCAGTGGAGATGACTCAGCAGATGTTCCTCAGGACCATGCTCCGTACATTCTGGATACAAAGTCGATTTGATCCCACGTACCTCCTCATCGAAGCATCCAGAACAAGAAATTTAGCATACCGATGTGGCTCTCTTGCGGGAGGCATTGGAGTATGAGTTGAAATATATTGATATTGGCAACCTCCTGATAACTGATACCATAGAACATTATCTACACCTCCGATCCGACGTTTTTTGTATCCATGTCACAGCCATGGGATTACATCGCTAAGCTTGTCTGTATTGGAGACTCTGGCACTGGAAAGTCTAGTGTGAGTGTGTCACGCCCATTTGCCCGGTTTTTATGTTGAACTCAGACAAAATTGTGCTGACCTGCGTGTTGCTGTAAAGTTGACCATTCGACTCTGCGAAGGACGCTTCTCTTCCAGTCATGATGTTACTATTGGCGTGGAATTCGGCTCGCGTATTGTTCCAGTTGGGCCTCCGGCATCAAAGAGTCTGGGGGTAGATTCCGATGTTTCTGACTCTTCTGCTCTGCCATCTTCAACGGCGACAGCTATGGTTGCATCCCACGAGTCTGTTGCCTCGGGCCTCCCCAGCCCTCCACGAAAACCGCTAGGAGATCAACCACAGAAAAAAATGAAGCTCTCCCTTTGGGACACCGCGGGCCAGGAGACTTACAAGTCGATAACTCGCTCGTATTTTCGTGGTGCCTCAGGGGCTCTCCTCGTTTTTGACATCACTCGTCCCTCTACATTCACCTCTTGCACCCAATGGTTGCAGGATCTTCGGCAAATTGCAGAAGATGGTATTGTTGTAATTCTGGTTGGAAATAAGAGCGATCTCGCGGAGATGAAATCCGACGTGAATCAGAGGCGTGTCACCAGGCAAGAAGCGGAGGAGTGGTGCCGCATGAACAATGTTGTTCGCTACGTTGAAACCAGTGCAAAGTCCGGTGAAGGCGTCGAACGCGCATTCCTTGAAGTTGCCGAGAGGATTTATCGCAATATCGAGGCAGGAAAGTACGACCTGAACGATCGTCGAAGCGGTGTAAAGGGTTTTGGGGCTACAGGGGGAGCAAGCGCAGGAACGCCGAAAACCATCACCTTAGGCTTGAATGATGCAATGCGCAGTGGTGGAAATGGTTGGCGCGGAGCTTGTTGCTAGTATGAGAAATACATTTTATGTGAGCCCTCTTGCACGTCATCGTGGTAATATAGGATATTGCGATGCATGACATGGCTTATCTACTATGCAATTATAAATCATACTCCCTGCTTGTTTAATTAAAGATTGTGGTTGGGCAACTCCTTTCACCTGAGTATCACCTTGTTCCTGTAACAGCCACCATGCCTAGACAGGCAGATGGAAAGAATCCCTGGATGAGGAGCACGAAACGAAGCATCGCCATTGATTGTGCTTCCCGATTATAAATAGAGCTCGTAAGGTATCAAGATATTGCCACTGCTACATAATAGCATTGTGTAGTTGTAGGCTGAGATGTTAGTATATAGAGTGCTGGCAGTGGTAACGGATCGGTATATATTGCTTGAACATTGAAGTTGGAACCTGCTGAAAGCTTAATTATATGCCGACTGGAGGTGTTGCTTGTCCCAGAACTCCAGCACACTTGGTGTGCAGATGGTGGAAGGCTTCGCTACGTCCGTCTGCATCCGCGCAGATAAGCAAACGTCATCGGAGAATCCAGTATTATACGGAGTTAATCATTCTAAGAATGGCAACAGCAGCGCCGGACACATTTTAACATACATCGCACGATTGAATCATGGATCCAGAATTGTTCAAGCTGACATTCGTAAGTGCCTGACATCCAAATCAATTCGCAATCCGCCAACCGCTCAGCCAGTTCAAATTGGCCCATTGCTGGCTAGGTCCTTCAATGCCGAACACAATGACCCGGAAATGAACAAACATCCCGATGATGACCATGTAAAGGAAGGCATACAGAGACCCACGAGCCACAGGACTCATTTTTTGAGTAAGCCAGTCGACACAAAAACCGAAGGTAAGTATGGCATAATAGAGCGCAGGGTAATAATGGTGAACATAGGTCACCCGAGCCATGATTATGAAAGGGAAGTAGTGTAGGATCCATCCGAGAAGAGGATAGAAGCCGGAATAATGGATGTGATCGATGTCCGCTTGATTGAGATCCTTGTAACCCCGCTGCCAGCGGGCGAGATACCAGAATATTAAGAGTCCAAAAACCCCGAGACTGACTGTACTGCCCCAGTAGACAAAGGGATTTCCGAGGAGGTAATACTTAATGGTGTTGTCATCCCAGGAGCACATACGAAGGCCCACATTAAGTATGGGCCATTGCCAGAATTTCGACGCAAGGTCATCTTGTTTGTCTGGATCAGGAACAAGGGCGTTGTTCGATGTCATCATGGCGACATTCAGATGAATGAAATCCTTAAAAAAGGGGGACTTGTACGATCCTGGATCACCAGGTGGAACTGCGAGAATTCACGTCAGACCAGGGTACCAGCTTGCTCGAGGGGAAGAAAAGGTAATGTCTGCCGAGGGGGTGAAAACAGCAGAGGGGAGACAGGCTGAGCGGGCAATGGTCAGACTTCTCGGTTGGTACTTACGTCGATCATTGAAATGAGACTCCACGTTCCAATGCGTGTAGACGTCGCGAGGATTGTTCTCTTTGACGCATGTGGTCTCGATCTGCTTAAAACCCCACTGTGGGAGGTTCACGTTGCCGGCGCGCAGATAGCAACCCAGAACGATGTGTCTCAGGCGGAATGCAGTTGTCAGCGTTCGAATCCTGCTTCGATCCCTTGACGCGACATCATCGACAACCTCCACTGCCCAGTGGTCTTTTTCGTCCCCGATAGTGATGTTACCATAGCAGGAGACTTCGTGTTGAGATTTGGTGATAGGAGCCGGGATGGCATGCGAATGAAGGTTTCGGCCCGTTTGCCCATGAATAAGACGAATAATATCGCCATCACCAACAAAAGACAGAGGTCCGTTGGTGTCATACTCAGGTTCATGGCGGTTGGGGTAGATGAACCAATCGTTGTTTGCGTCCTTGTGATGGTAACAAGTGACCTGCTGCTGATTGGAACCGTCGGGATAGGTTTGAACATGAGAATGCAGCAGTCCTCCACCATAACCCATATTTTTTAAAGTGACCCTAGAGCCAAGGGCAATTTCGAGAGGGCTGTCCTTTCCAACTTCGGTGCCCTTTAGGTTGGCCTGAAAGAGAGAGCTCATCTGCGCGTCGCCCGGTCCACTGTTTTCAAGAATCCAGAAATGCACGTAAAAGGAAAGCATATATACCACAGCTGGTATAATAATCAATCCGACTACGCGAGCCAGTAGGTGATTGACGAGGACTGTCTGTTCACAAGGTCAGGTACACAGCAGTCTTCTGGAACTCCCTTCAGTACTGACCTTCGGCATCCTAAAATCGCCAAATTTATTCCACAAATCTTCAATTGTATAGAGTCCCACTAATGCTGTGCAAAAAAGACCCACCCATTTGACACTGCATACGCAGCCGATACTTATACCCGCCAAGAAGAGCCACGTGTACCACTGAACTGAGAAGCTAGCATGCTGTAACCGATGGAACTTAGCCCAGCACATAGTGGTCGTAAAGGTGAAGCAAAGTAACATCGAGTCAAGCAATATGAACCTTGAAATGGTCGCGTAGGAGTTTTCGAACAGAACCATCAGACTGATTAGCCAAACGGTGGCCTTGCGGAAACCGAGCTCTCGAGCAGTGTAATAAGCGAGAGGAACGCACGCGACACCGAAAGCGGCGTTGAAGACACGCATGAATGTAAAGTTGACATCGTCTGGGTATTTCTCTCCTGATTTGAATTCAAAGGATCCGTTGTAGCCAGCAAGGAGACCGGATAAGCCAACAAGCATCTTTCCCAGTGGCGGGTGAACATCAAAGTAGAATTCTCGCTTCAAGTAATGTGAACCGAATTTCCCAAAGCTGGTCAACAGTAATTAGACACTGTGGGAGTTTCGCATGGCTAAGGTTATGTAACGTACTGGGCTTCATCCCATGTCACAATGTTCGAGCGACCTATGCGGTACATACGGGTGAAGACAGCCAAGGCTGTCAGCACAATCGGCGCAATGAAAGGTTCCCAATTATATAGTATTGAGGAGAAAGAACTGGGCTGTTCGGTAAAAGGGTCATTAGCTGGCGATAAGATGCGACGCTTTGTAGGTGAAACAGTGATGAGTATGACCGTCATACCTTAGGCCTCGACTTTGCGTCCTTGTCCTCGAGATCATGAGATGAGAAGAGCTTATCAACTTTCTCTCCGGCGTGAACATTCCTACGCCGCAAATCGGAGCCGACATTGGCACCGGTAGTTGATGCGACATCCATTTCCGCCGTGGTGGATGGTCTCATCCTAGATCGATGCGGAGAAGTCAGCGTTCACGTTGCAAGGGCTCCAGTGGAAATTGGAACGCATACAAAACAGTCTTTTGAAATACTGAGTTTAGAGAAAGAGAATGAGTTGGCGTAGGTGACCCTCAGGGGCAGTACACAGGCATATCAAATTCTCAATTGAAGACGTTGATATCCAGATTATAATGAGCGTGAGCCTACAGGGTCCTCGACAGATCTTCAGGGGGAATCAAAAAATGTACTTTTGTAAAAAAGGGAAGGGTCGAGTAAAAAGTAACGAGGTTTAGGAAAATCAAAAGGAAACGAAGCGAAAGGCAGAGGTGGCTACAGCAGGCATGAAACGAAAGGCTAGTAGAAGCTGGGTTGAAGCATGTGGTCTAAGACTGTAAAGGTAGGTAGTAAGCAAATGGATAGTTGGCCTGCAAATTCCACGGAAAAAGTGGTTCGGCATCGGATCGGCCCCGCTCTGGCCACCTCATTCTCCTCCAAGACACCAATAATGAGTGCTTACCCATGATTGTTGCGGCTTGCCTATGACGGAGTACATCTATAGTCTTCGAGTCTTTGGCGTGGCCCATGGCGAAACTATTGAGTTTCGCCGCGTATGTGAAACAACATACACTACCAAACTTCTTGAAACCAGAGGTCAGATTGTTAGAACTCTGTGGGATATAGGATGCTTATGTGTTGTCTCGCACAAATATCCAGACGCATCTTTGTCCCGACAGACGATGGTAAATCAGCTGTCAGATAGTACATGCTCACAAGTGGACTTGTTACGAAAAGAAGGGTGACAAAGATGGATGAACGAAACGAGAAGCCCAGGATGAGACTTCTCCTACCATAAGCAGGACCCGCCCCTTACCAGAACATAATAATTTTCAATAAGTTATTAACAGAATTCAAGATCTAATGAACGCCCTCATACATTGGAGAAATTCAGGCCGCTATATCACATGTACATAGACACTGCCGAAGAAGAAACAAGCCCGTACTGACCTATGTGGTCAAATCCGCGCCGTCTAGTTCTATCCACAACACAACATAGATACACCAAAGCAAGATTGGTTGTTGCCGCCAAACCTCTGTACCCCTTGGTCAAAGGAGAAGAGAAAGGTGAAGCAACGGCGTGACCACAAAGAGAAGGAGTAGATATATCGCCAAAAGCGCAATAGAAAAGAAGAGAATTAGTACTGTAGAAGCAACAAATTCTCGGAAACGAAGAGGAGCACGAGATGAATATACAATCAAGGACCGTTCTAATCGTTCTCACTCTCCTCTTGCCCCAGACGTCTATACTGATTATTTTTCGCTTGCGGTCCTGGTGCTCTGTGGCGACTGACCATATTTGAAATCCAGCCGCCAATACCTTCAGGCCGTCCGCTGCTTTCATCCAAAGGATTAAGCCCTGCAGGTTTAGAATTCTCATGGGTGTTGATGTTAGGTGGATCAATATCTAAACCAGGAATGGCGCTTTCCGTTCCAAACTGACCATACTGCCGTCTGATGTCCAGGGAAGGCACGGGCGAGCCGCCGCTCATAAGCGACCCACGCTCAGCTTGTGTCGCGGGTGTTGGCACAGCAGTAGTTGCATCTCCAAAGAGGACGTCCATATCTTCCAGACGTACACCGCTCGTTTCGGGATAGAGGAAGTATACTTAAAGGTACCAATTAGTGAACGGTAAGTGACGGCTCTGCAATGTGATGCTCACCAAGTACAAAACTACAAGCGCAAAAGAAGGCATGGACAAGGTAAAGGCGCCATTTGATCGCTGCCTGAAGGACAGGAGTCACCTCTCCGACGAGCCAGTTGAAAGCCCAGTTCGTAGCTGTGCTAAGACTGGCCCCCTTGGCACGGATGCTCAGGGGCAAGATCTCGGGAGGGTACAGCCAGGGGATAGGGCCCCAGGATGCGCCGAACGAGCTAAGTTGCGTTAGTACTGGATAGATTATTTATAGTTCCACCCATTGAGAAGAGGGAGAGGAGCACAAAAGATACTCACGCGTTGTAAATCATGACAAAAATAACAGTCAGAGTTGGGGTTGCTGCAACATCGATATAGATGAAGTAAGATATCAGAGAGAGAGAAATAATCATTGCAACGGCCCCGGAAAGCAAGATCGGGCGCCTTCCCCAGCGGTCAACGAGATACCATGGGGGAACTGTTGAGGCAAGGTACGAGAGCCCATTAATTCCAGTCATCAAAATAGCATCGCGACCCGCCCAGCCTGCTGACTCAAAGACGAGCGGGGCATAATAGGATATCACATTAATACCGTTCAGCTGTGCCAATGCCTGAGCTGACATTGCGATGAGGACTCGTTTGCGATAACGCTTAAACATATCAGTGTAGGATCTTTCACCTTCCTGCCGTTGCAGAAGGACGTCCATCTTGATTTCTCGATACTCCTGCCGGGCCTTGTCGTTGTGCAAATCCCCCTGCCCATATAAATTGGCAATGACCACCATGCCCTCTTCATCGTGATCATTATCTAACAACCATCTGCCTTTGTATAAGCAATATGCATGGCATGAAGATTGAAGTGGCAATTTCAGATACTCACCTCGGCGATTCACATATGATGAGACTTCCTAGGCCAAGGAGGGTACCCATAATGCATTGGCATAGCAGTGGCAAACGCCACGCATAGTTGCTGTCGATGTAACTGCAGAAATAGTCCACCCACACACTAGCCGCGTATCCGCAGATATTGCCGGTAAACTCAATACACGCTAATTTGCCCCTGTTGTGAGGCGGCTATTGATGCGTCAGCGTATCGGCCAAAAAGAAGGGGGAGAAGAAATCGAGTGATTCCGCATACGGATATCTCTGATTGATAAACTGGTACTATTGTTGACAATGCTCCGACGCCTAGGCCGGCAACAATACGGCCGAGCATCATCATGGGTAGACCAGTTGCGAAGGTCTGGAAAGCGCCACCGATAGAGAACACGATAGAGCCGTAGAGGATGGTCTTCCGCCGTCCTATCAAGTCGCCAATCCGGCCGATGAGTAAGGAAGAAATGAATGCACCAACTTCAAGGATGGCGACGACTGTGCCGATCGCAGCTCGCGATGGTTGGTTGAAGTAATCCTTGAAGTACCAACCACTGTATTCACGTTAGTCATTTGTTTCAAAATCGCCATGCCGATCATCTCCAAGGCATGGAGGCCGTTTGCCGCAAAGTCGGAGGACGAACGTGATTATACCCGACATAACACCCTGATCATAGCCAAAAAGGAAAACACCTAATGAGACGAAAACACTGGTAAAGTATCTGTATAAAGGTCAATGAAAGTACTGCAGAGCCAGGAATCAGAAAGCAGGATCTTCTTACAGTAAGGGCTTCCCAACCAAGCCATGTATCTGGGCGGTGTGTCTATCGCTTGGAGACATGATGACAGCTAAAGACCGCTCTATCCTGGAAATCCGCCTAGGCGCAGGTGAGGGAATGTCGATGGATATCTTCTCAAGACCGGTCCGACCAGCGGGCGATTGAGCTATGTAGCGCACGCGCCTTTGTCGCTTCAGTCCGGCTCGAGACCCTTCTGGACTGGCCGTTTCGCAATCCAGAGACTTCCGCAGTCGATTTTGAAGAGGCTCTTCTACATCTGCAAGCTGCTCGGCTAGGTCACCTGTGTCGGTCCAAACGGAGAATGTAGACTCGACAGTGTGACCAGACGAGTATGAGGAACGTCGACTGCCTTTCTCGCTCGCAGAATCAACACCGACAAATTGCCCCGAGGATGATTGCAAATGAGCGCTTATTGACCGCAGAGGTATAGTACTTGAGGTGCGTAGAGAAGCCTTTGCTGAAGGAATGTTGGCGGTTGTGGTGGGCTGAAAGCGACAGCCCTTCCGCGCTCAAGAGTGGGTTCTCGAAAAGAGTTTAAAGTAATCAAAGGTGGACTGGAGATATCAAGCTCTCCAGCTCCTCCATGCAGAGTCTGGAATGTTTTCTTCCTGAAGGTAGTCCAGACAGGTGTTGTAGATTAGGGCGGCAGCTTTCCGAGAGGTACGAAGACTGGTGCTGCGGGAAGCTGGACGTTTTCTAGCCGAATGATGCAAGGCAACTTGGGTAGAATATTGATCCGCAGAATCTACGAGACCACGAGAGCAGATAGAGGAGACGTTGCGGCGAGGAGGCCAGAATCTATCTCAAGGGTTTAAGCTTGCAATGGATCAGCGGTGCGGAGTAGCCAAGTGACACAGTTGGAGCCCGTTCAGGCAAGACCAAGTGGTCAGGCGGAAAAACCAAATAAGGCAACGACAAAGGCTGGCTCAATATAGCTAGCCGAGCACATGCAACGGCAGGGTTGTCGACCCTAGACGACGGATTGAATGGATAGAGGAAATTATTTGACTCCTTGGTATCAAATGTAAATGTTAGAGAATGGCACGGAAGAAAAAGATAGATGGCAGGGTTGAAAGCACGGAAAACACACTTAGGCGTTCGCTTTCCCCAGAAAGTTGGGGAGAGGGTGCTGAAAGTGGAGGCCAGAGAAGAGACCTAGCGCACTCAGTCTACTCGTACGGTCGGAGCAGCCTAATCATTGCCCCTGATACCTCATTGGATGACTGGGTCATGGGTCATTTATTGCAAGTTTGCAACTTGCGGACGGGAACGGGACGGAATGTACCTCCTTCAGGTAGACAGCGTAGACTAAGGTACCTTAGGTACTTACGGAATATGCCCGGCCAAGGGATGAGAATACGTAGTAAGGTATCCACCATACTATGTCATTTACCCAATAATAGTTATTAATGATACCTAGGGTACCTTAGTCACTGCCTACTAACTACTCCACACATGGCTTCATTCGAAAGGGAAAGCTGCCTCAAGATGAATGTCTGCGGTAATTATTCTCCATACTTCAACCGTGAATTGTCTAGGAAGATATCTGTGTGTCCGCTTTTAAAATGGGACTATAGGTATCATACCCACCCTCTCCATGCTAAGAAAGGTTATGAATATGAAAATGGCTGTTGAGGCACCAATAATGAATAATGTATCTACAAGGCAGATACTCCGTACACCTCTTCTACCATTACTGGGACCCAGCCGAACAGTCCACTACTTATTCATTGCATCTGAAATCAAGGCCAACAATTAAGTAGATCCTGTTATGGGCAGTGAGCCAATAATGGTGGAGGTCTCACCTCTTTTCTCAAGGTACCTTACACTCTACACAACACGGTACCTCCTAGGAAGCATCTCAGCGATACTAAAAGTGACGGTACTCTGTAGTACAGTTGGTACTCTAAACCACCTTGTCGGAACTTCCAGGTCGAAGAGCCATGTACTTGGGACTCTGAAACCCAGAGTATGAATAGAAAGGAAGCTCTTCAGGATGCCTTTTGACGAGTGAGCATATATGAATTGTCCATTCAGACTGATTAGGTCTGGCCGTGGTCTCTCTTGTGCCGTCACCAGAGTCTCACCTGTGACCACAAGTTCATGAATGGGAGGTTAAATATCTGAGGCCTTGCCATTGAAAGCAGGACAACCTGTCAGTATTCTAGTGTACTTCCTCAATATTTACAGATGGTCTGGCTACATTATACTGCATGGCGAAAGTACTGGCGTAATGTTTACAAAAAAGGTACGCAGTAGGACTGACTTGACCGGGACCATTACGCAAAACTCATGACAGGCATAGCCTACATCAGCATCTCAGGAGACAAAGTCACATAATCTGGTCAAATATGGTAATATTGTCAGCACAGCGAGAGGCCAGACAATCTTATAGACGTGCCATGTGAACAGTCATCTGACATCCACTCCATGAATATAGTACAAGGACCTGAGATAAGACCCGACCTGTCCATTCGCTCGTACAGAAGTTCAGGAAACGGGCTCGAGGCGAGATGACATGTAGAAGCAGCGAAAATCAACATCAATGTGCGTCTTCGAATATCCTATCGCTGAACATTGGTACGAGAACAATCAATGAGGGCTCATCGTGACAATTTGATACAATCACTGACCAGACCTTTCTCTCAAGTCAGAAGAATGTCGTAGCCGTCTTTCTGAATGTAGATGGCGTCAGCCAAATTAGCATATTTGCGACGCACAAGTTCGAATATCACAAGCCCAGTACTAGTGCTAGGCACTTGGCGAAGAGCATTTCCTACAAACCCCTGAAATAACCATTTACGCCAACCACCAGCACGTGCTGCTCTCCTCCTGCAGCGTTTGAATGTTTCTCGATAAGCGGAATAATAGACTTGCATCATCTGCCCTTTCGTGGAGATCAGGTTAGCCTGATGATCAAGATATTCTAGTCGAGAATAATGAATATTCTGGATAGCACTCAGCGGATGCTGTACGGCCTGCTGCGCAATTGACGCTGCTACACCGGCTAACATCAGGAAGCATGGCTCTAAGCTATAGTGAGGTTTGATGAGCGGGACCCCACGGTCACTTGATTGAGGGTCTCGCAGACCGTCCAGCTGATGGCTGCGAAGTGACCCGTAATATCTTGTAATGAAAGAATAATATGCTTGCGACTTTATGTACTCGAAAGTACTGAAGAAAACAGCGTATCCAAATGAGTCGCGCAGAAGAGACAGGCTCCAGCCTGCGAAAATGCCGCGAAGACCAATTTCTTTGAGTTTGTTCTGCCCATAGTGCCACATGCTGCGGTACTGGCCATGGAGCATGTCATTCGTTCGTAATCGAACCTGAACAGCATCTAGAGGCGCAGCTACAACTGACTGTACCGCACCAGCGGCAAAGCCAGCTGCAAATGTATCAACAGGAGATGCAGGAGGGTATATACGCTTGACACTTCGGGAAACGGGTTCATATAGGATGCCAAGGGCCTGTAGATACGACGTATACAGGACAGCGCCAATGCTAACAGCAGTTGTTAGGCTCAGAGTGACCGAAGGGCGGACTTAACTCACCCTGCATTTGCCAACATAGGTGGTAAAAGCTGATTGGGGATGAACCGCCAACCATAAGTACGAACGGCATGGACGAGAAGACCAGGAGTCGTTGTATGTAATGACCAACGCTTTTCAGCGGAATGAGGGTTGACAGCTCTTGCGAATGCCTAACGCGAACGTTTCGAGCGGAACAATCATCAGCTCATGTCGGGCACGATGAGTATAGAAGTCCTAAGAAATTCGGAGAAAAGAAGCCAGGAAGTGTTTCGACCGTTATACGGACCATATAACTGCACGTGTGTCAACAAATCTCAGTCTGAGTAGCGAGGGGGAGGAGTGCATACTCAACCCGAGTGCGAAAAAAGGCCTTCACGGGAGCTCTGAAGTAGAAAGCAACCATCTGCGCACTGACTGCACGAACACCAGCTGCCGAAGCGCCAGTGGCTGCATCATTCCGAGGGTTTCTTTGAGTGGACTTGCTGGATTCTGCGCCAGAGACATTGTCATCGAAGCGTACTTGATCCCCAAGGGAAATGGTATCCTCAGATGACATTATGCGGATGACTGAGCGCGCCCTTCTCCATCGGGACGTATATGCATTCAGATCACAAAAGCTCGCGGAGAGGATGATTATCAGTTGCGTATCCGGATATTTTACCAATCCTCTCCTACAGAGAGGTAGCAGAATATGGAGAAAATAATCGAGATGAAGGATAAGACAAGTTGAGAAACATTGAGATTATCAATGTTGGATCACCTTTTCAGGAAAGGTATGGTACCTGGGTAGGCATGATAATAAATAAAAGAAGACCGAAAAAGAAGTATGCCTTATAGTGATGTGAATCTGAATTGAATCTGAAAGGCAATAAATACGTTTCAACTCCCGTAAAAATAATAAATGTTTACTCAGATATCATTGGAACTCTTTTTATTGTTCTCCATACCAAGAGTCCAATTGAGAGTTAGCATACCATGCAAAGGATGCAAACTGCTCAAACATGGGAAAACGCGTAGCACCAGCCTCGCGTGAGTACAACTTCAGACTTCGCTATTCTCCGTCCTTACATAGTCCTGTGCATCGTCACATCCTTGGACTTTTGTTTTTACCATATTCGCGTTACCGAATTCAGAGATTAAGGCGATCAGAGAAGCTTGACGAGACTTGTGCACTTCTAGTTCTTCAGGCAGGCTAAGCACACCCTGCACGACAATCTCACTTTCAACGCCATCAGATCATGGCTGAAGAGATTGTGATAGACAAGACTTCGTTTTTCAATCGGTTGTCAAGCTTCTACACGGCATGGAGAGCGGACAAACGCTCAAGTCACCCCACATTTGGTGGTGTTGGCTCGATTGTCATCTTAATGGGCAAGACTGACGAGGCGAATACTTTTCAAAAGAATAACGCTATGCATGTATGCTCAATCCCTGCCGCTACACTTGGTGCTTCCTTTGCAATGCTAACATAATTGTCGGTTGACTGTTAGTTCTGGTTGCTTGGTTATGAGTTTCCAGCCACGCTTCTCGTCTTTACGTTGGAAGCTGTTTATGTTGTGACAACTGCGAAGAAAGGTAAATCTTTACGTCCGAAGTACAGGGGCTTTTTGCTGAATAGAGGGTGTCCACTCAGCCAAGCATCTTGAGCCGTTGAGGGGTGGCAAGATCCCAGTTGAAATACTGGTTACAACAAAGGATCCTGAAGGGAAATTGAGGTCTTTCGAGAAATGCATTGAAGTCATCAGAAGCACTGGTGTAAGTGCTCTATCAAGTGACATTGCTGTTGTGTTGTTACTTGGAACTAATTTCGTCGTCCGTATGAAGAATAAAGTCGGTGTTTTACCGAAGGACACAACTGCAGGTCCCTTCGCCGAAGACTGGAAGCGCACTTTTGCGACATTATCTGGCGAAATAGAGGAAGTTGACATTTCGCCGGCTCTGTCGGCTGCATTTGCAGTGAAAGATACCGACGAGTTGGTGCGTTGAAAAGGAGCTTACTGTTTGGGGAATTGGGAAGGACAATTAGCTAATATTATGCAGGTGTCCATAAGAAACGCTTCACGAGCTTGCAGTGGCTTGATGTCTGAATACTTTGTGGAGGAAATGTCACGCCTTCTCGACGAAGAAAAGCAAATGACTCATAAGGCTCTTTCCGCGCGGGTCGATGCAAAAATCGACGACGCTAAATTTTTCAACAAACTGGGCAAACTACCGGCCGAGTTCGACGCTCAACAGATTGACTGGGCCTATGGACCCGTCATTCAAAGCGGGGGAAAGTATGACCTTAGACTCACAGCAGTGTCTGATAACAGCAATCTCGAACCGGGCATTATTATCGCTGGATTCGGGATACGGTATAAGACTTACAGTTCAATGATTGCGCGGACCTACTTAGTGGATCCGAGTAAGTCTCAAGAGACAAACTATGCCTTTCTTCTGGCTTTACATGAAGCGGTTATGAGAGATGTGCGCGACGGCACAATCGCCAAAGACCTATACAACAAGGCGATCAATTTAATCCGGACGAAGAAACCGGAACTTGAGTCCCACTTCGTCAAGAGTGTCGGTGCTGGTATCGGAATTGAGCTTCGAGACCCTAACATGGTGCTGAATGGGAAAAACAGCAGAACACTGAAAAGCGGCATGACTCTCTCTATCACAGTGGGACTAACAGACGTTGAAGACCCGGAATTGAAAGGAAGCAAGAGTTCAACTTACTCTATGGTCATCACAGACACCGTTCGTGTGGGAGAAAATGGGCCACATGTGTTCACCAAGGATGCAGGTCTTGACATGGACTCCGTATCATTCTACTTCGGAGACGAAGATGAACCTCAAAAACCCATCAAGGAGAAAAAGGAAGCGAAAACCAGTGCTATCGCTAGCAGGAACATCACAAGAACGAAGCTCCGAGCGGAACGGCCAACTCAAATAAATGAAGGTGCTGAGGCGCGTCGCCGCGAGCACCAAAAGGAGCTAGCCGCTAAAAAGACAAAAGAGGGCCTTGATCGATTTGCTGGAACTACCGGAGACGACAATGGAGTTACGCAGAAAAAATTCAAACGGTTCGAATCGTACAAGAGGGATAATCAATTGCCAACAAAGGTGAGAGATCTCACGATATATGTTGACCAAAAAGCATCTACAGTAATAGTTCCCATAATGGGTCGACCAGTCCCGTTCCATATCAACACAATCAAGAATGCAAGTAAAAGCGACGAGGGCGAATATGCGTACCTCCGCATCAACTTCCTTTCCCCCGGCCAGGGAGTTGGTAGGAAGGACGACCAGCCTTTCGAGGATCTGTCGGCTCATTTCCTGCGAAACCTGACTCTTCGTTCTAAGGACAACGAGAGGCTGGCTCAGGTTGCCCAGGATATCACTGAACTGAGAAAAAATGCTTTGAGGCGGGAGCAAGAAAAGAAGGAGATGGAAGACGTCGTAGAGCAAGACAAGCTCATTGAGATCCGAAGTACTTCCTTGCACCGCCCAAATCTGTTGCCAATGCTAATCACTCATAGACCGCCGTCCTGTAAAGTTACCTGACGTCTATCTTCGGCCTCCTTTGGATGGGAAGCGCGTTCCGGGTGAGGTCGAGATACATCAGAACGGTCTTCGATACATGTCTCCGTTCCGGAATGAACACGTCGACGTGCTCTTCAGCAATGTGAAACATTTGTTCTTCCAGCCGTGTGCTCACGAGTTGATTGTCCTCATTCACGTCCATCTCAAAACGCCTATCATGATTGGGAAAAGGAAAACGAGAGATGTGCAGTTTTACCGGGAGGCCACCGAGATGCAATTCGACGAGACTGGCAATCGCAGGCGCAAACATCGCTATGGAGATGAAGAGGAATTCGAGGCCGAACAAGAAGAAAGGCGACGCAGAGCAGCATTGGACAGAGAATTCAAGGCTTTCGCTGAGAAGATAGCCGATGCCGGGAAAGACGAGGGCGTTGATGTCGACATACCATTTCGAGAGATTGGTTTCACTGGCGTCCCCAACCGCTCCAATGTTCTGATACAACCGACCACTGACGCCCTCGTGCAATTGACGGAACCACCCTTCCTAGTCATCACCCTGAATGAGATTGAAATTGCCCATCTCGAGAGAGTGCAGGTAAGGTTCTACTAATGTTGTGATTAATATTATTGTTTTGCTAATGGATTTGCAGTTTGGTCTCAAGAACTTTGACCTAGTCTTCGTATTCAAGGACTTTCACAGGGCCCCTGTTCATATAAACACGATCCCGGTTGAGTCCTTGGAAGGCGTGAAAGATTGGCTGGATTCCGTCGATATTGCTTTCACCGAGGGACCTCTGAACCTCAACTGGACAACCATCATGAAAACGGTTGTGAGTGATCCTTACGGTTTCTTTGCGGATGGAGGTTGGTCCTTCTTAGCCGCAGAGTCTGATTCGGAGGACGGATCGGAAGAGGAGGAGGAGTCTGCATTTGAGCTTTCCGAGTCGGAATTGGCGGCGGCAGATGAGAGCTCTGAGGACGATAGCGAATTTGACGACGATGCTAGCGCAGAGGCAAGTGATTTCAGCGCAGAAGAAGAGAGTGGTGAAGATTGGGATGAGCTCGAAAGGAAAGCTAAGAAGAAGGATAGGGAAGGCGGCTTGGATGATGAAGAACATGGCAAGAAGCGAAAACGGTAGCGTGGTTTATGCGACTTCTCGTCCAAATACTCTTGAGTTTCATCGATCCGCCTTTCATCGACTACTCTTTCATATAGATTATCTTCGATAATAATGGTCATGTATTGGCTCAGTAGAATCTTGCGGATAGGGCTATGGGCTTTGCTTTGACAGTGTATCTGGGTAGATGAATAATGGCTAATCTCATGCTCAACTAACTCTAGTTGCATCTTGTGCTCGGGTAACCATGGGCTTAGACAGCAAATGTGAATGATCATGGGAGATTCCCTAGTCGAAAGGGCGATAACATGGGAAAGTAACACAGTAGGATATGTCATGGTGGTCAGAGAGCGATGTCTCTCCAAGCTCTATTTACGAAAACTACTGAGTACTAGAAAATAGATAATCAGAATTTGTCCCAGGCCAGATGTTATTTTCCTTTTCTCATGGAGAACCACATGTCTCGCATTCTCTTCAGCTGATTAGATGTAAAGGAAGCATAACAGTCATCAGATGAATAGTCCATGAAATTATGTATGTCGTCCAAGCCAGGGCTATCCGGGCATGAATCCTTCTGAGAAGGGCACCCATCAGTGGGCACCAACTGCTGCGGTGTGTCTGCAATGTAATCACCAGCATTGTCTTTCGAACACGACTCCCCTTCAAAAGTGTGTAAGAGACCATTCCAGTGACCAATTTCGTGTATTGCAGTACCACCCCGATTGTAATGAGTCATGGGGCCACCAGGCATAGTCTTAGCGAGCACATTGCAGCCATCTTTGGAGTAGCTGACTCGAGGGCTGCTGGCGTTAATGCTTGGATCCGGAAGAGTGCAGAAACCAAGGACGCTAGGGGGGGCAAGGTCTGAGTTATATGCGTGGCGATTGTCACCTTCAAAGGTCCATCTCGCAAAGTCTGTGGTGGAGGGCGGCTGTAGATTGGTCTGAAAGTAGACATTTAACGTGCTGTAACCTCCCTTGCGAAGTGCTTTCTTCATGGCGGAGTCATCCCCATTGCGCGCCCAAGTTTTATTAATATGACGGGTGACGCCCTTTAACCGATAGGATATCGAAGCGTTTTCATAGGCTTTTTGCAAATAATGTAACTTCGAGATTGTCAACTAGCTGGAAGAGTAACCACGACGCAGCCGTCTCTGATAAACGTAAACTGACCTGAAGTATGACCATCTCGTCCGTTACTAAATCTGCATCGGTTTCACCACTCACAATGTGAAACCACGTCTCTATCTCAATGGGCTCCAAGGCTCTTCGCATGTCGTAAGATACGCTACTAGGTTTCGATTCGAACGCGCCTAGTCTCTCATGTTCAGCCCTGAATGCTGCATCTGGACCACCAGTGGCACAAAGAGAACGGCCCTGTAAAGCCGTCGCACGACATAGAGTTCGGCGGTTTGACATGAGGCTTATAACAGACAAGACATAAACGCAGGAAATGGAAGGCAACATCATGTTGAGGAAGCTTGTTGCAGAGCATCTTGGCTTCAATCTCTGAAGGCTGCCTGGAATTTATAAAGTACATCTTGTTGCTATTGGAAACTGGAATGTTTGGTGTTGATTACCCAAAGACAGGAATGTCGTCTCTGACAGGGAAGTTCCTGACAAGGGACAAGTGGAGAAATTCCAGTCTGAAGTGTGCACATTCTGAACTTTGTTATATTCACCAATAGAGGAATCATGCCTATTCAGGAAACAGTCTCGGAATCAACATCTTAGCAAAAGAAGATTAGCACATACTGTAATGCTTAGAGCAATGGCAGTGAGATTCAGCCCGATAACCATGTGAACACCTCGAAAGCAGCAATGACAGAGCGCGCAAAAAAAGGAAAAAAAGAAAAAAGAGAGACTGCCATCATACCGCACGAAACAAGGCAATTTGCTGGTTAAGCCTGTATCAATGGGCATGCGGTCCAAATCTGTCATTCCTGCCCGTAGCAGTGACTGTACTTTCCTGTTCATTATTCCAGGTCAAGTAAGTGTGATCGCCGAGTTTCCTAACCACAGTAAGCTTTAATAGTTGTCGAGCAGAGGATCAATAATACATACCTTGGTCGTACTAAATGTGCAAGGGTAAACAGAGCCCCAAGAAGGACGCAAATACCGCCAACGACGACATAAGCTATACCCATGAAAGGATTTTGTCCCCCAATGACAGTTCTGGTGGAGATGAGAATTGACTTCGTGCCACCATACTCAGTAACCGGAAACCCTAGAGCCCAATTAGCCAGTGGTAAGGTGAATTGCATAGCGCGAACGAACGATCTTCAATATCCAGGCGATAAGAGCCAGCTTTCATAGACACGCTGTCATTTCTGCGGGACAGTTTGCTGAAAGCCGGTAGCGCAGCGGTCCTCATCCAAACCATGAAGTCTTCATCTTCATGAAGGTCGGGATACCGTCAATATACCCGTTTGGGTAACGGTCGTGCCAATTCGGTGGTGGCACAACTTCCCATGGCTTGTATTGTGTGGTTTTAATAAGCTCCTTATCACTATCCCAGGCGATGCCCTTGTTAGTCATGAAGTACACTGTCGGGTTCAAGTCACTGAGGAGTTCAGGGCTGTGTATTGTGTCATTGAACTGTGAGTTCGCAATGAGTCCGCACGGGTAATAAGCCTTTCCAGTAGGGTCGAGTTTAAGAGGATCACATGAGCCACCATCGATGGTCTTATTGTCAACGGCTTTGCCTTTCAACTGATCTATATCCAATGACTTCACGTATCGCCGATGGTTCTGGTAAAAGTTGGTAAGACGATAGTACAGAAAGACGGGAGGCCCTAAATCGTCCGGTACTTCGAAACTCAGCCGACAAATGGTAGTCCCGTTCTCTATACGACGCTCCCATGTCGGGGTAGACTGTCCAGTCGATGACTTGAACGATGACTTGACTCGGTCTGCAATTGAGACTGGGTAAGAAGGGGCCTTTTCCGCGCATTCTGAATAATCTATAGATATCTCTTGGACCTTATCATTGTGCTATGTCAGATGGCAATGCGCATGAAATTTTGAATCGACAATACATACTTGGGAGCTAGCCCATAAGAGAAGGCCACCGATCGGTGCAAATATGATGCCGAATACAAAGAAGATTGGCAGAACGCTTCGCGGCGTGAGAATTGGTCTATGGTGTCGACGTGTTAGCAAATTTAGGTATAATCGACAATATACTTAGATTTAGATCTTACTGCCAGGCTTTTAAGCGCTGTTGTCTGAAAGCAGTGTCTGTTATTGGGCTGTAAGTATTGAGGAAAATAGGTATCCACGGAGATTTCTTAAAGACTGAGAGGGCTCTTACTAGCAGGTCTCCTAGTCTTTGACTTCTTATCGCTGTCAGTTTGCCCCCACGAGCTTGATCTTTGAGAGACCCTGTTTGAGGAGTTTCCACATTAGACATATCGATATGATGGCTTTCTAAATCAATTTCAATGGGGATTGAGTATGAAGAGGTTCTGGTCGGTCTAAACCATTAAGAGTTGTCCAGTAGTTAGATAAGAAAGTAGTACTAATAAGGAGTTAATGGACCATTCGGGTGGCGTCCTCGAATCATATATTACGGTACTCTCCGTTGATTCAAATGCATGCCTTAGTGTCTTCCACTTTCTACTCCAGACGTCCAGAGTCCAGATTCACTGACATTCGACTTACCTACTACCCGACGACGGACGACTACCTTAATTAGCAACTACTTAAGGTTATTTCAGATCTTTGCCTTAGTTTTTATGTTTTAACTTCACAGGCAGCTCATAGGTCCCAAAAGACCCTGCTATTATTTTGGAACCTGTTACACTAGGTAGTCGAACCAGGTTGATGAAGGACGGTATAAATCTCAACCTATGTACATTTAGAAACTCTATAGGAAAATTGTCGATTAACACTGTATAGAGTGATCTGTGACTTGTCGGTGGTTTCCGCATTAATCAAGGACACCCTTGCAGGCTAACTCTGGGAACCTGCCCTGAGTATAGCTGAGTACTAAGGCTAAGGTATTGATAGAAAATCATAGGTTCATTCTGTATAAGCCTACTTTTTAACAGATAAGGTTACGAGACATGCTGGCAGCCTTTAACGTACGACCGTAGGTTGACAGTCATATAACAGCCTGTCGAAAATCAAGCATGCCGGGATTGCCGAAAGAGAGCGCCCGAATCAAGTTGTACCAAAGTTAAGAATTAGTCAGGTGAATAAGTAAAAAAGGAACCAGCATATGACTTATGCAAAGTCTTTCTATCCTAGAACTGATAAGGGCACAGTCCAGCCGTGCACCTCTCGTAAACCAAAGAGTCCAAGGTGCAGAGGAGGTCTGGAAGGGAAAGAACTCGCCCCATTCCAAAGTGCAGCAGGGGGCTATAATCATCGATTCGCTATTAAGTAACCTGGTCCGAGTCCAACTCCCACAGAATAAAGCTAAAATAACACTAATCGCAACATAGCAAGGTATGAGTATTATCGACCAATAAAAATTCACCAATTGCTAAGGTAAATACTGTTGAAAGTGTTCCGAATCGAACCAGCCGACACGATCATAAGCGGTCCACAACTTGCTCGCTTTGTTGACATCAATCTTGCAAGCTTGCTGGGCATCTGTTTTGCGGAACTCTTTGCCAATCCTTAAAGCTCTCACACGAGCCTCGAAGATGCGGCGTTTGCTGCATAAGTATGTTGCGCATGAGAGCCTCAAGGTGGAGGCAAGGCTGAGCTCAGCCGGGCTCAAAAGGTGGCGGTCTGGATCCTGGCTAAGATCTAACATCTGTCCTTTCCAGTCTGCCTTCAATGCCTTCGCATTGCCGCCAAGTGTTTCTGGTGAGGGTGAGAAATCCTTGATGGAAGTATAATCTGTGTCATCCCGATTTGTTCCTATGCCTCTGGGAGGCCTAGTACTCGTCTGAGCAGGTAAGTCAAAGGATTCATGCGCCTTCTGATGCGGCGTAGATTTGGGGGAACGCTTGGCCCGCGGTATTCGCTGTGCGCGAGGCTGTGTGGCAACCGCCCGTTTGCTCGGTGCCGGCGCAATCTTCTTTAATTTTGCATCTAAAATTTTAGGTCGGCGACGATTCATCATGAACAGTTGACGCTCAAGTGTCTCGCGTTCCTCCTTGGCCCAGGCAGCAGGGTTCCGGTTATACTGGGCGGAAACGACTGGCACACAGGAGAGCGCTAAGAGATACTCATCACGTGTTGGCTTATTCACTTTGTTATCAAATCTTGCCATGTGAGAATCGATATGTTGTTCCATTAGAACCTCTGCTGGGGCGGGAAGAATCTGCCCAAACAAGGGCTCATCAGTGGCAACATCTGTCAAAGAATCGTGATGTGGGAACAGAACAGGATCTCTCGAGGAACCGAGCACAGCATCTCGCTCGATTTCCCCTGGGACATCCGATTTTCTTTTCTTATTTCCAGTGTACGGAGTGACGGGCGGCGATGGTAAATCCATTTCTGACTGCGTTCGCTTCCGTTCGCCAGAAATGGGAGGAAGTTTCATGCCATGGACAAACGAGCAATAATCCTGTGATGTCGAGTAAGGTGACAATGAGGTATTGAAATTCTCGAACGGTTTGGATTCAGGAGGTGACATGAGACTGGAAACAGACGGTAGGCGACTCATGGTGAGTTTAGGATTTTGGTCCAACGGCGTTGGGGGTGTATACGGGTTCATTCTATTGATAGAGATGGGACTCAGGAGTGCAAAAGATGAGCTGGGTTGGAGTGGGAAGTAAGGAATAGTGTATCAGATGTGATTTGGGTTTGTTGGAAATATAATGCCTCAAAAGGCAATTGATGATGAAGGCTGATGCGAGAGTATTAGTAGAAGTCAATGGAAAGGTGACTGTCAACCTAATGTTGGCAAAACACACGTGAAAGGTGATTTGTCAGGGCCACTTCCTTTGTGTAGGGTGGCAATGGACAGATATGACTCAGAGAGCAATTGAACTCCCAGCCACTGGGTACTTGAGAGTCGGTTCTCCCTTATTGAATATGACTGGGAATCTGATGGCTCGATGCTGGAAGGAGGGGACGGGGTTGTGATGAGCCTTGTTGACAAATGACTTGATAGTCTTTAGGTTTTCCCAAATGGACTTTAAGAGTAGATCTGATGATGAGTCAGTGCGGTGATGGCTTAGATTTAGCTTGTTAGTAGACAGTGTCATCACAGGGCAGTAATAAATATGAATGCGGGGGCGCATGCAGTGATCCAGTCAGGTGTTACTCTTGAGGTAGTGTATGCTGACATCTAATGGGCAGTTTTTTGGGGGGAAGATGTAAGAATACCAGAGGTATGGATATAGAGAAGAGATGAATTATCAACCTAAAAGTGTAAAAATCTAAAATACTTTACTGTTGTTATGAAGGAACTAGGAATTATTGAAGATTTTAGGCATCAACAAGGAACTGAAACAGTTCCTATGACTAGAGTGGAGGGGTGGAATGATCAATGACCTATGCCACATGACGACAGGATGTGGGACATTGATGCCCTCCTTCATCATAATTGGCTGGAATAAAAGATGTGATTGCCCCAAAGTATACATACCATAGGTACTGTGCCTCCTGTCAGCTGTAGAGTACCTTACAGAGTAAGATATGGATGATGGTTTCTATCCACAGCACCACAGCCAATACCTTACCTACTACAGTATGACTACTATATTATGCGCCTCTAGAGCTACAGCAGGCCATTATGTTCACCACACCACAGACTAGAAGCTGTTTAATATGTGTTGGGGTTGGACTGTAATAAACTCACTATATATCATGAGACAGTCATGTGATACCACCTATTTAGCCACACCTCACCCTACTAAAAAGTAATGCAAGACATAATGTAGTAATATAGTTTATTAGCTATAAGTTGAATAATATCACATTCCCTACTTATTCTATTACTGACCTGTTGATATCTGGCTAAAATAAAATAGCAGGGACTGAGGCAGGTATAGTAAAAATGGCATCTGTATTATCACGGGCTAGAAGCCATAAAATCTGTAATCTAGATTTAGATGGTAAGAAATTACTAAGAGGCTCCTACTAAGGCTATAGCAGCTAAATATAAAAAGGAGTATATAAATTATAGCTAAGGTTATATAATATAAGCTTACTTTATTAGTTAGTATATTATTATATAACTATAAGCTAGTATCTAATTTAGACTAGAGTTTATTAATACCTAAGATAGATTATAAGTACTAGTAAGCTTAAGCTTATATCTAATAGGCTTTATTTACTATACTATTCTCCCCTTTAAATTAAGGCTAGTAGCTCCTCTAAATATTAAGTATTACTATATTAGTAAGATTAGTAGTAGGCTTCTAGGTAGGGTATTTATAACCTACTTATTTAATTAAGTATTCTATATAGTATTCTTATCTAATTTATTTCTTATACTCTTATAGGATCTCTTTAACTATATATTTAGCCTTACTATTAACTAGTATAGAAGATAGCTAGTAATTATTATTTAATTAGCTTAAGAATAGATTACTTATAGTAAGATATAGAAGACTAATATAAAATATATTATATATATCTAGTAGTATATCTAGTTAATAAGTATATAATCTAGAATAATAAACTTTATATACTATATATTATAATAACTTCTAGCTTAGATAATTTATTTAAATATTCTATAGATTTAATTATATATTTAATTTAATAACATAGTATAGACTTATTAAATAAGAATAATTTAAATACTCTTTATACTACTACTAGGCTATAGTAAGTTTTAATTAAGTTATCTTAATAGCTTTTTTTATTTTAGTAATAATACTACTAGCCCTCCTCTTTAGTAAATAGGCTATATTACTAGTAGTAGCCTTATAATTTAGTACTTTAATCTTAAGTAGTTTAATATTATATCTATAGTCTAGGAAGAATAGGCTAACTTTAGTATTAATTATATTCTAGCTATTAATTACTAGTTAAGTTATTAATAGTAATAACTTCTAATTAGTTTAAGTATAGTTATAGAAGTTCTATAAGTAAGCCTATAATATAGTATTTATTTAATTAATCTATCTATCTATCTATAGATAGTAGATATTACTTAATATTTAATTATTTATAAAAATACTTCTAGAACTAGCTAATAAACTATAGGCTATATAGTCTAAGAGAATAATACTAGGAATACTATAATATCTAATAAATCTATCTATGAAGAGCTATATAATAGTCTTAGAGTTAGTATACTTAAGGATATTAAGATAATTATTAAGGGCTATAGTGGGCCATAAGACCACTATATATGCTAGGTCATATAATATATACTATAATTATCTCTATAAGTTACTAAATATTCTATAACTTAGTAATTAGTTCTTCTTACTTAGGTAATATATAGTTATTTACTCCCTTTATACTAATCTTACTAGTTAATATTAGGCTTCTATAACTAATCTTATAATTCTAATTACTCTTTAAAACCTAATTAGCCTATTAGAATA